AGAGAAATAAAAATAGGGACATAGAAAGTTCTTAATTATAGAACTGAAACTATATCATGTTCATTTATGTACTTTCATCTATGCTTTATTCACAAAATTTTGCTTTATTCATTAGTACTATCTTTATTTACATACACTAATAACTTATTTTAATTACCGTTAAGTACCTGACTAAACTGAAAGCTTTTGATATGAAACAAAACACATAAAACCAAGATGTTAAAACAGAACACTACCTTTTGTTTGAAAAAGCATTTGTCAATGCATCAGGATAAAAATAAACTTAAAGAATTCATTAAACAACATTTAACTTCATTTACAGTATTTTAAATAATGGTCTCAGCATACATAAACTTAAAAGCCCTGTAAAAAAGATCAATGACTAATTGATGAGCCAAAAAATAAATATTAAAAAAATTGGTATAAGAATTTTCCCAATAGTAGGTCCCGATCACATTTTTCATAGTTTTTTTTTTTCAGAAGAAATATATTTTTTCAGGACATTGGTAAAAATGGAATAAACTAAAAATGACCAATATAATTGCTTAGTGCAATGATACCCAATATTTTTTACTAGTGCGGATAAAAAATCGGTAGAAAAAATTTTGAAGACCATAAACTAAATGTACAAATAAAAATATTATAGCAAATAGACACCTACTATACATATATGCATAGGTATATATATAGACAGTATGTAAATTTATATAGACACCACAGCCTAACTCTTGACCAGCGTCGTCAATCTTCATGGGTCATGGCCTGTGGGTTGGTAACCAAAATATATGTAGGCACGCTTAGCATGAAGTTCACTTAAAAAAACAACAATTTTTTTTTGCATAGCCCTTAATGTAATTTGAGTAACTGCTGTAATTTTTTTTGAAGACTGGAGAAATTATTCCAATTAATGGCGGGTAAATTCTACATAACTCAGAATTAATAAATCACAACTTACCTAAAACCAATATGGCTTTCAAAACTGTCAAAATGGCTTCCACTCTCATGCCAGAATACGTAGCTGAAAGTAAATGGCGATCGCTCGGGTACTTAATATGGTAAATGCGCTTCCCTTGATTGGGGGTGTGATAAACACCAGGGGGTGAATATGGTTTTTTAAACAAGCGTCTTAGAACGTGACAAGTCAGTCTGGCACCTGCTTCAGCTTCCACTGCAGCAACATTATTTGCTAAAGGAAAAGGCACGATTTAGGTCACTTGAATTTTAAAAATATAAAAAATAATTGATCTAAGTCACAAATATTTTCCCACATTATAAGATGTAGTTCAGTTATTTTTTAAAACATAATTTCAGTGATAATGAACATTTTATCCAGGGAATAAAGAGAGAGAGGGGAAAAAAGGAGATAAAATATAGATATGAAAACTTTCATTTATGATTATACTTTAATTATACCCATTTAGGTTTGAATAATATAAATAGACTTATTCAGCCTAGAACATTTGCTTTTTTTATAGTTTTCTGATCTAAATTTTTTAATGTCTAATTAATGAATCAGCTTCCGCACATTACAATTCATGAAGATGTGTATTTTAAATTTAAAAAAACTATGCTTCACATGATTTAAAGAAGATCAGTTGTCTTACTTAATAAAATTCACAATTTTAGCTATAAAGTAATTTAGTTTTAATATTGCTAATAACTCTTAAGTATTATTAAAAATTTAATTAGAGCTTGCAATTTAATGGTATAAAAAACTGATTTAAATTTCTTTAAAAATCAGATAATTTAGATTATTTTTTTCAAATAATCATTTTTAACAGCCTTAATTTATAATTAAAAAATAATTTGCACAACACAAAAAAAAAACAAAAAAAACATTCTAAGTACATACTGCTATAAAAAAAGATAAAAGTATAAAACAAATAGAACTCACCTGGAAGAGCAGCAATTATAGCAGGAATGGCAACATTGATAACAAAGTCTTGAAGTAAGAAACATCTTCGAGCAATCAATACTGATGTTAGCAATGCAAGGTTATCATGAATAGAGAGATCGCGAATCTAGAAGCATTTAAAAAAAATTTAAGCCATTAAATGAATTACGTATTTAATCAATTAAAAGAACTTATATTTAATTTATTAAAAAACATCTTGACAACATAACAAGTATAATGAGTCGATAAAATAAAATGAATAGATGGCAACATTAGAGAAATAAAAATAGGGAGATTTTTCATACGCCACAATTTATGACATAGAAAGGGAATTTTGCAGAAGTTATGGATTCTTCATTCTTACTACAAATTAAACTAGAAAATTATAATATACTAGATTTAAAATTCTGATATTAATTTTTAACTGCACTAAAGTTTTAGATACACAAGTACAGTCAAAGTTTAATCCATCCTTCATTAATTTTTCATTTCTCGTGTGCAACGACTACTTTTAATGTTAATCTCTTAGATCATTTTTTAAACTACTAATTTCCCTAATAGACTTCCAAGCTTTTGAAACAATGAACAGTAATTAGACGAGTATACAGAAAATGTGAGTATACAGAAAATGAATCTGTTACAAATATTGAAAATTTCGTTTTTGAGCTGAGAAGAAAAGAGTGTTTTCAAAACCAAAATTTTCCAATAATTTAAAATAAATAAATAATTGTGTCATCAATGTACAACATTTTTTCACTTTTTTATACTTATAATAGTCATTACTTAATATTTTATTTTGACCCCATTCATAGCTTTTCTTGTATCTATCATTTGGTTCTATGAGAAACAATCAATCGAGGTTCTACTATATACTCTAGGACAATTTTTTTTAAAGCTAAAAGAACCAAAATTTCCTCATATTTATTAAAACTATTGTCATATCAAAATTTCGTGTTTCTAACTCTCCAATAGCGCTGCTTAATAGTCGCTGTTGATGGTTTTTCCTTTTTCAAGATAGTCGATGAATATTATACCATGCACATCCCAAAATACTGATGCCATAACTTTGCCAGCTGACTGCTGCGTCTTACCACGCTTTGGAGTTGGTTCACCTCGCACAATCCACTCGGCTGACTGTCGATTGGACTCCGGTGTGAAATGATGGAGCCATGTTTCATCTATTGTCACAGATCAAAGCATAAATTTGGGTTTATTACGATTAAATAACTTCAATCATAGCTCAGAATCATCAATTCGTTGTAGCTTTTGGTCGATTGTGAGCTCGAGCGGCACTCACTTTGCATAGAGCTTTCGCATAGCCAAATATTCATTCACGATATGTCCAACAAGTTCCCTTGATATCTTTAGAATCTCAGATATCTCGATCAACTTCACTTTACTGTAATCTAGAATTCTTTTTTGATGTTTTCGTCGGTAACAGCCTCTTTGGGGTGTCCAATGCTTGCCTCGCTGTAGGTGCTGATTTCACCTCGTTTAAACTTAGCAAATCACTTCTCAATGGTTGATTTTTCTGGTGCAGAGTCCGAATAATGTTTATCAAGCCAAGCCTTGGTTTCAACAGTATTTTTTCCTTTTTGGTTAAAAAAAGCAATACTTTATTAACACACGAAATTCCTTTTAATCCATTGTTTTTAAACCTACAAAAGTTGCTTCACTAAAAATACCATATCTCAGAAACTAATAGTCAGACAGCTGTCAAATTTATACACGTGTCTTTCGAAAGTTAGGACTAACTAAAAATCATATGGATTTAATAATAGTAGCGCCATCTATGCGTCAACCCACGAGCTTTTCAACCCAACTGTTACATGTAAGAAAAATTTTGAAACAGGAATTTATTACACAGAGAATGTTTTGTGCAAGTTATACTTAACCAGATGGTAGAATTTTTGAAATATATAATAATTAGATTTATTTATTTTGAACCTCAGATTATTTCAGGTTTTAGAGACCCTATGGGTGCCATGACTAAGTTAGCACTAAAGTACAGTCAAACTCAATTTAAAGCCCAGATTTAAGGAGCAACCGGATTTATCGAAGAAATTAGAGAAACTGAACTGGTACAATGCTTTGTCTATTTGAGCGTGGCTTGCTTTTAAGGAACAAACATGGGTCGTAGCAAGTGCTATTTTTGAGATTCATAAAATTTCTACTTATTTATACCTCTCTAGCGCAGCTTTTCATTTTCGAGACTACTTCCATATTGATGTTTTTTGGGTAGACAAATTCCTTTTTGATATTTTTCAGGTTCACAAATTTCTTTTTGATGTTGACAATAATTTTTGGGTCCTATCTGAAGAATAATTCCACCACATTGTGACAATAAAAAAGTTTCAAAGCAAATGCACTCAACAGAAATTAAAAATAAATTAAGTAAGTACCAAATTTCTATTCAACAAAGGTATACTTTGTCCAATATAGACAAAAAAAAAATGTGAATAAAGCACAAATTTAATTCAACATTTAATAGTTAATATTGTTGATTTAAATTCTAGACCGTATACTAATAATCAGCAAAACTGCTCTTTCGGAATTAAAATCTTTGAACTCATTGTCATAACTAAAGCTGATAAAGCGGTCATAGTGTAGTTCTAGAGTTGAATAAAATCTAATATCCCATTAAAACTTCATTAATTATTCTTTATCATCTGAAATATTCTCTTACACCTACTAATCCATACTGTGGTAAGTTTACCTAAAGTTCATAAGGCTGGCACTCCTCTTAGACTCGCTGTTTCTAATAATGGCACTGCTGCTCAAAAATTAGCTAATCATCTTGTTTTAAATTATAATTATTTTGTTAATGAGCTTCATACGTTCAAACCTAATGAAAACGAAATGGTCTCTTTTGATGTAAAATCTTTATTCACTTATTTTCTCAATAAAGGTGCCCTTAACTATCTAAAAAAAGAGATCACAAAAATTCTTCTTTAAAGTTGAAATTGACGTACTAGTAAATCTTACTTGAATTTATTTAGATCAGTCCACATTTACTATTAATGGTAAATTCAATTGAATAATGATTGATAGAATAGCTCTTCACAGCAGAATCGTGGCAACACAGCCACACTGTCGCAGAATATTACAGTGTTCTTGAAGAAATAGTTTTCATTAGAGAAGCAAAAAAGCTTGATTTTTATAACTGCATAATTTTTCAAAAAACATTTTTTCTGCAGAATTTTGAGCTTTTTTTCTGCAGAATTATTCTCAAAACGTTTCTCTTCTGTCAGAGGGAGAAGAAACGTTCATGACTTTTTTTTATTTTCCTTTGGAAATTCTGTAATGACAGCTAAAATTTCAAATTGATATTATAAAATGTATTTCTGAGATCGTAAAAATTTACAAAATAGTTAGCTCTAAGAATGTTTTTTAGAATATCTTAATAAAATAGGGTGAGTGGGGACTTAGTTATAAATTCCGATTTGTAGCAAAAGAATTAATAAATCATTGCAGTACATCTGTTCTCTCTTTTATTTAGTTAGACTAAAATCTATTCAATGTTTTTAATATGACATAAGTGTTTGAAACTTTTAAATCACACATTCACTTTATCTCTCACATTAATAATGTAATACAAATAAATGTTTCCCTATTGTTTGACGAAAACCGTTTGCAGTTTCACTTCCTCCTCCTATATTTTTAAAACCATCCACCAACCAAAAGTTAGAAGCTGCACTTGGATCTAAAATTTGTTCAAATAGTTATCTCTTCAATGAAGAGCTGCTTTATGTTAAAGACATTGTTGTAGACTGTGATTTTATTTCTAATATTATTGATTCCAACTATATAAATTAAATCTACCAATCCACCTTACTCTCCAAATCAAACTTTTAACAATTTGATTTTTTTACTTTATTATATGAAAATTAGTTCCTAAGCTGCTAAGATTTTGAATAAAATTCGGTTTAAAGTCAATTTTTTCTTCTGCCACTAAACTAAATTTCATCAAGATCCTTTAACTATCCTATAATAGTAGCTGTATCAAACTTCAAGTCTTGCCTACATTGGACAAACTAAAGCTACCCTTAAACTTGGACTTAAAGAACACAAGAGAGACACCCAAAATAAGGACATTAACTGATCTTTTATCACTCTGAGCAGTTTTAATTCAAATCACATGCTTGAGTTTTTTTCCCTACTAAAATCATTTAACATAGTTCTTCAGTTTCTGAACTTGATTTTTGGGATTCATTTCATATTTTGAAAAATTCTAATACTTTAGTTAATCATCTTTTGAATATTTTACCATTCTCAATATTTGGAAAACTGTAATTTAATCTGCTGCACGCTTGAATTCTTGCCATATCCTCTCACACCTGCTTCTTATCTCTCCCTTATTTCCTGGTTTAAACCTGCTACTCTGTCCCTATACGTTAAACCACTTTACATGTGCTTATCTCTTTACTTTTATATCCTCATCTGACCTTTAGACACTGAGGAAGGTTCTTGTTCATAGAACTGAAACTATAGTATGTCCATTTACATACTTTAATTTATGCTTTATTCATGTAGTTTCTTGGTTTAATCTACTATAATTCTAATTTAATAAGTGTTAATGAACTTTTATGAATTTTTTTCTTCATAAACCTGTTTTTTGTACAAGCACTCTGTTGTAACAAGTAAATTTTGAGGTCACTTTGTACTTGATATGAACAAGTTAGATTGCATACTAACTGCAACACTTTAGGAGAAAACATTGTTCACTATACTATTTTATAAAAAAGTTTTTCCTTCATAGTAAAAAATATTAGATTACTAGTACTTATAAGGCTTTTTTATGAGCTCATAAACTAAATATAAGATTGAAAAAAAAAAAAAACTAATGAAATTTGTGATTATATCAAATTAAATTTTTTAAAAAAACTAGAACATTTTATACAAGATTTTTAAATGGTGACAAGCAAATTAATAAATCAAATATTAAAATTATAAATAAGTAACTTACATTAACTTCCGTTACTAGCTCTAAAAATCCAATTGTATGATTGGAAGACCAGCAAAGAGCCTTGAGGGCAGCTATCCATTCAGAACTCAAATGATAGCATTTTGCAGTAACTTCAGCACAAAAGATAGCTATTTCATTCAACCTTCAGATGAAAAAAAGAAAATCAAAATTAATGTATGATAATTAATTCAGTATGAGAAGGTACATTGATTTATCACATGAGGGGACATACTTGTGTTCCCTTGTGATTTTACATGAGTATTAAAAATAGTAATTTCAGCTTAATGATTTTATTTTATAACAGCCATTGAACAGCCGACCCAATTTTGGGTTTACGACTACCAATGTTCCTCTCTGTAGTGTTGTAACTTTGAAACCAATCCAGAAGACAAGGAAACTCCTGGATAGTACTAGTATTGAGAGAACTCCGTGGAGGATTTCTATGATGGAACTAACCTGCATCTGCGTTACATGAAGCGGAAAACCATGAAAACCTTCCACGGTTAGCCTGACAGCAAAGGTACTCTAACCCATGTTCTGCCTACCACTGGGGATATCTTGCATCAGCACTGTGGTCGGTGCGAGCCAAGTACAAAATTCGAATCGACCAGCCTTTAGCTGACATTTAAACCCAGTTCACCTTGTTGAACGGTAAACGTTCTGTCCTAACTATATTTACACTGCACCTGCATATTTTACTTCTACATTTTGATTCTTGTTTATAGACAAGTTTAAATATGGCTCAAGTCCTTTCGTATAAAGTGAAAACACATACTATTGAAGTTTTTAGAAAAATAAATTTTATTTATAATGTTAATTTTTTATTTGTGATTTGATTAGTTTATTAGTTTATAAAAACTTTTTTCAATAAAATTTTTAAAAAATTGCATCTGATGTACCCATTGTCTAGAACAATTCGCATCGCAGGTTAAGGGATACCAACTCATCTAGATTTTCTGAGCAAATTATTCATGCAGAAATTCTTCACAACAACTTAATAATAAAGAACCATAATGTATGATTCATAAAACTGCAGGTAGAAGGTGAATAACATATATTTTGGTTTTGGCAAAAATCATTTAAAACCCATTGGTTCAAGTTTGTATTTCTTAGTACGTTATATATGTACTGCACAGACAATATCATCACATACAAAAAATAAAAATAATTTATTTGAATTTAGCATTGAAAGTACAAAATGATAAAAGCAATTACAAAACTCACCTATCAGGGTCTTTACACACTGAAACACAGTGAATAGCATTGCAAACAAAGCTGTAGCGTAAAATCTGTTGATCATTCAGTTGCTTCAAATACTGTATCTCTAATTTCAATCTAAAACATACATTTTGAAGGTATTTTAATATATTCCAACGTCTAATTTTTATACATTAATACAAAAAAGTAATTGATATTATTACGCTGAAAACTATTAATACTTTCATAATTTAAATAGTTTTAAAAAACTTATTTAAAATTTTTTTTCAAACTAGGATATGTAGTTCTCTATATTGTGAAACTACTTTAAATAGCAAATTAAGGTAACAAAATTTAATTTAAATGAAAAGGAATGTAGAATTCATTGGTTGAAAATCTCTCATTTAATATATATTTTTTTTTATTCTGTTCGCTGTGACATTGAAATCAAGAATTTACCCCATTAGAGCAGTAGCAATAGGGACATATATTTCTTATGGGGGGGGGAGACTAGGGGATGATTTGTAGTAGTTTTCACCAAGGAAATGTTAAAGGTCACTTGAAAATAGACATTACTTTTAGAATTCTGACAAAAAAATTATTTTTTTTAAATTTTAAATTTAATTACACAGAAATATTGTGTGAAAAATTGTAATTTAAATGGGCCGGTGTCAGTTCAATTATAAAATGTGAGGGGGGCAAAAGCCCCCTCTGCTCTCCTGTTTCTGCAGTCCCTGGTTAGTACCATTTAATTAGCATATTTAAGGTCGACTCTTTTAGATACAATGATTGACAATTAAAATTTGATCATTAGAACAAAAGTTATTCAGGAAGATATCTTTTTTATTTTGTACACTGCAAGAAATAAAATGATAAAAGTACTTCAAATTTAATAAATGCAATAAGACTAGGTGAAAGTATGAATTTATCACTAAATTGTAAAAATAATACAATGATAGTGCTTAGTTTTGTTACAAACTAGAAAGCAAATAATGGGCTATCAAGAAATGGATAAATCAAACTTTTTCTTAATTTTCAAATTTCTTTTTCTTAATTTTTATTCTAATTCATGGCAAGATACTACAGCAAAAGCGAAGGAAATTCTAAATAAAATAATAAAACAAGTAACTGTTAAATAAAACAAGTAACAAAATAATAAAACAAGTAACTAGTTAAATTACTTAGAATCCTAGGATTAGAAAAATTACCTAGGTTCTGTAAGATATTCAATCATGAACTTAGTATTCCATGCAGGTGGCACCATACCGTACATCACGTTTTTAGCCTTGGGATACATATTAGAAAACTGCTCTTGATGACGAGACTACAAAAATAAAATGAAATCATTAATTAGTCTTTTAAAAAAATGAGTTTAACCACTCATGCTAACGAAAAAAAAAACTCTTTTACAAATAATTTATTATAATTGTCAATTAAAATCATGTAGTTTAATGTTAAAAGTTTTATTCCTTACAATTAAAAATGTGTTCCACACTATTTAAATAAAATAATAAAAATTAATAACTCAAATAAAAATTAATAAATAAAAAACTATTTAAATGAAATTAGTTAAATAGTTTCTGTAAAAAAAGTCATGTCTGTAAAAAACTTTTAAGAGCTATTTCACATATTTCCCTCAAATTTAGTATCCTATTAATTAAAATTACAAACTATAAAAAGCTACAAAAATGTGTACAATTTTTCTGACATTTATTAAATTAAATAATAAAAATGAATAAAAACACTGTTAGATATTATTTTTAACATGGAGTTATCTTTGGGTAAATAAAATTTATGCTTATGCATAAAAATGCTTTGATTCCTTAAAAAAAGGTTTCGAGAATGGTGGAACACATGGAAAGTGATATTAACATTAGGAGGTTTAAACATTCAACTGCTCTCTGGTTGAAACTAATAGGGAAAAAAGGCTTTATTGATAGGCTTAAATGCATATCTCTTGCCAAAATTATTTCACAACTCCATTTCTTTCTCTTTAATTAATAAAGTACAAAGATTACTCAATAGTAAAAAAATTAAAAAATAAATAAAAGAGAGAGAGAGAATATCTTAAATGAAATAAATATTTAAACTTTAATTCAACAAAATATAGTAATTCCATATTTTTCCATTTTAAAACTATTGAACTAGTCTAAAAGTAAAATTGGTACTCAACAACATGAAAATAATCAACCACAAATAAAAATTATGAATTAAATAAATAATCCCAAGAAGCTGAAGATATTTCCCAATTGAAAACTTCATTCGTAACAAAAATAAATATGAAATAACAGTCAATTCAAAAATAGGAATCCATTTTCGAGACTTGCCAGATGCGAAAGTAAAGAAAACCAAAATGATTTGAAGTATTGTAATAATGTTTGAAATAAACGTAAAATTGCCAACAAAAAAAATATATATATATGAATCTTAAGCTCAGCCAAAAAAGAAAAACTAAAATGGTTACATTAGAAAATTTCCTAAAAAAAAAGACAAACATCTGGCTAAACGCTAAACACTTATAATAAAATAAGAATAATTAATAAAGTTAGAAAAAAATATCACAAGAAAATAAATTAAGCAAAGACAATGACCCTTAAACATTTGGACAACTTCTTGGACCATGACCCTAAAACGTTTAATCGAGTCTCTATAATTACAAATATTATTTAAAATGCTACTAAAATAAATTAATATTAAGTTTAAAAATACAAACACTTACCTTATTTTTTTTAAATAGTCTATAAATCATTTAACTATAGAGAAAGTTTATATGTTTTTAAATGTTAAAGTTATGTTTCATTAGAAAAAAATTACATCATTCAATTTTAGAGCAAAGGGGAAAAAATATACCTTAAGATAATTGCAGGAAGAACACAAATCAAACAAATAGGATAGGATGCATCTCTCAGCAGAAGAACTGCAGTCTGTAGGAGTATTTATGTGCTTCACTATTTTTGAAAGCCTACAATAATAATAAGCTTTTATTTATCAAAATCCTATTTACTTTAGATTTCACAATATACACTACCCAACAATAATGGAAGAGAAACTTTCAGTTTTCACTCATTCTTTCAGTTTTCTCAAAAAATACTTATAAATTTACAAATTTAAGGATGTTTGTGCACATGCGATTTCTCATACTTATCAATAAGGTTTAAAGCCTTCAATGATTTGAAGGGGACTGGCAGTAAACTATAAACAAAACAAAAAAAAGTTTTGAATACACTATGCCAAAATATATAGCAATGAGCTTGTAACTTGTATCAATTACTTTCTTTATTATATGCAATAACTGAATATTAAAGCTAGGCCACGTCCAATAAAACAATGCTTATGAAATTTTATGCAATCATTGAACATAATAATCAAAGTGATCAATATGGTTAAAAGCATATTGCTATTTTTTCTGGCAAAAACACTCTTTTTTGTTTGAAATTTATTACCAGTTTCTCAATCTCAAAGCTCTGAAATCTTTTAACTTTATTCATCATAAGTATGAGAAATTGCATGCTCTAAACCCCGCTAAAGTTATAAAATAATAAACCAGGTATTTCTTGAGAAAACTGAAAAAATGCCAAAAACTGAAATTGTCTGTTCCATTATTTTAGGGTAATGCATACATATCAGGTGGTTTATACGAAGACTTTGCATTAAAAATTTGATACGCTTGATGAAAAATTGACATCAACTGGAATATTTTGCACTATGAATTAAATAAGAATTAACTATATCTACACTGTATTGTAGTCAGTATACCTTGAGTTAAAAATAAAAAAACTATTATTGATTGCATTAATAGCAAAGTAAAAAAGTTTAGTAAGATATAATATTTTAATGGTATTTTATTAAAGTTAAATTTTTCAGCTACCGATTCTAGATTTTATTATCTTATCAATTTAATTTAAAAATAGGTAAAAGGAAGGTTTACTTAAGAACTTTCATGACTAGGGTACATATTCAGTTTTGTGTAATATTTAGTTCCTTTTTGCAAAATTAGTTATAATTATCATAATTGATATATTATATTTAGATTTTCAGTTTTCAGATTTAGATACATATTTTCTGGGCTAAAATAAGGTAAAAAATATATGTACGTCAATCCTTAGAACATACATTTCTAATAACAGGAAAGGATAGAAATTGGAATTTTATACTAAAATATTAAGAATCACTTTATGAATCATCAAAGTAGTAAAATATCAACTGTCAAATTTCAGCCAGTCCTTCAATTAATTGAGAGCTTTTAATCTAGAGATATCAATTCAACTAAATTAAAACTAAGAAAGATCATTAATTAAAGTAGCATGAAATATTGATTTGGTTAAAAAAAGAATTCAGGTCAAAATGTAACTTTCTAAAGGCAAAATTGCAAGAGGGTAAAGGAAGGCCTACCCTTCAAAGACTGCAAGTGTTTCTTCCTGGGAGATAAGGAGACAACAATGATATGTGTATAGCACTCCCACAATACTCAGCCCCACTGATGTGGCATAGCTTCCAGCCAATGAAGATGACTTTTGAGACAGTTGCGCTTCAACATCTACTAATTCCTTCAAGAGCTATGTTAAGAGACACATTTTTTATTTTTTTGAATTGAACTAAAGTCAACAATTTGAGGTGGAACTCTTTGAAACAATCAATTTTACTTATACAGGGTTTTATTACAACAGACTGATACAGGGATTCTTAAAAGTGTGTGTTGTTGTATTTTAATCAAGGGTAGAAATTAGTAGCTAGTTTGAAGGAACAGTAGCTAAAGGATATTATCATTACACCAGTGCACACATTACCAGTACACATTTTCACATGAGAGTTTACATGTTCATATTTAAAAAAAAAAGTTAATACATCATTTTGAATGGAAAGTAACAATGCAGAAAATCTGTATTATTTAAATAATGATGAATTATGCTATTCTAGATAAAAACGCAGAACAAAACCAAAAACCAAAATAGTACATTGTTCCCTTATATCGATTGTTGGTCCATGGGATCACTAATAATTATTTTATGATAGTCAAATTTTAGTGGTCTCGGACCGCCATTAATTACGAGTCTTGTTTAGGTGCTGTAAAGTGACACAAGGGCTGCCATGAGGTCCCAATATCTTCAAGACTACAATAAATCCTTTTATAGGTTTACAGTTTTGGATACATATTAAGCATCACTTTTAATGGTAAGACAAGAGTAGTATAAGATTTGGATTTAATATAAGATGAACGTCCTGAAAAAGCTGATGGTTTCTCTTTTCACTTTCTAAAAAGGCTTCTCATTTCATTTGCTAAATTATATCTAAGCAAGGTTTGGTTTTCATCTAAATAAAAAGCAAATATCACCCAAATACAAAAATGTGGCTGGCCACACCAAATGTTATTTGCATGCTTTGAAAAGTTATATGTATGAGCAGCAAGTATCACCAGGCTTAGATAAAATGAAAAACTTTCTGTGAACACAAAATTTCAATTACAAAACTTTCTGCATGCATTGACTAACTCTTGTAACCAGTTTCAACTTTTTTGCCGCTACCTCAGCTTGGTGAAATTTGGTTGAAAATCACAGATTTCTTTTTAAAAAAAACTTTCTATAAAATTCTGTATTAATTCATAAAAAAATTATAAATTTGGGAAAAAATTAAAAAAAATAGAAATCCAAATATGTCATGTGCAAAAATACTTTTTACATAATTAAAATAATATATAAAATTTGAGCAAGAAAAAAGTGCATCTAGGAAGTATTTGTTAACAAAATGTTATCATCGATGCGAGATTTGATATATTTATTTAAATTTTGTGAATATGAATCTCCATGTGTAATTTTAAAATCAAGCAAATAGGAATCTAGACATTAAATTTTAAAATCGTGTGAATAAGAATCTCAATATTTGATTTCAAATAAAGTGCCATTTAAAATCACATGAATGTAATTTTAAATCGCATTGGCATTGGAAGGAAAAAGCGTCAAAATCTTTTTCCTGAGGAATTCGAAAAAGATTTTTTTTTAGTAACAGGAAAAAATGTAAAAACATTTTCTAGATGGTGACAAATCTTTTGGCAATGGCGTTTGTGGAAATTATACAGGTCTGAGCATCACATTAAATGAATTCATAATAATTTATAGTGGATGGTAACTTTTCTTTATTTATATTTTCTCTCACATTATTAAGATAATACATTCTTATTAACAGTGGATTTTAAGTATGAGATGTATAAATTTACCCTTCCATAGCTTATGTTTCATAATCTTATTTATGTAAAATGTACATTATATATAATAATATTATACAGAAGATAAATGTTACATGAATAAGGTTTGGTGAGACAATTTTAAATTTTTGCAATCTTAATCTTATACTATTAATCGTAATCATACAATTTTATTCTTAATCATACAATTTTAATCATGTAATGTTAATCTTAAATTTAAGTGCTACAACATGGAAAAATTCATGAAACCCAGCCCTAAATAATTTTAATGAGGTTAAATGTTAGGCAAACTATAGCATATCCATATTTAATATAATTACTTGATTAAAAAGCCATAAAAAATTTAAAAAAATTAAAGTGCAAAACAGAATACCTAAAAGGGCTTAATAGTATAACTTGTTAAATGATATATAAAAACAATCAGTTTTTCTATGAACAAAATTCTAGCTTAGTTAAAATGTCCGGGTACATTATATTGTTTTTTTTTTAACTTTTTACTTTGCTACTTTTATGTAAATTTTGAGATTCAAATTAAAAAGGGGAAATCTTATTTTCTGCAGTGAATAATATTTCATTTTTCAGCTTAGTTAAACATTTAATTATCTAGAAATTTTATTAGTATCAGATTTGATTATAATTAATTTGGTTATGTCCAACCTATTTTCCAAAAACAATCTTTTAATTTTAAAACAGGAAATGCCGCATCTTCAAAGAAAAAAAAAGAAAGAAAGATATTCAACTTGACATTAAAAAAATGTGACAAGAGTAAGAAATTCTAACCTGTATGCAAAATTCTATCAGTCCATGAATGTTCAAAGCGTGTTCCATCAATTCAAACAAATAAGCAATGTACTCCACTAAGGGAAGATAATTTGAGTTCCCAGTAGAGAATGAACTCAGCATTTCAGTGACAGAGGCTGCACACGTGTTTGTCACAACATGCTGGTCAAAATAAGACAAGCTCTGAAAACGATTCATGGCTGCTTCGAAATTAAAACCATCCTTTGCATTTTTCTTCACTCTCGCACCATCCATGATATCCATACAAGTTTTCTTGCTAAAGAGCTTCATAATCTCTTTCGTGATCTTTTTTGTGGTGTGTTTCGCTTCATCACGAATTTTTCCAACACCAAAGAGAAGAATGTGGCGCTGGTTGCAGTCGTGGATTGCAGCATCCTCTTGGGAAAGGGGGAAATGAGTGGTGTAGAGAAGGTGCCTGGCGGTGTTGCTCATGGTACTGGAGGATGCATTGTTGGAGGGTGTGCCAGGTGTGCAGCATGATACAAGGGGTGGGTGACCAAGGGGTGTTGATGCATTCAGAGGGGTGGACTCATCTTTGTCAGAGCCAACAGAATCTTACAAAAATAAATGAATAAAATTGAGAAAAGGAGAGAAAATTGTCCCAGGCAAACATAAACATGTAAAATCTTTTAACATGTTATGTTAGACATGGTCTAACATAACATGCTAATTTAATGCAATTTTTTTAAAAAAATTGCATTAAACAACTGGCTTTAAAATATAAAATAAATGGAATATTTCTATAAAGTTATAGCAGGAGTCTTTTTTTTTTAATGTAACACACTTATCCCACTTAGTAGTATAAAAATGTAATAATAAATAAATTGCAAAACTAGAAAATTTTAAATAAAAATATAAAGTTAAAATATGAAATAAAGAAATAGAGTAAAAGCTCAATGTAACGTCATGAGTGTTGCAACTTAAGAGAAGTCTGAGATTACCACAACTTTCCAAGTCACCAACAAAGTGCTGATATTGAAGATACAAAAATGGTCTCTTTATAACAACCTAAAAATTATAATTCTTTCGATATTACAATAATTTTTTTTTTTGGCAAGAAAAAACACTTTTCTGTCATTTAAGTATGCAATATTATATCAAAATTGGAGACATTTTTATTTACTACAAAAAGTGAAGATGATTATAATATAAAGTATGCTCATTTTGTATGATGTTCATTTATATGAAACTTCCTTCCAACCTCCGCATGGTGGTTAGTGAAAAAGACTTATTCTTGTAATAAAAGATCTACTAAGGCGTACACTGGGCAGGTCAGTGCTCAATTATGAAGAACTGTTCACCATTCTGTGTGATTGTGAATCGATTATCAACAATAGACCCTTGACATATGTGTCCGAAGACACATCAGATTTGAAACCACTGACCCCTGCTATGTTTTTGGCCACTAATTCATCCTTTGACGTAACTGATTTAGATCTAAATGACTTTTCGAAGTTTCAAAAAAGAATAAGACATCGTCGTAAACTTATTCCTGATCTAAGATCTTGTTTTCGAAAAGAATATTTAAGTCAATTGATCCAAAGACGCCCCGAAGGAGCCACTAGAAATTTTGCTGTTGGAGAAATTGTCTTAATTGGTAATGACAACAAAAAACGTTTGAATTGGCCCTTAGGTAAAATATTGGAGCTAATACCCGGAAAAGGTGGGAAAATTCATACTCTTAAGCTCCGCTGTAATAACAACATACTAATCAGACCTGTTGGTAGAATCTATTCCTTAGAAGTTCCAGAAGATTCCATCTTGGAAACAACACCATCTTCTGGTAGTGAACCATCAGTAGCTCCTGATAGCGAATGTTCCGCAGATCCAGACCTAGAGACTACTGTTCCTTTGGCAACCAGTGATCGTGCTCAAGTGCCTCTCCTCCCACTCATGAGTGACAGAGTGTCCAAGTATGGACGTAAGATAAAAAAGCCAAACCGGCTGGGACTTAAGTAACTTTTGACTATTTTTTTTCTTCTAAGTTTTCGTCAAAAAGGGGGGGGAGGATGTTGCATCATCCTCTCTTTCTTTAAACGTAACAGTGTAGCGGTATAGTCAGATGCTTAAAGGATTTTGATGAGAGTGGTTGTAACTAGCCAATCTCCTTTGTTAACAATTTTGAATAAAGTTAAAAGAAAATTGTGAATTTGTTTAGCAGCCTAATTATCCTTTATCCTGCTCTTTTGATTTCTATATTGGATATTTTTTGCAATCAATAATCTTACAACAATTATAACAGTCCATTGTATGGTCAAGCAAGTTATAATGCATACTTAAAGTAAAAAGAGAAAAATATTACCAGGTTGATCATTCATATTTTGTTGGCCTTCTTTGATATGTTGAAGAAGTTTCCCTAAATCAGCATCAATCCTAGCCTCATCTGTATCCATCTCCTCCCAAGAAGCCTGCATATAGCATTGTTTTTAACAATTAAAATGTTCATTTATTTGATCAACACAATAGGGTGAAACAATAGTTTAACTTAACAATTCAAATAAACTAAATCAGAAATCAGTTGTTGTACTTAACTCTAACAAAGATTGTGCTTAAAACAATCAAAATAATACTTTACTATTGCATGAGAGTTATAAAGAATAAATAGAGGAATATAAGTTTCAATAATCTACAGAGAGGTCTAAATAATAGAAATAGGAATCTATTTCTGAATAGAAACAGAGCAACAAAGTTAAGCCTTTTCACAATCATTTTTTAACTTATATCCTTTATTTTTTTCTTTATGGGATGCACACTATGACCTTAAAAATTATTAGAACAACCATTTTTTAAAGCAAATTCACATAATAAATTCCTGCCCAACATAATACTTATTCTTAAACTTGAAAAAACATACATTCTCCAATTTAAAACATTCATGCAGTAATCATTAAGCAATCATGCGTTGAGGACTTGTATAAAATATAGTAAGATTAGCAGTAATATAAGAAAATTTTGAAAAAGGAGTGTGAAAAAAAAATTAAAGAACACTATAACAGATCTATATAAAGATAGCCATAAATATTCAGAAAAAAAATTCTCTAATTTTTCTAAACGTGATTTTATCAATTTTTTTAGGAAATAAAATATTGCACTTTTAGGTACACCTTATCTCAAATTAATTATTCTAGGTGATTTTTTAGGTATTTTAATTATTCCTTGACATTTACCCGATTTATCCAGAATGGTACAAATTTTCGATTTTACTGTCTATCCTGTATGTATCACTCAGATACCATTTCATTAAATAAAAACTATGCTGATGCTCCTCAATCCCCAAAGATTGCTGTGCAATCTTATATACAAACCATGCTCGTTTCTCTTGCTAATGCTACTAAGTTAAACCCATTTGAAATGTGTTCTAAAGTAAAATCTCAATAACTGAAATCAATTATATAAATCTTCAAAATTAATTCCTCTTTAAAAAATTAAAATGTTTAGTTAATAACAAGTTATTGAAATGAAAATTTTTAAATTGAAATAAATGACATACAATAGTAAAAAGAAACAAAATAATAATTATACTTTCAAAAAACAATTGATTTTGCCAAAATGGCAACATTTAGTTAACTTTCCAGAAGTTTCTTTTGATCAAAAGTGAGCAGCACAGAAACTACATATAAAGGTCATAGAACCAATATCATGTTCTTCAACATCTCCTAAGCATTTATATACAGTTTCTGTCAACAAGTTCCTCCACTCTTCAAGTACATTTTTTTTATTATACTTAAAAATCATAAAAGAACTACTAAAATTAACTTTATAATAAATGACAATAAAATTATTGCTGATCCTGCGTAAATATAGCTAGAACATGACATAGAACACTTTGCTTGTTAATATGAACTATTCACTTTCAACCTTTCATTTCTTTGCAATTTCTTCCAGGCAAGAAAAAGAGTTTTCATTCAGAAATTTGTAATTATGTATGTTTCAACTCTCATGCTTATAACAGCTCACATGCTTGATATTTCAATTCTTTGTTGCCAACCCGAAAAAGAAATGAAAACGTTTTTTGTTGCCATGTAAGAGAAACATGTACATAGATATCATGCTTTACATTAAGGTTTTCCTCGTTAAGTTATAATTCTAGAATACATATTTCAAATAATTTACAGAATATTCTATTAAAATAAGCAAATTCTCATTTGAAAAAAATTATTCTTACATCATGCTTAACAGATGCAGGTCGGTTGTCGGGTGGTTCGAACATGGGTAGAGATTCTGCCTGCCTGCTGTCTCCAATGGAGGGAATCCCCAATCCTGACATCCCAGAGATGCCCATGCAACCAGCACTTCCAGGACCTGGTGACAGACCCCTTGAGGGATCAGGCATAAAACCCATCAGTGATGGTTCAGGAGTAGACATGGATTTGTTGGAATGCGGTATGCACCCTGATCCAATCTGTGTCCCAGCTGCTGTGTTGTTGAAGCTCCCCCGAGAGATCAGCGTGCACATGTACGCATCGTGCGAAAAGACATCAGACCTAATAAGTTCAGCAAACAGCAAAACAAGATTGGCAAAGGCACTTTTGTTATCAGAAGTGGATCGCTCATCTAATTAATAAGAGTTAAAATAAAGTTGTGTAAGTCATAATACTATAAGTTATAGCATAAAATATAAATTAATAAGTATTTAAATAAAAAATAAGCAAAAAACCCTATTAATTACTATTAAGCTCAAAACTAAGCTTCTAGAACAGTGGTTACCAACTGGCAGCCCGCGGGCCACAGCCGGCCCGTGAAGCCTTTTTTTGTGGCTCGCAAACTAAAATATATTAGTTGTAATTTAATATCTTTAGCAGTCATTTTATATCTTAACAATTTGATATCTGTTGTACATTAATTGTTCAGTACATAGGTGCACATTAAAGTTATTATAGACAGAATTTTTTAATATGCAATTCAATATTTTTAAAAATCTAATATCTCTTATTTTAATTTGTAATTCGATACTTTTGTTTTGTACAACTTGATAAAAATCTGACAGTAATATTTAATGTTCCTTCAAACATAAAAGAGTCCTATATAAAATTTTGATGAAGTTGCGGCCTGCCATTTGACTGGTGTTTTTAATTGCGGCCCCCCGCCTCATGTGAGTTGGAAACCCCTGTTTTCATCAAGAAACGAGCTTTGTCATTCTTTTTTAAACCTTCTACTAGCTAAGACAAATTATAAAAAAAAACTTTGTGTTCAAAAAAGAAACGAATGAAATAGTACACAAATTAATTTCTACATTAATCAGGATATCAGTTTTTAATAAGAAATCATCAATACATGCTTTGTTAAAAGTGAGCCATACTTTTTTATTTTTGTTCTTCAGACATTTCAAATTTTTTTAAAAAGTTTCTCATAAGGAAATAATCAAATACACTCGAACTACAAAATAGCTGATCTGGAGGAAAGAGTGCTGAATTGTATGCAAAGAGTGTACAGACAAAGTGTGCTATTTCATACACTTATAAGGAAAAAAGTTTGAGAAAATACTCTGAGATTAGCCACATAAGCCCGAGACTCAGGCCAAAAGCCTAAGAATTAGCAAAGCCTGGAGATGCAAATTAAATAGATGTTTGTAAAAGTTTCCCTTGGGTATGTATTTTGGGTTGTAATTTTTACAAGCCCTGAAGGACTAAAAATTTTCTGATTTTTCAAACCCTAATGTGCACCCTTTTCCTGCAGTAGAGGTATGGGTCCCCTTATTCCAGGCAAAATGAAATCACAAACTCATTCAACAATTAGTAATAATACAAAAAAAGTGATCTTTGAAATGCTTGGATCTAGAAAAAAACTTATTTTAATAAAATATACAATGCCCTGAGCATAAATACTGTACATCACACAAAAGTAACTTTTAAACATACAGAAGAATTTCAATTGGAAAGCATTTTGAAAGCTAGTGAAATATAATGAATAACTTATACATTAAAATTACCCTTTTCAAGACTTAGTTTTAAATTTGTGAAGAAAAAAAAATTTGTACTCTGAAACTTCAATAAAACTAAATAAAGCTAATCACAAAACTACTGTTAAAGGCGTCAAATTTTTAAAACCATCAATTAACCTTTCGACTCGAATGCGATATATACGTCTCAACTTCATTCCATATTGGATAAACAGATCCCAATTTGGCATGGTTTTTTATATTTTTAGGGTTCTTTAAGTATTAAGGGAATTAAAATATGACTAAAGGAATTTAGAAACTCTCATATTCAAATTAGCGGACTTGTGTGTGCATGTAGAGTCCGCAAAAAAAAACCGAATCACCCTGAATAACTTTCGTTCTAATGATCGGATTTTCATGAACTAAGTGTCAATCTTAATGGTTCCAGGGGGTGACCTCAAATATGCTAATTATTAATTAAGTTACGCAATCAGACACAAAAACGTACTTTCTCTGAATAAACATATTTTCTTTTTACATATTTGGAATCCTGACACTTAAAATAGGGGAGGGGGTAGACAAAATTTCGAAAAAATTGGGTCGTAAATTGGATTGTAATAAAGATTTATATATATGGCGAAAGTTTAAAAATATGCCAAATTACCTCCCCATAGAAGGGGAAATAACTGATAACAACCATAGAGAAACTGAATAAATGACAAGACGGGAAAACATTGTGCTTCTCGTTGCGAAGCAACCAAAAAAAATTTTAGAGTTGCTTTCTGGTTAAAGAAAACAGATTGATATTGTTTTTTTTTATTCTCCTTTGAAAAGGAAATTTAAATCAATTAATAAATTATTTCTGATTCTCCAAGATTTTAGAATCTTGATGCTGAATTTTCTATCTGACATTATTTATTTTTTTAAAGCTGTTTAAACGTCATTTGTATGATAGTTTAGAATTAAAACCAAATTTTCATAAGTAATTATTAAATTTCTGAAGAGTTGTAGGGTTAATTGCTTTTGCACCTCACTTCGAGTTTCATAGGAAAGGAAAAGAAATGATTAAGCAAAGGTGGACCTGAAAAAAGATAGCTATTCTGATGCATAATCACAAGATTTTATAAAATTCACCATATTTATTTTCGATAAAAAAGAATACTGAAAGATATAATCTTTTCATTAGCTCACACGATTATATCCGCAAAAAAGAGTGCTTTCTAATATTGTATCAATATAGCCAAAGCAAAATATATCAATACAATACGAGAAGCACTCAAAAATTTTTTACAAAAAAATTACAACAAATAAAATAGAATAAGTAAAAATATCACGTAAAAACAGAAAATTAAATATAAAGGAAAAACAGAATGAAACATAATCTATAAAGCGAGTAGCGAATTCAAATGAACTTACATGAACAGGAAATTTTTCAGGAATGATTTAAAATATTTTCGAAGCAAGATTGCCAGATTACAAAATATGAAACCAAAAGCGAAAATTGAGGATAATGCGTAAATAGAGGGGTTTTGTATTCAAGTGCGTTCGTACTCTGCAGTACTGAAGTGCGTTTGATGTGTTAGTAACCAAAGATGAGCCCGAAAATGGATGAGCGCAAGGTAATATTACACTGGATAATTTAAAGAAGCTGACAATTAATAATTTTAGAAAATTAATATTTATTTAAGAAAAAAAATATATAAAATACAAAAGAGAAAGAAACATGAATTGCCTGTTTCGCACATAATTTTAGCCACAGATTTGCTCGAAATGGATTTGCATGTGAAAAAATTATATAAATTAACCAAGAAATTTTCAGCTGGTTTGTAACAGTGTCTTTTTACAAAAACTCATCAATTCTATCATCGAATTTTAAATTGCGGGGGGGGGGGGTATATAGAGGATGTACTAACTCCTAAATTGTGCTAAATTATTTTTTTATGATGCTCCGAAGTATTGTTAGAGGTGCGCTCTTTGAAAAATCTTTACAAATCTTCATTTCTTTAACTATGTTCATGTATGTTAATTGTAAAAAATATATAATATGTCAATAATTTGTCCAAAAAAAATATTGCACCGTATAGAGTTTTAGTAGTAAGGTTAGAGAATTCAAAAAAAAAAGTTAAAAGGTAATAATTTATAATGGTTCAGTTTTCGGCTGCTTACTAGGGTCATGGTTTTTGATTCCTCAAAGGAAAACTGATGGATAATGTGAAAACTATTTAAATAAACATTTAAACAATGCTTTGCCACACTTGTAAAATAACAAGCAATTTTCAGAATTAGAATTTTTAAGGAAGTTAGCTACCTACTAATATAAACTACTGGTAAACTACTCTTGAAACTACTGATCATGCATAAAATATCCTACTACCCTACACAGGAGCTCAAGAATTTGCACTTCATAAGATATGCGAATGATACTAAGTAAACTTGATTTGCAGTAAAAAGAATGGATACTATTTACACACTCATTTCCTTAGTTTATTAAAATATAATTTAAAAAATTAAAGGAAAGGAAAATTTAGGTTTATAATACCTCTAATTAAACAAAAGTAACAATTGTTACAGTTAGTAACTCTGACATTCTTCTCATGTGATAACTTCTTTTGCCGACCATTTTGTCCTTTTTTATTATTAGCTAAAGTCAGCTTACTCATTTTTGTAATTTTTGCATTTTATATTGAAATTTTAAAGACGAATTACATGCATGAAATGACCCCTAGTCCAAAGAATCTAAGTTAAATAGTTGTAAGGACGATTATTACGAAAATAATTAACTACTCCGGTTCAATGAAACAATTATAAATGAATCATTAATATTCTTGTTTTTTATTATGAAATATTAGGAGAAATTTGTATTCATAATTTCTTCAAAACGTGTGTTAAAACTATTATTATAAGTTAATTAAGTAGAAAAAAGTCAAATGGAGGAAAAGAACAATTTTTGAGATGATGATTCTAAAAATAGCACGTTTTTCGAATATTTTTATAATTTTTTTATTTTAGTAGTTGTTTAACAAAACAAGGCATATCGAACATTTTCTTGATATAGCAATATTTTTTTAAACTGTGCAAAAGTTGAGAAATCATATACACAACTTTTTAAGCAAATATTTTCCACTTTTATAAACAAAAGGGTAACTTTCTTTAGGTTAGCGCACAAGAATAACTTTGAATGTCGAAATAAAATTGTATGTCCATAGTTTTTTGTTCATTTAAAAAACAAAACAATCTGTTGTATTTTTCCGCTGCGCACACATACGCATTTACTTTTCTTTACTCGAATAAATAAGAAACAATAAAAAAAAGAAAATTAATAATTTATCTTCATTTTTCGAAAACAATAGTATTCTTAGTAAACAGTCAGCTGTTCTGCATCGAATGATATTGTGTGTGATCAGTAGAATATTTTTAATTCCTTAACAAGATTTAATTCTCAGATAGCTGACAATAATTCTAAGTTTTCTTTCAATAAGAACTTAGCAATAATTTAAAAAGTAATTTTATTTTAAAGCAAAACATAAATTAAAGTACTAAAACGATTGATTAGTATATTATTGTAAAATAATATACATGGTTGCATAAAAAATAAGATTTTGTGTTAAAATTTAATTAAAAGTTAGAAAAATAATTCTGCAAAACAAGCGCAGACAGATAATTTACAAATTTATTTTAAGATTAAAGCGATATATAAGATGTAAAAAAGTTTTAAGATCATTAAAAATGCTGACTACATATTTTTATTGATATTTATAAAATATATATTCAAGAAATTGATAAATATATTATTCCAAATCAAGGATATGTATGTATATTATAGAAATTGTATCAGTTATTGATAAACAAAATAAAATAAATAAATAATAATCACATTAAATAAGCATAATCTGGTGTATAATCATATTCTATCAGAAGCACGCTTTTATAAAACTAGACATCCGCTCAAAAAAGTGTTTTTTATTCAAAATGTTTTATTCAAATTTCTTTACTTAATTTCGAATAAATTATTAAAGAACTAAAAAAGAAACATCTATTTTACAGTTAGAAAGAAATAAAAAGATTAGTAAACGATTATTAGCAAAAAGATATAAATGAAATTTTACGCTACGCGCGCGAAGTCAAATTCCTCGAAGTCAAATTTCTTCCAATTAAGTTTTGTTCCTCGCAAGTTTATCACATTTTAATATTAATCGCCCCATTTAATTATTTCTTTATTGTCGCCAAATTATTTTTTTAAAAATAATTAATTTTAATTTTTCTCAGCTTCTAATTAATAAAACAGTTGAAACTTTAGATTTTTCAATTGAAAAATATGTAGATTAATATGGTATAAAAAAATTCATACCTTATAATTCAAAATTTTTTCATCCTCAATTTAATTAAATAAAAATAATTAATAATTATTAAAAATTATTTTTTTCATGAAATTATCTTTGGGTAAATGAGTTTTATGAGTGAGTGCAATTTTCATTGAATTGCTTTATTAGTTTTAGAAATATGACAAAAAACGTAGAAAGTTAAATTAACATTGAGGGGTACGAACTTTGGATCACTCTCCTGACCAAACTATGGGGACCATATTTCCGAGACTGGGGCTACCCCCTATATTTTGAAGGTTAAGAATCCAAATATGTAAAAAAAAATATATGTTTATTCAGAGAAAGTACGTTTTTGTGCCTGATTTCGTAACTTAATTATTAGTTAGCACTAATTAATTAGCATATTTGAGGTCACCCCCAGNTTTTTTTTTTTTTTTTTTTTTTTTTTTTTTTTTTTTTTTTTTTTTTTTTTTTTTTTTTTTTTTTTTTTTTTTTTTTTGCACTGTACACCAGTCAATCTCGTTTTAATTTACCTATTTTCTGAGCTTTGAGGTAAGTCCAACTATATTTTTGCCATATTTTGTATAAAATAGTCATGTTTGTTCTTATTAAGTAATAATTGTACCTATTTAGTATAAGATTTAAGAAATTTTGACACATTTTGTTTTGTAGGATATATAGTCCCAATTGTATTTACTATTGGGACAATATGTCTCAATCGCACTAATCAGTGGGACAATACATCCCATTAGTGATAAAAATATTAGAAGACAAAATTTTAGTCATTGTTTTGATTATTTTATAATTGCAACTTCTGGTTTCTATAAGTTCTGGTAAAGAATAAATAATTCATTGCATTTATATCATTTTTATTATTAATTCCCATGCAATATATAGATATTTTTTTACAAAATTCAAGACGATTGGGACATAATGCCCCAGGAGATTTCCAGAATAACGGGGGAAATGGAAAACTATAAACTCACAGTATACTTATTTTAATATGTCAGCATTTATATAAACTGCTTTTTATATTCTCAAATATTAATGCTAAAAAAGTCTGGTCGAAAGGGTTAATAAAACATTTTGTCAAGAAAAATTGTAACTTAGTGGATAAAAAACCAACATTATAAATAATAGATAAAATTAAGTTGAGATTGCAGGAGAAAATCCAGCAGGAAAAAAAGGTAACTTGCATGATGGAAGAAACTTAAAAGGGAATATGAGCTGCCTTACCAATTACAGGAGCTTGAGTGTCCAAAAAATTCACAAGCAAATTCTGATAGATGGGTAACCCAAGTGGTGATACATTCGTGGAATCTTGAGAATCTTTCTCATCAGCAGCATCTGTCTCATTGAATCTCTAGAAAAGAACATTAATTTATCAATACTTTTTAACAATTTTAATATTAAAGCTTTTAAGACTTGCTTGGTAACTTTAAAGTAGGGTTTCAATAACCTTTTGAACTCAACACGCAGGGCAATATGCCTGTAAACTTTTTTCTACAAATGAAACGTAAAAATTTTGTAATTCAGTAGATGCCTTAAATTTTGATTTAAAAATTCTATAAAATGATAATTTATTGTTGTTTGGATCAAATGAAAAAAAATCAATAATTGTGAAATTACAAAACTCCTCACTACAAGATTAGAGATTACATTTGCTGAAGGAAAAAAAAACCTGAACTCAAGGCAATAAAAATTTGATAATGTAAAATTACGCTTCTTTTTCATTAAAGTACAGAATTCTCAAAAAGTGTGTGTCGGTCTATATTTCCATAAGCGCAAACCATATATAGTTAAGTTCCTAGTTTAAACTATCGATTTTGTAGATTTTACGAGCATCAATTAAAATAAAAAGATGTTGGATCAAAAATCCAAATATTTTGATACTTTAAACAGATTTCTTTTTAAACTACGCATATGTATTAATAGAAAATAAGATGCTCCAAAAAAAAAAAAAATAGGAATATCAGGAGGAAAAACTAAAAATCAGGACAGATAAGATCAAAAGTGAGGAAATCAAAAAGGAGAAAAAGAGGATAAATACAAACTCTGCATTATACATTGTCATAATTGTCATTGTTTTCATAATTGATACGTTTAAACTAAATCATTCATAAAAAATTTAGCTTATACTGCTATTATTGAATACATGTTTTAAAAAATATGTCAAACAGTGGTATTCCCTTTTAAAAATTTGAAGAAAAAAAAACTGTTACATAGGTACTAGCCCAGAAAATTTAAAATATCAGTTAGTAGTCAGTGTTCGGTGAACTCTAATACCTTAGCCACTCTTTACGCAAACCTAAGAAGTCGATGGCCCATACCGATCGGTCACTCACATTTAATAGCTGCATTTTATCGCTTGGATTAAATAATTATATCCCTTAAAAAATTTCACATTGAAATTAATCTACGAGAATATAAAATAAAATAAACAGTAAAAATATAAATAAAAGACAAAATTTAGTAGAATATCTGACTTGACTTCAACGTGCAGAAAAATTCAATGCGTAATAAAACAATAGGAAAAAGTGACCAGTTGCTTAAATTAATTTAAGTTGCCTTTTTATAAATTTTTTTTTTACTTCCAAGGTGGCGCATGTTTATTTTCAAATCTAACAGATATAAAAAAAGACAATAAAATTTATCTTTAAAACTTATAAATGAATAGAATAAAAGAGAATTATATAATAAATCAATTAATAATGAAGTACCTCAGTTGTTAAATCAGCTTGTCTTTTCTCTAAAAGTTTGGCGACAGCAAGCGCCCTGTGTTCTCCAGAGCGTTTTGTTGTGACTGCCCATTCACAGAGCAAACGTACAACTGCCTCGTCCTGTACAAGCATTTCATTCCAGTTGCCGTAGCATTTTTCTTTATTGACAGGAGTGGGGAAAACCTTGGGATATAATGTATCCAGCGTGTTGTTATTATCAACCCTATCAAAATTATGTCGGTCTAGAGCATCAAGTGCATTAAGAACTTGTTGTATAGTAGAACCTATAAGAAATAAAAAAATTCGTGACATTTAATATTTAACCAAAGCTTTACTATTGTAGACTATTTTTCTTTAAAATGTTGCACAGTACTCATAGGATTTGAAATTATAACTAGTCATAGGTACTTTATTTACTACACACTAGAGCTGCACAATGGGTTATTGGTTATGGTCTGCAGAACATCGCTGAGGATGATCCGAAGACATGCCATCACAATTTTTGCGAGACCACTGCCTCAATTGAGACACAAATCTGAAGAGGAAGGAAATTTTAACCAGATTTCTGTATCCATGATACTGCACAGAAAGCAACCACGGGAGTTTTGAAACCACAGATTGTACCAGCACAAATAACACATGTACTCGGTGGATCTTAGTGTAGTTCCAGATCAAAGTCCAGACCCTCTGTATAGCAGTCCAATTCTTTAACCACTGGGCTATTACGGCCTTTTAACAAGTCATAACTTCCTTCACTTTACAAATATTTCATGCGAGGCTCGACATCAGACATGCGATGTTTAAAGACAAACCAAACATACTAAAATTCCAAGAATAGAGCTTTAAATGTGCTAATTAGTTGGAGCCATCTATAAATTAAATTAGATTACAGTAAAAGAATGTGCAAAAATCAACGATTCTTGAGTACAGAAAATATTGGTTTTCCATGTTACAGAATTTTTCAAAAAAAAAAATTGCCTGAATAATAAAAACAAAGGTTTAGTTAGAATCTCAACACTAATAAAAAAATAATGATTGATGGCAATAAGATCATAAAAATAATCACTGATTAAAATAATAATAAAAATAAATAAATATGAAAAGTGGAAAATAAAGAACAATAAAAAATAGCTTTCAAATTTTAACTCTCATTGTTTTAATTATTTAACACCACAAATTTTTTACATTTAAATATTTCCTAGAAAAAATGACACTGCATAACAACTTCAAAAAAATCTACTCACGCAACAAGAAAAAGACCAGCTGGTATTAAAGATGAAATTTAGCAATGTTCTAATCAGAACTTATAAAAAACAAAAACTTTAAAGAATTTTTTTATAAACTTCTTAAAATTTTAGCTTTCTAGTTAACTGACGTCAAAATAGTTGATTTTTTTTCCCTGAACAACTAATTGAACAGGTGATTTAAACTTGAAATAATTCTATAAAGATTAAAAAGCCAACCCATTCAATAGCAATTGCACTTAAATACACTTCTCTTTTTAGATATAAAATTAGTCATCATTTGTTTCTAAAAATTGTTCACATATACTATGTTCCTACTTTAGATTAAATAAATGTTGCTCAAAACAGCAAGCATAAAAATTAAGCTACAATGTCACCCCAGTAGCATCTGAAAGTAGAGGGCCGCACAACATGATTAAGAAAATTAGCAAGGCTAGTGAATTCAGAGTAACATATATATGTATAAATACTTAAAATCAAAGAATAAAGAATTAAGATAAAAAAATTTATATATATTCTCTTTAATGAGTTCAATTTAATAGTTAGTTTTTTTGTTTATAATGATTCAAAAATAAAATATCAAAATTAAAGTATGTTCACTCTGAAAACACTCAATCAGACCTAAAAACTTAATCAGATATTTATTTTGAATATGAGATCCACATAAGTAAAACATGTGTGGATAAATAAAGCTAAAACTTCATAAGTAATTTTCTACTATCAAAATCGAAATGAAATATAATTTAAAAATCTTATTTCATTCATGTCCTTACAAGCATCTATTTTAAATTGCAATGGCTTTCAAGGCAATGAAACGAGCTTTAAAGCAGATTGCTTTTGAATTAATTTTGCTTTAATTAAAACTTCATTGCACACAATCAGTCTGTCATCCATAAATGAAACCAAAATTGAAAAAAGTCTTTTTTGTACAGTCAAACCTCGATCCATTATTCCTGCCAAAGCTATTGGTTTTAGCAACACTGAGCAAACTAAAAACTATTAGCTAAATTTTTTGATTTTCTGCAACGAAACAGAAATTTGGAAAGAAAATGTGATATAAATTACAAACATAAATGTAAAGCATTACAAATATATGAAGAAAAAAAAATACTAAAGAATACAATTACAACTATAACCAAATTATATTATCCAAATATAAATATTTAAAAAAAATATTAAATGTCAATAATTACTCAAAAATTCCATCTTAAAATTTTTTTAATAAACTTCAATTAGGAGGCCTATAATTTTAGCAGCCTTGTGTGACCACCCTTTTAACTAGATCCTAAGCACCGACTTGTTCCTTTTTAGCACAGATATTAGTGTGCACGTATTTGCTTTATTACGACAAGAATCACATGACGCTGTGACTTAATGGAGAATAAAAATAAAAAGCAGAATAAACTTATGTTAAATGCAGGTTTATAACTTAGTACAAAATAAACAGACCAAGTGCAGTTTGTTGCCATTTATCACAAGACCATCTCACTTCAGCAGCACGCCCTCTTTGCCTTATCTGTTCTTCAGCTTGACGCAATTCTGCTCGCACCTAAAATTTTGTGGCACACTTGAGATACAACAGCAAGTCATCGCACACACATAAACATTTTACAGTACACTCTCGGTGTTTCAAAAACCTTGTTATGTCTACAAAAATATTTTTCCCCTTGGCATTACACCTAATGTTAATTTGAATTCCTATGTCGAAGGCTTTCTTCTCAAAACCTTGCTATGTCAAAAAAAAATTTCGAAATAGAAATTAAATTTTTTCACAAAAATCGCAACGTGAGTTTATTGTAAGCCAATTCTTTTTTATTTAATGCAGAATTATTTTTGTCTTACTTTTAAAAATAAAATTATAATTTTTGCATTTAGACTTATAGTCAACTATTATTACATATATATATTTAATAATAGCTATTCTTATGCTTCACGACTCTACTTTTCAGAGTAATATTTTAGATTATGTTTTTCTATATGAATATAACTTGAACTTGTTATCTCGAAAACTCGAAATTTTTTTAGTGTCCCTTCAACTTTGAGATATCGCGAGTATACTGTAGCTGGTAAAAATGAATTCCAGAAATCAGCCAATGCCAATATAAAGATATTTAATAGAATAATATTTTTCCCATTTTAGAATGCTGATTTTCTTCTCATTCTTCATAAGAAAAGAAAATTCAGAAGTTTTTCAAATCAATTTTACTGTTTTTAGAGTTGGGAAGAAGAAAAAAAATTTTAAAGCCAAAAAACTAAGAGTTAAGACAAAAGGTTAAATAAAATTATGAGACCCAAATTAAAAGTAAGTAAACCTCTAAAAAGCATTCCACAGAAATATTTTTTAACCATTGATTAAATTTTTTGAATAAAGAATTTTTTAACCAGACATTTTTGTTGTACAGTCTGTCTTACCTAAATAACTCATCAAAATATTTTACAAGATTTCAATTGGATTTATATGATATCACACTATTTTGATTTTCCAGTACAACTATTTTTGAATTATGACAATCATGAATTTGACCAGTCCAACAACTGCATGTAAGGAACGAATCGTTTTGAATTCTTCATTGCTTCAATGGGAACTAATTAAGTTTTCAGTGTCAATTACAAAAAGAAAAAATTCAATCAGATGATGTTTAAAAGTTTGTTCAGCATGTTCATGTCCAAAAGCTCAAACTTGTTTCAGTTAATTTGAAAGTTAAAGTAAATATATAATAATTCCAGCCCAACTCAGTCTCATGGAAACTCGTAATGTTTGAATTTCTATTGTATATAAAAAAAAAGGACACATCTTTAATAAGCATTAATAAGCATAGCAAATGCAATGAAGGCATAAACGTAACTAGTTACCTGGGCATTAAAAGGCCTCTGGGGCATTGGAAGATTGGAAGGAGCAGATGGCAGTAAATCTAAAGGAGAACCATTCATCATGGAAGAACTTTTTCCATCCCCTAAATTGTTCCACACCAGAGCACTCTGGCATTCTAATGTAATTATCTATAAATGGAAATTAATTAAAGAGATCCTAGATAATTGAGAAATTTTTAAAATGCAAGAATAAGAAACTTAATTTATAAATCAAATACAGTGGAAAGTCCACTATCTCGAATCATCAGGACTTCTACAAGTCTGGAAAATATATTTTTCAGGATAATTGGTCTTTAAGGTAAACAAACATCATAACATATATTATTCAATAAAAAAATACATTGATGATTAACATCAATTTCATATGTTTTCTAAATATTTCAAAAGTAAATAAAAGTTAACAGAGGAAAATTTGAACTTTCTCTTTTATGAAGTCTTTTTTTCTTCATGTGATGTGAAATATTAGCTGGGCGGATAACCAGATAAAAATAACATTAAAAAAAAGCCTAATATTCGAAAAATAGATTATTCCATTTAATAAAAAATAATATAAAACAAGGAACAGAATTAAGAAAATTTTGTTAATTAAAACATTTAAAATTTAAACGAAAACTAAGCTCATATGCTGGTGTTCTTTTCAAACACTGCTAATGTTCAGTTTTACTAATTTTCATAATTCATTCTCCTCACCTAAGTTTTTTTTTCTTTTTCTTTAACCACAAACCACCTTTCAATGACTCTTTTAGTGCACTTATTGAAGCGTAATAAATATTTAGGGATTGGAAAAACATTAAAAAAAGAGAGAAAAGCATTTTCTTACCTTTTTTAAGAAGGAAAAGATTTATTTATTTCTATTGTAAAAAGTGTCCAGAAAATAGAAGTTTCTGATATTTGAGGTAGTCGGTATTTACAGAAGTCGGAGAAAAAATTTTTTAAAAAACTAAATTATTTGTATAAAAAATTTATAATTGTAATTCAAATTAATTTTGATACTGTAAATGATAAAACTTCATAGAAATTACACCAAAAATTTCTAAAGGCAGAAGTACCAAAGAGAGATAAAAGATTTAAAGCCCATCGCCTTTAAATTTTTTTTTTAAACAAAATATGTTTAAGACAAGTAGTTCAAGGAGTCATTAAAAATTTAAGAAGTAAGTAGTTTATATAGTATGGTAAAAAAATAATTTTTCTACAGGAAAAAATTAAATTTTTGCTAAAATTAGACATGTGTTGTAAATATTAAAATAATCTCTCTATTTTACAGCCAGAGAAAACAATCAAAGGTCCATTTTTTTTTACTTTCTAACTGTACATAATTTACTGTACTTTGTCTTTTAATTTTTTTTTAAATTACTTAAAAAAATCGGAATTTATTGTAGAGCTCAAAAACTTGGTTATTTTTTCTAGCAGTCCTTTTCCAAAAAAGGTTAACTAGTGTAACATATCACCTAGCTATATACTTTGGATAATAATAGTAAAAATGTTTCAACTCATTAGCTATAAATCTCAGAAATATAAAATACCTGACAGGTAATCAAACCAATCAAAGACTGATTCAGAAATTCTGAAGATGGTGTAATTTTATTTTTCAAAAAAGTGGCCTCATTAGCAGGTAAAAAAAGCTGTTAATAAGAAACTAGAAAGTGTAAAATCATTGATACTTTACTTCCATTACGATACACTTTTACACCAACTAATGCTCTGAATTCAGAGCTTGTAAATTTCATTGCCTGATTGGAATATTGTAAATTTTCTAACTGGGTATGCATCTTACCCTTCTTTCTAATTTTTCTATGATTAAAGTTTAAAGTATCATTTTCAGATAATTATATGATATAAAAACAGCATTTTTATATATTGCTTAGCATCTGTTTCAAATCTTTAGTGAAATTTAGCAATATCAGAGCAGGTTATTTTCTTTATGTGTTAAGTTGGTTTACAATTTCTGAAACCTGGATATTCATATTACTTTTAGCTGTTCTGCCTTTTTTAGAACTAGATTATGCAGTTTCAAATGAACATTTGTTTTTCACAAAAGGAAATAGTTATGTTGAAATAAATGCACTTTTAGATAATACTAATGATGATAATACTTCTCTGGATACTATGGATACTTTGGATAATAATAATAATGCTCTGCTCTAACTACGCCGATGCTTATTTGTGCTTAATACTTCTTTGTTAATAATGCTGAAAACTTCAGATTTATACTTAAGAGTTGATGATATGATGTTGTTTAAAATTCTAGTTTCTTATCACCTTTGTGAAAAGCCCTACTCATAACTTAAGTAGGTGTATAAAAAGAGCAATAAATTATGAAGTAAATAAGAACAGCTTACTTGAATGATTGCACACAAATAAAATAGGACACTTCGGTGGTGTGAACAACTTAGGCATTCCACAATACTAGCAGTTATTGGACTAAAATTGGACTGAGGATTTGGCACAGATATGGACTGGCTGAAAACAAAAACATTAACTCTAATAGCAGAAGCTACAAATAAAAACATCATTTGTAGATCACAAATGAGAAATGACAGATAATACAATGCGTTGTACAGTGCATACAATACATATGGAGAAATTTTTAAAAAGGATTAGATTTAGTTGTATGCAAGAACACATAAAAGCAAGAATGAACATTAAGTAAAACCAGGAAGCAGGGACACTGCCATTCACTTCCACTCACTTCATTAAAGACATTCACTTCAGCAGATTATCATAGCACTAGCAGTTCCCCTTTTATATCCAATGACTGAATTTTTACAGTCACAGTTTCCCTCTAAGTTCGAATTTCAGATAAATTTAAATCTACAAAGACTGTGCCTTAGACTGGCGCAATAAAAGCTGCTAATCTGGAAGTAAACAAAAACCTTTGGTTTCCAAACTAAACATTTATATTATTTTTCACAAAAAAATGTCTTTTAGATGCCTACTACACCCCCCTGACATGTTCAGCAAGTCTTTGTCACACTATGAACGTCCTTTGGAAAGGTGCTGTGTTTAAGAATGTATGCACTGTTCTTTAACAACTGCTTCCATTTTTACCATCGAATCGGTTGTCTCAAAATTTCATATCCAGGTACTGAAGGAACAGTAATCATCAAGATAAATCTTGAAATGTCTGTGAAATTCATTCACGAGCGATTGTTCTTCCATTACAATTGTTGCAATATTTGAAGCGGTCAATGTCAAAAGGGAATATGTAGCATCTTTCCGAAAATAAGTTTTTCGTTGGTTTTGGAATCTGTATAGATAAACGTAATATTTAAAGTTGGAACAGGACATGTATCGTGGGTACATCTCAAGTGACTTCACCCAGTAGTTTGTGTTCATTTTTGAATAGGGATATGTGTAGCACAAGCCCCGTTTCTACAATGACTCAGTGTATCATGGAGAATCGATAACAATAATTGCACAATAATCAATTACAATAATAATTACGGTAATCAGCGCTAGTATGAGACTTATCAATATTATGTTTTCGTAATTCTGACAAAGTGAGGTCTATTCACTTTGATATAATTATTTAACACTTAACTACAAGTGCTTCATATTTTTAACACAAGTACAAGCAAATTTTATATGCCACCAAAAAATAAATAGATGCAGCTCAGCAGTTTCCCAGCAGTAACAAAAACATATCAATGCCACCAAAACAATAAAACTGATAGAACATGTCAAGGACAAGTGACTTTTCATACAGCCAGCATGATTTTTCATACGGGCATGATGTACCTGGAAAAGTGGTTGTCAGGAAGTAAATAAACAGTTTGGTATCCCACAGTAATCCTATACATCAGTTCCCAACTCCTAAAGCTTATCTAGCTGGACTCATCATCAGCATTGGCACGACAGCCCTTTATGAGCCTGGGCCTTCCTCAGAAGCTTTTCCCATTCTGCCTTCCTCCTATCAATTGATTTTCAGTTCTTTACTTTTAGGATGGCAAAATCCTAATCTACACAGTCTTTCCATCTCTTTTTGGGCCTTCCTCTTGGCCTTTTATTGGTTGGGGTTGCATTAAAGATTCCTAATGCTGTTCGTTCTGGGCTCATTCTCACTACATGCCCAGCCCATCTCATTCTACTTAGTTTAATAGATTTAATGATATCATCACTATTAAAGATTTTATATATTTCAAAATTATATCTTTTTCTCTAGTTGTTGTTATCAAGGATAGCACCAAAAATGGTTCGTAGCTGGACCCATTAACAGCAAAAAATTGGATGACCTGAGATCTTCGTTATGACTTCTATTCAATATTGCAGAGAGAGCCAAAGACTCAAACAGAAGCTAACACAGTCACACAAAATCTCAATGAAGACAGCCATAGAGGGAATGAGACTGAATGAACAATTTACATTATCGACAGATAACACGTACTTACGATTTGTCATCAACTTTTACAATGTGTCAAATTATTTGCTTATCCATTTCTTGAATTCAAATACCAAGTAATTTTCAAGAGTGCCAAAAGAAGAGAATCCAACAATTTGGAAGCAATTAAAACAATATTTCCACAATTGACACAGTTTTTATGGTTCTTCTAATGGTATTTATAAAATGCCATTAGAAAAAAAAAAACATGTAATCCTCCCATCCACTGCTCCCTTATAACTAAAAATACTTTAGAAGTTTATTATGGTAACATCGTTCATCTCCTTCAGCTGAACTAAAACAAGTGTTGCCTCCATATAATCACTAACACACTTTCTAAAGTTCTGTTCAAAAATAGGTATGTTCATTCAGAAAAAGTACCTTTTTGTGTCTTATTTGAAAACTTGTAACATCGTCCGCACTAATTAAGTAGCGTATCAATCAACACAATAAGATAGGGTGAAGAAAAAGAAAAAAAGGTTTTTTATACTTGAAAAACACTACCTCCCAAAAGTTGTATATGGACTAGTGTATCACTAATGGGCACCCTATGCAAACAATTTCATCTTATTTATTTTAGGTGTATCAAACTTATCAAGATAATTGCTTTTCACCTATAAAATTAATAGTTTCATCTGCTTTAGTAACTTATCTTTTTTTTTTAATTAGCAAACAACAGAAAGACAATATTTAACAAATCAGAAATATTCTAATTTTGCTGTTTTTATAGCAAAATTTGAATAATCTTTTTATTATAGTCAAGCAAAGAATTTAAAACTTATTTAATTTAAGATTCTGGATAACTTAATTTTTTTCTACGCAATAAATAGAAAAAAATGCAACAGTATTCTTAAATCAAGTTGTTACATTTTAAGAAGTATCTCATTTTTATGTACACATTCTATTCGAGAGTATGTAAATGATTCAAATTTTTAGATGTTTTATATTTTTTCTCTGATCCATAAAAGACATGAAACTCATACCTAGATGTTGAATTTACAATTGGACTAGGACATCGTGAAGCATCTGAAGTATCACATAAAAGAACACTCAGTTTCTTAGCACAGTTATAGGCAAGACGTCTGGAGAGCAACTGGGAGTTAACAAACTCATCTGCATACTGAAATTAATTAAAAATTGATTAAAAAACTTTAAAACACAACTTTTGAAGGAATAAATAAAGGAATGAATGCAAAATAAATAAAAACTGTGAACAAATTACACTCGGTACCAAAAAAATATGAGAACAATAATAATCAATAAATTTTATTTTTAATTATTTAATCAAAAATTACATTTAAAAATATTTTAGAAGTAAATATGAGCCTTTTGCTAGTTATATGTACCTGCCGCAAGAGCATTTACAATTAATATAATATGTTATTAAGAAGGGTTTATTTGTAAAACAATGATTCTACTACAACAAATTCTATTTAAAATCTTGTGCTTTTCACTTTGTATAGTCCATGTAACAAAATAAGATAATGCTATAAACCAGGGTTAGCATTTTATCTGAAAGAAATCTATTTCTTCCATGACCATAGAAAGAACAAAGAAAGAACCAGAATTTTTTTAAAAATTTTCTATTTCTAGCAGTAGCACTAGAACGTACATACATTGACTAGTGTGTGACAAGAACACACAGCACAAATTCACGAAGTTAAGCAAAACAGAATGAAGAATCAGAATAAAAATATAAAACATGCCATGAGTCAATACAAGTCAACCAGTCCAGAGATCCTTAAGTTTTTTTTCTTGCCTGTCAGTATTTATTACAGAAATGTCAAAATACACCAGGGCATTCTTTATCTTTATGCCAGTATCTCTCCTGCTTTATACAAAAGTAGGGGATAAGAAGAAGTCAAATCTAAATAAATGTCCTGCAAGGCAATCTTTCAAGGTGTCTAACCGAAAACCTGCAACAGCATGTTGTATAAGAGCAGATGGAACCTTTTTTTTTAAAAAAAAGCCCCTCCAATGTTGAGTTTACGGCTACCAATATTCAATTCTGTAGCCCTGTCATTTTGAACCTTATCCAGAAGACAGGGAACTACTGGATCAAGCATTTGGAGAAATTTGCCTTGTTGGAGGACTTTTTGATTGAACTAACTTGCATTTGTGTTACATGGAGAGGAAAACCTCCAATAGTTAGCCTGATGGCAAGGGGACTCTATCCCATGATATGTTTACCACTGAGGATATTTTCATGTCAGCACTGTGGTCAGTGCGAGCCAGGTGCAGAATTCAAATTCTAGCCTTTATTGGGACTCAAACTAGAGTCACCTTATTGGGAGGCGAGTGCTCTATCCCCTGAACCACCACGGCTATCAACTGGAACATTTAAAAGAGATTTCTGCTAATACTTATCCTTCATTGGTTTGTTTGCCTAGATAGAAAGTCTTCATGCATGTGTTCTTTTATTATTCACTCTATAGATGAATAAGAGATAGGGTCCCATGGAATCTGTAGAATTTTAGTCCCTTTATAGCCAAAATATTGGACATTTCATAACCAGATGTTCCACAATGAGCCAGGACCCATTGCAAAACACCTTATTTATACAGGTTTAGCAAAATATTTAAATTAGCGACACAATTCATTGTTCTTTGCTAGTCAAGCACACTAGGGAGAGATGATGGACTGAATCACAGGCTTTGAATGTGACAATAGGCATTATCAAAACTCTTACACCTAGAAATTAACAAAGAGATGAATATCAAAACCCTTCCACCTAGAGATCAGTTGTTGAGATTCCCCTTACTAAAAGTCTCCATTACATGGCACGGTAAGGGGACCATGGGATAAATATCAAAAAACCTGCAACTGAAAATCAGTTGTTGATATACCAACCTTATGGCCTCCATCCAATGGTATAGTAAATGGACCATGGGATGAATATCAAAATCTCCCACCTAAAAAATTAATTGTTGAGATGTCAACCTTGCGGTCTCCATCCAATGGTGTGGTAAATGGATCATGGCAGGAATTAAATGCAAAAAAGCACTAGTTACAGCATTTATTTTGTTTGAAAGGTGGAATTCATTCCTGTTTGGGATATTTTGTGCATACCAGAAGATAATGGACAAAATGAAAGAAACTAACTAATTACATTGTTTAGCAATAAGAATGGATGGGACAAGAACTAAGATTCTAAAACAAGAACAGACTTTCAAAACAGAATCAAGAGATATTATAAACAATGCATAAAAAAAAGTCATTAGACAAATTTTGGATAACTGATTCTTCTAAACATAAATAGTCTTAGGAGAAATGATAAGAAAACCATAAACATTACTTCATGTCACCTAAATTAGCATTGAAGTATGTTGTTTTCATTTGCTAAAATTAAACTAAGAAATGAATAAAAAGTATTTATTTGATTACAATGTAATGATTACTTCGTTAAGAATTATTTTATATTTTGATTGGGATACATTAAGGTGTAATTATCAAAAAAACATTGATCAAAACAGAACTGATATGGATTAAATAGTCTCGTGAGAATATTATTTCATAGCATGAAAATCATTTTATTTTGAGAAAATTTAAAATATACCATAAGATATCATTATTGTTTCCATCTAAGCAAATTTCACAAATTTACAAACAAATATGTGACATATCATTGGATATGGTAGGTGTGATGTAATATTTTTAATTGAATAGGTTATAGCTGAAGCAACTGATGCAAACAGCAAGCTGAATTTGTGGTTACAAAGGAAAACTGACAATTTTAACATTGTATTTAAAATTTCTTTTTATCAGGGATGAAAGTACCAGTTAGCAAAAAAAGCTGAATTCCACATAAACGCAATCAAACATTATTAAATTAATAAATGCATGGAGCTTAAAAAGCTTTGAAAAAAGCTGAATTCAGAGTAAAAGCTGAAAACTTTCATGCCTGTTTTATCTACCTTTAAAAAATCAACCATGAAAAATCAAAGAACAATAGTTATTTAACACAATATTATGTGCTCTAACTTCTACATCCAGGGTGTGTAGCCTAATTATTCAACAAAAAATAAGCACCTTTTAAGCACTTTTAAAGCACTTAAATAAAGTTTTTAAGCACTTTAAAAAAATCACAATTAAGTAGGATTGAAAAGTTTTTGACAATTGACGGTTTAACCTAGTCTAAACCGTCATGTCAAAAAAGAAAGAAAAATACCTTTCGGCACTGTTTTTTGACAATTGTCAAAATTTTTGAATCATGTAAATCGAATGGCATTTTCATACGCTACAGACTGACGATACACCGAAATAGATTGGGGTTGAATTAATTGAGAAAATGTTGAATAGAACAGTGTCTTTCTGCATAATTCGTAGCAAAAATCAACATGGTAAAGGACAAATATCATTTTGGAAAAGGGAAAATTAAGCACCTTTTAAAAACACCCAATGAAAAAAGCACCTTTAAGGGCTTTTAAAAAACGAAAATAAAAAAGCACCTTTAAGGGCTTTTAAAAAATGAAAATCAAAAATAAGCACCTTTAAGGGCTTTTAAAAAACCAAAATCAAAAATAAGCACCTTTAAGCACTTTTTAAAAACACTACGCACCCTGTACATCACTTTAAAAAACTATAGTCTAAAAATATTGAAAATGAGTACCTGCAAAACCAGAGGCAATATAACTTTTAAAAGGGGATCATCGGGACTTTTAGTTTTTTCTAACAAATCTAGTATCCAAGATAAGTAATCTTGTCTATCTAATAATCCTTCCTAAAAAAATGATCATAAAAAACAGCATTAGATTAAAATAACATATGAAACAATATCAGATTAAAAACAGAATTTCAAAACTTTTAGCGAGAGATTTACTCTCCAGGATGTATTAGCCTATCAAGTGATGGTGTTAAGGGGTTGTAAACCAACTGAAGACTCCTATTCAATATCATATGACTAACTTGAATATCTATGTTAAATAGGAAAATTACATTCATTTATCTGCTACTACATCTAGAATTTTGTACTTTTTATCGAACTTTTTCATATATTCTTTTTGAATAGAAAAAAATATCTTTTAAAGTTTAAATAAATGTCCTTGTAGATAGTTGTTGTAGATTATATAATTTTTTCTATATGATTGAAAATATTCTATAAACAATTTACGGTGTTAAACTTTATTATTAAGGTACCCTTCCCTTAAGTGGATAACTCTCGTAAACGGAAAATTTTTTCAGTTACCCGAGAGTGCTTGCTTAACCGAAGTTTCACTGTTCATCTATAATCCCAGGGGTGATCGTGAGCCCAACTCAAAAATCCTGAAAATTTCTTGAGTAAAATCATTAATGATGGATTTCAAAAAATTAATGTCTTTATAAATTTAAATCATTGATATTTAAATCAAAACATGAAATTTAAATCAAAACATGAAATTCTAAATAAATTATAAGCAGCATAATTTAAAGGAATAATTATGTGTAAGTTTACTTTTATCTCTAATCACATTTATTATTCTACCAGAAAAAATATTTACAAATGAAAGAGATGCCAAGTATAAATTCTAGTTCTAATATATTTATAAATAAAATATACAAGAATTTTTATACATAAATATGATAGATGATTTCTCCTAACTTCTGGACCTTGGATTTCGGGATCGCAGTGAGCGAAAAATCCGGAAATCCAGATTTTTTCCGGAGCACGATCATCTCTGATAATCCATATGGTAAAATCTTAGGAGCCTAATTGGTGAATATAATATGGCTAATGAGTGTAAAAATAACTAAAACTTAAAAAATTCGTTTTAAAAAAACCCAGCTGAAATATGATTGCAAAAATAGTTAATAATATTTAAACTGAATGCTACAAAATAATTTAAACTAATAATGAATACTGATTTCATGAAAATGAATTACCTCATACAAGTGCCGAGCTAACATAGTACAATACTGCCATTGCTTGTATGCAACGTCCAATGTAATCACCCCATTTAAAGTATTGTTTGCTAAATTAGGGTTAGCACTACCTAAAGCAGTCAAGGCATTAGAAGAACTGAGCGATGATGAAACAGTTGTATTTCCAGCAGTACTGTTGGTACCAGTACCTGATGTAGTATTGTAATGGTCTGCGACTTTCTGTAGTTGCTCTCTCAGAAATTTGCAGAGCGTCAGGGTCCATTCTAAAAGGATGAAAAAATTATTTAAAAATAAATCTTATCAGTGCATAGTTAAAAACTTTCTCTTCTGGAAAAATATTGAGAAAAAAAAGTTTTATTAGCATTAAAAGACTGCTGACATCATCCCCGATGAATTTGGCACAATAATTTAAATTTAGAAGTTGCTAAATGTCTGTTACAATGTTCCAAAAAAAAAATTTACTTTTCCAAAAATATTACAACAAATTAAAACTGGTTCCCTTTTAAGGTGACAAAAAACAGTTATTATCAATGAAAGCTAACTTTTATAATCTTAATTTTCAATTTAGATCAAACAATTTGTAATATAAAATAGTTTCTCCATATAAGTCATTTTTAAGCCAGTTGAATATAAAGCAACAATGCAAAAAATAGCTGTAAAAAAATTGCTCAGTGCGATTGATAAGACCAAACAAATATTTTATCATTTGCACTTATTATTTTAATGTAGCAAATTTTTATTACTAACAGATTAATCAAAAAAATGTGAAGCCTCGTTATTATAAAACCGATACACTAAATATTTGCAATGTAAATAAGCTGTTCTAACTTATCAAGTTGGGTTTCCCTATTAAAAAATATTAAAAATCAGGATCATAGATTAGTAAGAGCATACCATCCATAAGGGTTATTGTTAGGGCTGTAGGTTTGTCGCGGCGCAAATTTCCACAATGATTTCCGCGAAACTGTCATCTTTTTTCCTAAAATCCGCGAATTTCTCAATATGTCTTGACTTGCTCGAAAATTGCTTAAAATTTGATTTTTTTTCATTTTTTATTTATTATTTTTATTAAACAGAATTTTTTATTNCCAATCCTTAATTATAATATATCGTCAACACTAACTAATGAATCTTTGTTTAGCAAAATGTTTTAAGATTATTGAACACCGATATTTAGTGTGATATGCAATTCCTTAAATGTTGAAATGCCCGCTCTATCGTAATCCTAATTTGATAGTCCCTACGAAACACGGATTTTTTCATTCAATATTTATTTACGAAATATTTTGAGGCTTTGTAAATTTGTATCAATTTTTTTTCCTTGTGCTGTATATCTTTTGCATTTATTAATAATTTTTTGTTACATTATTAAAGTTTTACACCTTCTATTTAATAATGTAGTTTAACAGGATATTATTGAAATAAACAAAGAGAAAAATTTGGGCGAAGATATATTCATTTACCAGCTTCTGCGAATGTACTATATATCTGCGAGTAATTTTCGTTAAATACGACAATTTAATGTAACTGCCATTAAAATCTGATATCATAGAATAAAATGACAATTTTTTTAAAACTTTATTTAACATCATTATTATTAGCTTTTTAGAATGATTTTACACATTGTCATTTTCCTGCGTTCTCTAAATAATTAATATAAACTATACTATTCTATCTGTGCTGTTTAATAAAGTCTTGTGATTAATAACACAAAGACTAACTAAAAATGAAATGGAACATGGAAGTAAAAGCTATGAAATTATAAATTGTAATTTTTCTGGCTCTTGAATGCCAAGGAATAATTGCAAACTGCTAAATGCTTGTTAACTATAGTACATTGCTCTCTATGAGGTATTAATTAGAATTCTTTTAATAAACGAGTTTTAGAAAAAAGAAATATAGTTAAAAAAAGAAATATAGTATTCCAATCCAAAAGTTTAATAATTTAAAAAAAAATTCATATGTGTCGCATTTCCTAAAAATTACCCATGAATTACTTCGTAAAGAATTCATTTTTTATAATATATTATTTTGCCTGCTTAAACGCATTATAATTTGCGGTGAACAGATGAATTTTTATTGATATTTTATACGGAGTTTTTGACAATGACGGTGGTTTTGTTTTAATGTTCTTTTTATTTGAATTTCGCTTTTGTCCCAACCGAAGGGAAGCGGGCGACATTAATGGCTTGTCTTTATTTTGATTTTCATTTAGATCACTGGTTGTGATTTTTAGCTTTTAAATGAAGCTTACAGTGAAAACTTCTGCATTAGATTATTTTATCAAAACCAAAAAGAGTTTACTTGTATGTATGTAACTGGTTTAATTAAATTACATCTAGATAATAAATTCCTCAATCACAAAACACCCCCCATGAAAAAACTATACCTACGTGCTTGCAACTAAGGTGGTCTTTCTACAGTTAGGGAGAGTAATTACCTTCCTGAAGTCAGTAAGAGTACAAAAGAAATTGGAATCACAAAAGAAGGAAAATGTTATAAATCAAATCTTTGACAGAAAAATATACATGCTATTGCACTGGGCAATGAAATTTCTACCGCCTTTCTACATATCCAGTTGATTTTTCCTTGCAGGCTTCTTGTGATTTCTTAAATATAGATCAGTTTCTTAAATGAATGGGGGGGACTAGTAGTTAGTAGGGACTTGTAACTAGTAGCTTGAATGTAGAATGTTTGAGTTTTCACAGCAATTACTTCTTACAAAGCAACGGTCAAGGAATTGTCCGCTGGTGAAGGAAAATTGATCGAATTTTGGAAATCAAAGACCGAACGCTCCAAAAATGGCAAAAGTGGCAATTTGAAGTTTGACGGTTGACGCAGAAAGAGCGTTTTCTAAGTATAAAAATGTAGTAAGTGATGAAAGACGAAGGATAAATGAGAATAATCTGACAATGTACAATACTTTGTACCAAAATTCTGTTCATTTAAATAAAAATATTAATATTGCTTGAAATTCAAAGAAATACTTTTGTTGTGTATTTTTAAGCTTTTTTTATTATTTGCGCAATTTCTGTCTTTTGCATCATTTATATAAGAAATTTTTTTATGTTTAGAATTTGTGTAATTTTCAAAATTTCCTGCAATTTTTCCACGCATTTGGGGTCTTTTTTTTCCGCGACAAACTTGCAGCCCTGGTTAATGTGTCCATTTTTTTTAAATAGCCAATTCAAGGCAATTTTTCTGCGCATTTGGGGTCTTTTTTTTCCGCGACAAACTTGCAGCCCTGGTTAATGTGTCCATTTTTTTTTAAATAGCCAATTCAAGGCAAAGAATCTGATATTTCTCTTGAAAACCATTTCTGATGTTGAAAGAATGATAGGAATAAAACCTTTAATTTAATGGGGGGGGGGATCCTTAAACTTACAAATGGGAGACTTCAAAGAGCTTCAGTAAGCTGTCTTCAGTGATAGGATGCCTTTCTCAGTAACAGGTGATCACTGGGAAAATAGCACTAAAATATTATAATCTGGAGCATATTTAGGAATCATGTTGAAATTTTTTTACTGTAAAATTTCTCTATCATCTGAGACAAGGCATGAAAGTAGACAAAAATAAATTTAAAAAAAGCTAAACTTTTACAATGCAGACACTGGGAGGTGAGAGGGGAGTTTTATGTAATACCGTGATATCAATAAAATATATGAAAACATAACTTTTAATGCTGCCGTGAGATTTTTTTATTTTTATTAAAAGTGGTAGAAGCATTTAGACAGTAAAATTTAAATTTTTCTTAAATATAATTTTAAATGTCTTTGACCATTTCTATATTAAAGAAAATTGAGCAATACATACAGCTTAGTAATCATCATTTTAAATTGATTGCCAGTCAATCGTTTTAAATTAAAACAATCTCTAACTTTCACCTCAATATCTTCTGGTAAATAGTTACTAACAGTTTTAGTCACTTTGACTGTTTTATTTAACCAGTCAAACTTGATTTTATTTTTTTCAGCAGCATTGATCGTGCGCACTTTGTGTTCGTCTATCAAATTGACTTCCAGTGTTACAATACATTCATCTTACGACGCACCATGTGAAAAGGACACAAGTAAACGAAAAACAAATATGTGAATGGATAAACGCAGGAACCACCAAAAATAAAAACTAGCGAAGTTGAGAGAGCTATAATGTACGGATGCGCAAATTCAATTCACTTCGCACCAATGAGGAAATATCCGGATCAAATATCTGCAGGCTAAATGAAACAGGTTAGAACTCAACAACCAAAAAATTTTCCCCACTATGCAGCATAAGTTGCTCTTATTAAGGCAACAGCCCCCCATTTTCTCCTGAGGATCATTCTTTCTCGGGAAGCTACTGCAAGGAAAAAAGTTCAGTAAGTACTACTGGACGGCTTAGGTTTCTGCAGTTATTAGGAGGGGCTCTGTGATAATTTGACTCCCCTAAAAATTATGTTTTTGTAACATTGCTGGAAAAATTTTAAAAATTGAGAGAAAAAAGCAGATTTCCGCTTTTTGGCGGAAGACTTTCATCCCTATGAGTCACTGTGAATGAAGCAAACATAAACTTAAATTTTGTCCACTCTGCCAATACAACATCCTCTTGTTCATTAAATAGATTTGATTTTAAATACATGGAATTCCTTTATCTCCACCATTCAAAATTCAAAAATCGTTTCTTTGGAAAGCCAACTTCTATATCCACAGAAATTGCAGTCTTTCTGTGATGCACATCTTTGCATATTTTTATATTGCTTGCCCTCATTTAAGTCTAAAACTATTGCTCAAAATTTTTATATTTGTCAACTGAAAACTCAAAACTATAGGAAAAATATGATGGCTAGATTTGAAAAGACAAAACTTGCTTGCCAGCCTTAAATATTCGGCCATCAAAAGCGAGCTGGCAAGTGGAAATTTCTTGCTCTGCTTTATAGGTAGTTTTCATTCCAAAACACATGGAGGACAAAGTTATGTCTACATAACAAGGGAATTTTAACCTTTAACCGAGAAAGAAAGCAATAAAAATTACTTAAACATAGTTCTTAAACTCTTTAAGCCCAGCCAGATAATACTTTTTACTCTCCAACAATAGAATGGCTCCTCTAATAGAAATTTTTCACTAGAAATGTGAATTTTGGTAAAATGAATGTGCAAGCTTCATACCCTGAGAAGGATCTGTTTGTTGACGCTTCTGTTTCTTAGTTTCAGAAATTGCAGCATAATAAGCAGAAACATTTTTGATAAACCAAGCAGCTCTTAACATCGGGACAGAATGTTCATAAAGAGTCATAAATATGTCTTCTTTCTTGTTAAATATTGGAATCTGAAACAAACAACGAAATGATATTAACCAGCAAAGTTTCTTATTTATATGATATTGTGTTTTAATAAAATAAACATACCTTTTTCCCAAGAATTTGGAGTGATTTGGATCCAGCCAAATCTTTGAACCAAGCTTCAACAGCATGCTTAGACCTTGATGTTGCCTATAAATCATACATAAAAATCTTTATTTTAATGAAACTTTATTACTGAACATCAATATAAGATAAAAGTTTAATTCCATAAGAACTTGACCAGAACATTTTTAATAATCTTATTAATATATATCAATTTTTTGTTTTTGTACATAAGTGCAAAACTCACCAGATATTTTAACTCTCTAACCCTTTTTTTTTTTTTTTTTTTNTTTTTTTTTTTTTTTTTTTTTTTTTTTTTTTTTACATAATGAACTTTTTTTGCCCAATGCAATACATTATAAACATTGGGTACACTCTATAGAAACGGGCAGCTTGGGTAAAAAAAAAATCCTTTTTTAAAGATATAGTTAGAGAAACAAAATGAATATATATATAATTGAAAACTACAACAGAAATGTGTCATTAATTAAAGTTTCATTCTAAAAAATTAGAACTTATTTGTAAAAGTATGCAAAACATTAAAAGCCTGGTTTCTGCTTTAATGACAGTTAAATGTTTTGTACAGGAGTTTTAATGGACATATTAAGAAAATAAAAGTTTAATTTAAGTAGAAAATAAATTTAAAAAAAATATTGACTTCTTTAACTTAATTACTAGAAAAGAATTTAATAATAAAAGCTTCATTTTAAAAACTGGACAAAATAAAAAAAAATTTTGCTTTCTTTGAATATTAAAAGTAAAGTAAAGCATTTCCGCAACAGCCAATTGTGGGCTAAGAGAATCCTGGAGGTAAAGGCTCCAGAATTTTAAGACCAGCAGCATGATTGTGGCAAAATGGTCAGAATTGCACACAAATTGCTTGAAGCTGGGTGGTCTTCCAACCACCACTGTGAAATGAACCCCAGTCCTCCACAAGGATAACTCAGTGACTTTAATCACTTTGCCAACACAGTTCAAATTTGAATATTAATTGTAAGAAAAGTTGAACACCTACCTTTTTAGAATTAGTAATCAACACATTATTTCTCTCTTTTAATAAAATTTAATTTTTAAACAATTTCTGATCTATAAATTACTTTATATAGATATATACACACAGTGAAACCTCCTGTTATGGACACTCCTGCGAAACGGACGGCTCTCAATACGGACACATTTTTTATTCCCCGGGAATCTTTTATGAATAAACCATTATGTACATTCTCCGCAAAGCGGACACTCCCGCAACCAGACGCGGAGAGTTATTTTGGCCCTGAAACGTTATTTTCTATCTCTTTAAACCAGACATTACTTTTTCCAAACTTGATAAAAGAACTATTTTTGTTTTAAATTGCAAACTAAAAAAAAAGCAGTTTTTCACCATTTTTAAAGTAAGTAAATTTTTTGCCTTATCCATAACTAAAAATATTGTTAAGCTATTTCACTACTGAAGAATCAATCTTTCTCCTGTCATCTTGCCTTATCTTTGTAATGAAAGGTGAGAAAATGGTACTGCTCCCCTGAAATAATTCGGACATCAGCATCTTTTGATCTTTTCATCTGGACCACACAGGTTATGAGACCCCTCAATTTGAAATGGCATCCTAAAGTAAATGCTTCTTCCTCATTGAAATTTTCTTATCAGTTTGAAGACTGTATTTAACATAACTAGGGTAAAAAAGGAGAACAGAAGTATAATCTTTGAGGTGTTCATATAAATGAAACATTTATTCAGACACTTGATAGCTGATCAATTGTGATCAAACAATAGGTCCTCATGACTTACAGGTATGCATTGCTTTTTTTTCTGTGAATCCTGGGTGGTTCACTTTCAAGAAGGTATTAACCATGTTCCCTATCAAATGATAGGTAGGTGTAAGGAGATGTAAACCTAATAATTGAAACAGACCGAGGATTGAGAGCTCTTATTTGATATCACATGTCTAACTTGAGTATCTATGCTAGTAGGAAAATTATATTCATTTATTTGTAGCTACATCTTGAATTATGTATTTGCACCAAACTTCTTTATATATTCTTTCATATCTTTCTTAAAGTTTAAATATATATCCTTGTAGATAGTTATTGTGGATTAGATTATTTAATTATTTCTACATCTTTGAAAATATTCTAAAAGCAATTTATGGTGTTAAACTTCGTTATTAGGGCACCCTTTCCGTAAATGGACAACTCTCATAAACGGAAAATTTTTTTGGTCCCAAGAATGTCCCTTTAATGGAGGTTTCATTGTGTGTGTGTGTGTGTGTGTGTGTGTGTATATATATATATATAAGGTTTATAATATATAGGTGAAACAAAATAAAATATATACGTACCAGCCAAAAATTATCTTTTGGATCTTTTTGTTGTTTTTTACGACAGTCTGCAAATCTGTTCAACTCTTGTTTTAGACCTAACACTGCACTGAAGTAGGAACCAAACTAAAAGGAAATAATTTGTTTGGATACATACAAGTATTAATACTACAAAAATGTCATTTTTTTGTGAAAAAATATTTAAAAAAATTTCTGTGTCAAACATATTTTTATATTCAAATAACATATTTAATACAAAAAACATTCAATACAAATAAGTTCAATATTAAATACCTATTCATGAAAACTAGTACTCCCCTACATTTTTAAAAAAAATCAAACTATGCATTCTGATATCATGTAACTAAAAGATCTGTAGAAAATTTTTTTAACAAAATCTACAAAACATAAAATATAATACATTATAAGTTTAATTAAAATAAAAAATATATATTAAATAAATAATAAACCTGAAAAAAAATATATATTACAAAACTATTCAAGTTCCCTTGCTATTCAAGTTGAAAATAATAAATTTCTAAAAAAAATTATTTTAAGTNCAAGAATGAAAGAATATATGTATATATATATATAGTGCGAATTTTAAACTTGTAAGCCATGTGATTATAAATCCCTATGATTAATTTCAAAATTCTATGAATATGAATCCGGATATGAGGCTTTTAAATCACGTGAATATGAAACTCTATATCGAATTTTAAAAAATGCGAAGATGCAAATCATGATGCGTAATTTTTAGATCACGTAAATACGTATCACGATGCATAATTTTTAAATCGCGTGAATACAAATCACAATGTCTAATTTTAAACGCACGTATAATAACGAAAATCGACGTTTGATATCACAACCGCAATAGCGAATCACGACATTGGATTTTAAGATCGCGTGAATACGAATCGCTACATAGGGTTTTAAAAGCGTGTAAATACAAATCGCTATATTGGTTTTTTAAATCTCGTAAATAAGAATCGCAATGTACGATATTTAAATCGACTGAATCACAATGTTCAACTTTCAAATCCGGTAAATACGAAAATCGATGTTTGATAATAAAATCGCGATTTTAAAAATGCATAAATACAAATTTAATATTAAATCTTGTAAATAAGATTTTTAGATCTCGTAAATAAGATTTTTAAATCTCGTAAATAAGAATCATAATGCACGATGTTTAAATAGCGTAAATAAGAATCGCAATGCGCAACTTTTAAATCAGGTAAATACGAAAATCGATGATTGATATTAAAATCGTGTGAATAACAATCGAGATATTTGCAGAGTCTGGACTTGGGATTTCTAAAAGGCTTGTTTGAATTGTTTTTGTTTAGACCTAATAAATAGAAATTTTCAAGATTAATTGAATGAGCAAATAAATATTTTCACCGCAAATCCACGTCTATATTTTTTTTCATTTGCTTTTACGCCAGACAACAGGGTCACGACGTCTGAAATGCAAAAATACGAGCTATCCGGCGGACGAATAAAAATACCGAAAATCTTATTTTCTGTGTGTAAAAGCGGAGAAAATAGCTAAAATTGGTAAAAATACGGAAGGGTTAGCATCTAGTACATAGTTTGAATTTTCTGTTTATCTTTGAAAATCGTAAATATAAATATAATTATTTTATTTCAAACACTGAATTTTCAAGAAAAAAAAAAAAGCAGGATATCTATTTAAAAAAAAAAAAAAAAAACGAAACTTTTAGAGAATCGGAGTTTTTGATAAAAAGGCTAAAATTTGAGAGGAAAAAATGAAAAATCTCATCCCTGTATAAAGGTCAATCAGTTTTATCCCAAAGGAAATGATTTTTAGAGAAACTTCAGAGGGAGGAATGAAGACTTCAATACTTTCGCTCCGCGGAAAATTAAATTCCTCATAAAATATTTTAATTTGTTCAAAAAAAAAAAGAAATTAGCAGGAAAAATGGAAGAATCTGATAAAAAAGCGGAAATCCGCGAAAGAATCACATCCCTGATAATAAATAAATAATAAACCTGAAAAAAAATATATATTACAAAACTATTCAAGTTCCCTTGCTATTCAAGTTGAAAATAATAAATTTCTAAAAAAAATTATTTTAAGTAAAGTTTTTTTTTAGATACCTTAAACTCAAATTAAGTAACTTTCCTTGATTTTTTGGGTATTTTAGTATAATTCCTTGACATTTTCCTGATTTTTCTAGGTTTACAAAAATTCCTTCTTTTCTAGTCATTTTGCTATAAAAAAAACTTTCACCAATGATTTGCTAAGTTAAATATTTTAGCTTATTTCACAGTCACCAAGGAAATTTCAAATAATAGTCTAGAAGAAAAAAAAAATTTTTAAATTAATTTAAATTAATGTTTATACATTATTACACTGTTGAGCTATAACATTAAATTAGCTCGACTACATAATAAAGTACATCAACAATAAAATATATCATAATAAAGTTTACCATAATAAAGTATATTAAAGTATGAAAACTAGCATAAACTTATCAGATAACTGAAATTCATACTATTAAAAGCAGCATTGGTAATAATAAATAAAAAAAAATTTAAAAAAAACATCATTTGACCAAAATTTCTTTGCCTTTTAAGATAATCTTGGGAAACGCCAACTCGGAAATCCTGTTTTAAGGTAGCATCAAGCATCTTGCAAGAAACAAATAAACATAAATTACAACTACTCTCAGTATAAATTTTTGAATAGGAAAGAGGTGTTAGCATGGACTACTTGAATAATTCTATTATTTATCAATAAAAATTTCTCTGTAAGTATTGATAGATTAGGAGTCATGTTTTCACATTCAATTCAATACAACCTGATAGCTAATTACAAAATAAGGTTTTTATAATGGAAAAGTAAACTCTTCATTTGCTTTCTTCTTTATGCAGACTCTTTATTTTTATTCATTGTTTTAAGTAGTAGCAGATAAATAATATATTTATATGCTTATTGCATATTTCAATATTCGTTTTTGATTCCATTTGATCGACAAAATATTTCCTACAAACTGTATCCATGAGTGTTGTTGGGGGCTACGTTGAACTCTTTTATATTAAGCTATTTGTTATAATAATATAGTTCAATAACTAACACATCACAATTTACTTAATGGCTGAGTGGTAGCATTCCCGTGCCACAGTTATATCATCCGACTGGGCAAGGTCGACTCAATCTTTCATACCTTCAGTCGGTCAATAAAATGAGTACCAAGTATGCTTGGGGACTGGGGGTTCTACACATAGCTGACCAATCAACATCTGTTCCTCTATCTCAGAACTCAAGGTCAAGAAAAGTGGGGTGGGGACAGTAGGACTAAGTACGCAATGGGTTGTCGCACTACTGAGCATTGTTTAGTTTATTTACTAAATTAAGATTTATTTTGTAAAGTAATTAATTTATTTGCAATTTTCTTCAATTCTCACATACTAAATTTATTTCTGTGCAGTGAAAAATGTAGAATTATTGCTTTAACACATTCTCTGTCATTTTTGTTTTTTATTCAAAATAATAATGCACAGAATTTTATAATTAATAGAAGATATAAAAGTAAACTTTCAAAATTCTTTAATGGTTCCTTCAAATGATTAGTATTCCACCACTCTGTTGATATTTCATATTGTTTTTCAAACTAATATAGCATTGTTCAAAATTATTCAACTTACCTTAGTAGCAGTAATATTTGAAGTTCTTGCAGAGCCATACTAATATGAAGTAAAAAAAAAATGCAAGAAAAAGGAAATTAGAGCTAAATAAGTAAATAATTAAAAACATAGAAAACAAGATTACTACTAAAAAACGTTTAATCTTTAAATGTTTTTTGTCTTTAGATACAATTTTAACAATATCACTCTCAATACTTACTATTTTTTGCAAATTTACTTTATAATTTACATTTTCAAACGCTTCAGAGTTTAAATGCTTTCTAACTATAGATAGGCTGTGGATATCCTCCAATATTTTTTGCAAATCTTAATCGGTTTCATCACTATTATCATCAACATCGGAAGATCTTTAGACATGCAATTTTTCCCGAAGGGCAATGTTCTTGTTGGATACCAAGAAGCACTTAACCCTGAGAAGCTTTATTAAACCCATTTGTAATGCGTTTTAATCAATAAATTCAGAGGACATTTATTTTTGCTTTAGAAGCATTTTGCAGGTCACTAAAATCAAGAAAAAGAAAGGATTACCTAACCAGTCGCTTAGCGTTCTTTAAATGATTAGATTATTCCAAGATTCAAAAGTTGGTTTGCTGGGAAAAATTCTACTCGTAAACTATACAATTTAAGTTCCCATAGTCCTAAAATGTGACATTTCCATTAATTGTTTTTCAATGTAATGATATTGCAATAACGATATTGTTACCAAATTTGCACGATGTTATATTTCAAATAAACAGTCAAAGAAAAACTTAAACAGAAAATTTAAATAGTCGTATATGCAAGGCATTTCAATTGTCAAAGTTATTTCCCTTAACTTTTCATGCCCACTTATATAAAACATAAATTAAATAGCAAACTTTTGTCTAGATGAAATCAGAAAATTTAAACCAAATCAATTCACAATTAAGTTTTGCGAAATTGAAGAAAACTAAAAGTATATGAAATATATTCATCATACATACCTCATCTGTTAACTGAGGGAGACTCTTAAAACCTTGTTTAACATGAATTTCAGTCAGTTCATCCTGAAAAAAAAATTTTAAACTTGAGTTTTTATTTCATACAAATTAGAAAATTTTAGTGCCCACAAATAAATATTGACAAAATCGTATAGTTTATATGCAAATTCTTTGCTGTTTGCAGTGTTTTCATTACAGAAAAAAAATGGGAGAGAATTTCTCACCCTTTCTCAAAAACAGGGTGAGATTTCAAAAAGTTAAGTGAGATTTCTAAAAATTTAAAAAACACGAATAGACTTGGAAAAAAATTATTTCTTTAATTATAATACATTTTTAACATCTTCTAATTGAATATTTTTACTGCCTCATCATATGGAAAGTGTTCTATATCTACTTTTTCATCGGCTGTTATATTTATTTGGCTGAAAAATATCCGTATTTGTTTCGTTTTGACCGTTTCTACCGACGTTTGTTTCATTTTCATTTGTGCGTTACGGAGTAGAAGATGTCGCCTTAACAAGGTATTTATCCATCTTACATTCATGCACAAAAAGTTTAAACGTCTTACATGAAGAAACCTTACTTACGGTGAACACGTGGTTGAAGAGAAATGTGTTCTGAAAGGGGTTCGGGGGGGGGGGTCCTCTGCTGTTCGCAAAAAGTGAAACGGATTTTATTCAAAATGGCAAAAGACTAAATTTTTTCCAAAATTCGTGCATTTTGAAATTGATTAATAGAGTGCGCGAACTTCTCGCGGTAATCGTTTTTTATTGCGAGAAAAGAAAAAAAATAGGCGAGATTCTCGCGTTCTCGTGCTGTAGTGAAAACACTGTGTTTGTGTAGGACAATAACCCATTCAAACATAATGGAAAGATTATATTGAAAACTCAATTTAAATTTTTCAATGGGTTATCAATAGTTCTTATTAACTAGAATAAGTAAGAAAGCTCAAAACTAACAGTGTCTTATTGATCCAGAGCCTCTAACATTCGACTTACAGCATCAGAAAATAAATATACAGTAATAATAACCTCCAAGACCAACAATTGATGGTAGGAGATATGCTGTTTTGGTTTTTTAATTTTTAGTTTTAGTAACGCATTTTATTATTGTGAATATGAAACATTCTCTGCAGGGCCGGATTATCCATTAGGCCAGACTAGGCCATGGCCTGGGGCCCCCAATGACTAGGGGCCCTCTTAAAATGGATTTTTAGAAAATAAATTTTAAAAAATTAAGAAAAACAATTATTTTTCAAATTTTTTCAAATTGTTATGATTATTTTTTAGTTCTAATTTAATAAAATAAAGCAAAATTTAATTTATTATTATTTACTTTTATTTTAAACATGATTTCTTAAATGAAAAGATACATAAATACTTTTATATTCGAATAAATAAAAAATATACAAGAAAAAAATTTAATGAGGGCTCCAAAAATTTTAATGGCCTTGGGCCCCGCATACGCTTAATCCGGCCCTGATTCTCTGCACATAATTTTTCATTCAAGCTATATTAAATCTTTTATTATATTAAATATATTAACTATAGTTAATAAACTATTCTAAAAACATTAACCATTATTTATTAACTATATAATAGCTATATTTACAAACCATATTAAAATCAGAGTCATTTAAAAAGCCAAGTAAAAAGGTGCACAAAACTAATAATATCCTTCAGATAACTGTCTTATGGTTAACCTTGTTAGTAAGACAATCGTTGAACAATACAAAATATCTAAATACTTTAAGTTCAGATTATTTTACTATTTATTAAGAATTTCGTTAGTGCACCATAGTTGTGTTAATTTACGTTCATGAATTTAGAAAGCTTCAACTGCAATACACAGTACACAATAATTTCAAAGAAGAAAAATTATCTTGATCTATAAAAATTTAATATACTATAGGTAAATACAAAGATGTCTCTTTTTAATAAAATTTCGGTTATGCATGACACATTCGCACTGTTTAGCAAAATAATGATGACAATGATATAAATTTGCATGAATTTAAAAACTAACACTTATTATAAGCACTTCAACACTGCTTTAATAATGCGTACATTAAAAAGAAATTTAGCCGAGGCAATTTAAATTGTGGTTAAATATGACAACTAAAGACATGCAATATGTTAAATTCAGCGAAACTCAGGAATTATACAGGCACTGAGTTAAGTTCTTTTGCACCTCAGTTTTAAAAATGTACAATTTAGTTTAACAAATATATCCATAATTAACATTAACATGTAAAAAGCATTATATTTCCAAATTCCAAAATAATTTTAAAATAAAAATATACTTCTTTTTGATCTGGCTCCTGTGGATAAACGTCAGGTGGTCCTAATCTTGGCTTTTTAAGAGGCCGCTTTTCAAAAAGCCAAGTAGACACAGACATTATGTCTGCGTTTTATTAAAAGAAAAACTATTCTACCTGATTAATTCATTTAAAATTCTATTGTATCGGGACATTAACAATTCAACAGCTACAAAAAATGGAAGTAAACAAAACATAAACAAGACAAGACATACTTAAAAAGTTACGGTTAGGATATTTCTCCAGCAATTGTGACGTAAACAATGTAAATAAGGCAGAATCTCGCCAAAAAAAATCTTGTTCATTTTCTTGCGCGCGTTAATTCATAGATCTCGCTCGTGCGTTCCAAGTAAGATAGGAATGCTCAGAAATAAATAATTGTCAAAAAAATTAGCTCTCCTAGAAAGAGTTTTCAGAATGAAAAGAAATTTTAAGAAATCAAAGTAAAATCATCATTTATTACAGATAAAATACAAATTAATGAGGGTTTTATCACCCTTTAGGCCACCTCTAGCGCGAATGCAGGATGCGATACTGACGCATTGAGGCATACAATCTCTTTCAATGTCCTGCGGCATCTGATTCCTGATATTATATATCTTTTCTAGTTTCTTAATTCATGGATCTCACGTGATTAAAAACTTTAACATTTCAATTGGTGAGCAATCCGAAGATCTTGATGCATGTCACAAAAACATAAGACATTATCGAGAAAAGCGGTCCAGAAAAGATTATAAAGCACTGGATTAAGATTAAGATTAGTTCAAGCTCAAGCGATTATTATTTAGTAGTGATCTGCTTATTTCTCAACAGGGTAATACTCATAAAAAAGTGGTAAATAAATTCAATCCCATGGTAAAAAATCGCTTAGTTATAAAAAATAATTAAAATCAATAGAAAATGGGATATTTTTTATATATATATTGTAAAAAGGAATGTATAAGTATCATATATAACGTTCCAATAAATATGATAATATATTAAAATAATAATTTTTTTAAAAAACTAGCCCATAAGAACGCGGATTTTACGATTTAATTAATTTTCGTTTTTATTTTTTTGTTTTTTTCACCTTAACCTTTTTATTTATTTTTTGTAATTCGTCACAATATTACAATAAGTTTTAGATAATGCATGTATAGTCAATACCGTCTTTACGGCATGGGCACACTTGGTAAGTGCCCAGGGGTCCCAGGCCCTCAAGGAGCCCTTGAGAATCTTACTTTTTATAAATTGTGTTTAAAGAATAAACATTATTGCCTTATATATTTTTTAAAATAAATATATTCTATTGTATAAAGTGTGTATTTTTTTTATAGAAATAGTGATTGATCATCATGCAAACACCAAAAATTTGAATAGTTTATCAAGAAGAAAATTTAAAAGGACAATCGAAATCTATTTCTCAACGTTCCAATGAAAATTTTAGGTACTTGGGGATTGAAAGATGTTTTAATAAATGTTTAGTTTGACAAAATAATTCATGCCTTTTGAATTTATTTTGATTTGTTATACCTTTATGTTTATTTAATTTAGTGTAATTATTTTAATTAACTTCTGTAATTTTGGAAATTATTTTATTCCTTGAGGATTACAACTGGTTGGCATCTAAATTTGTTTTAAAAATTATACATGGTTTAAAAATGCTTTATTTGAGTTTTTGGGGTAATCAAAAATAGTTTAAATTTGTTGAAATTATTGCATCATATCTTAAAAATTATTTATTTTATGTATGTGAAGTTTTCTTAGTTCGTTTTTAAACATTATGGTATGTTATAGGGGTCCGGTTCATTTTTGTGACCGAGGGCCCTGCATGCTAATAAAACGGCCCTGATAATAGTGACTATTAACATTAAATGTACAAAATAACAATAAAATATAATTTTTTCAATGTATCATTTATGATTAATGAAACAATATTGTTAGTATTCAATTTCTGTCATTTTGGATTTGTCATTTTGAAAATTGAAATTCTAAGCCTTATTTTTAATTAACGTCCTCTGATGATTTTTAGAAAATATTATTGAAGTATGAGTTTAGGCCAGCTTTTGCAGAATTCCGCCCACTGCACGTCGGAGAGATCGCAATGCTTTCACGAGAAACTGGAATTCAACCCATCACCCATTTTTAGCCAAAATTGTGGCTAAAAACTGGCAAAAGTCATTATTGGTTTAAAAAAAAGAAAAAGAAAAGTCCAAACTCTCGGAGCACTTATGACTCTTCCCTAGAAATATAAAGTTCCATGTAACACTTTTTTGGGAATCGCTGTTCTGAGAAACCCGGATACGAGGTGGTTATACAGATATTTTTTCTTTTAATATCCATAAGATTAAGTTGAATGACATAGGCAGGACACCTAATAAGAAATAGCCCAGCCCCCATTAAGGGATTTTAATACGACTTTCTCCTACGAAAGACCAACAGGAAGACCCAAAAAGAAACGGAAAAGCCATCTGATAGTGAAGAACTTACTGGAGATCAGTTTCTAGGAGAAGAGCAGATTGGGAAAAGCTTCTAAGGAAGGCCCGGGCTCACAAAGGGCTGTCGTGACAACGCTGCTGCTGTGCATGATGATTCAGAATTTATTTTCATTACAGATAGATATTTGTTATAAATGTTTTAAAAAAGGAATTTAAGAATTGCTGGGAATTAATTTGTATATTTCGAGCAATAGATCGTTGATGAACTTTTTATTTCGCGCTTAACTCAAAATGCGTATTTATTAAAACGAACAAAACTCAAAATGTGTGTTTAATAAAATGAACAAATCTTGTCATACACGTTTGAAGGTGCCTTTTCAACGTTTGATGCTTCTTTTCAACGTTAAACGATAAACTCAAAATTTTAACACTCGTTATTCTTGGAAAAGTGCGTACCATTAATTTTGAAAATTCAGTTTTTTTAAAAAATATTAAGAATAATCCTAATGTGAAATTTTAAAAACTTAGATTAAAAATAGCTGACTTATTATACATTATATATTAAAAAAGAAACTTATATTAAAAATAGCTGATTCCGAATTTATTTGGATTCACTAGGTAATCCTTTTAAATAAATACCCTAATCATAACAGTTGTTTAAAAACAATCGAACTAATTTTTCCATTTCCGTAAACGCGCAACTTTAGCTTCTTTTTTTAACGTATACTTTAAGCTGCATCTAATTTTTTAAACACCCAATTTATCACATTTCCATTATCCAGCTTTTAAAAAAATCAAATTTACAGTGGTTTTCAAAACCAAAATATAGGTGATGATATTTTGATAAATGTATAATGTAAGAGCGTGTGTGTTAATCAATCGATTTAATTATCCAGACATTTTTAGATAAATTTTCTGATAAATATCTATTTCCTGATAAAATAAGTTGGATAGATAACGTTAAATCAAGAACAGCAGGGAAAAAAATAAATAAAACGCCTCTTTAGCGGTCGTAGTTTTGTTTTCATGAGAGAAGATATTTTAAATTCAATAACCTCATGAGCGGAGTTAAGTTTCAATTGACTTGTAGCATTAAGAGGGACGACACCAACTGTCTGGTGTTTTTCAAAGTAAGTGGAAAAATATAAAATTCGTAATAAGTGGAAAAATATAACATAAAATTTATATTTACCTTTAAACCTGAACTTATACGAAATATTTTATGCATTGAATTTACATAAAATATAATGAATGGTATGTAATCTTGAACTTTTATATTTAAACTCTTTACTTGCGTTAGATTGTTAGCAGTCTTCGTTTAATACAAGGTTTGAAAACACATAAAATGAATAGGTACCTGAACTCCACCATGTGGCACTGTAATATGTATTTCATTGCTATTTTATCAAAGACAACACTGTTATAGCTATAGCAGCTGATTAAATATTAGGATGGTGGATGCGGATTTTAATAGATACCCTGCATGTATAATTCTGTGCTGTAATATATATTTAATGCAATTATTTACCATTTTATAAAACAAAAATAAAGTCATATGGAAATTAAGAAGTCTTTTTCTGTAACAGAAAAAAAGTGTTTGTAATAGTTGCACATGCACTCGTTGGCTTCATTCATTCCCTTAAAATCGTGCACAGTGTTTTTTTTTTAGCTTACGAAAGATATGACATATGGAGACAGATCTGGATATTAAGGTGAGTTCTCGGCACTTACTATTTAAATTTTTACAGGACACAGAAGTTTCTTTCTCGCCTTGGTTATATGTGGTTAACTCCACGAGAGAGTTTATTAAGATATATTTGATTTGATTGCCTTTCTGAGATTTGTTAACGTTTCCACAGCACGCTACTTTTTTTTTTTACGAGATAGCACTCTTTATTTTTTTCTATTTTTTATTTATCGTTATTATTGAAACGTCACCAAATGTAAAGTAAAGTAAAGTATTGGAAGAGCAAATGGTACAGTAATAAAACAGCTGTAACCTTCTTTTCATTGCTTACGCTTTAACATCATATTGTGGAGTTATTATTATTTAATACATTTAAGAGAAAATTCGTATCGGATAGAGCGCCCTTTTCTGCTCGGAAAATTCAGATTCAAATCCAAGCGGTGATCAATAAATAATATGAAAGTGAATTATTGATTAAATGCTATTAAAAAGGAAGAACTCCGCTGATTTCAGCATATCAGACGATGCTTACTTACACAACTTTTTGGATGCAGGTAAGGTAGTTCTTTTGTTATCTACCAACGTTAAAGCTTTTTTCTTTTAAAAGCTCAGAATGGTTACAATAGCGAAGAATCCGTCGTTGTTTCCACTTTCGCAAATTACAAAATAGACTCCCGTAATAGGATATAAACAAAAAATTGCTCGCTCAGCTTTTTGAAGCAACTAACAAAAAGTTCTTAAAATGTCGTCTGCTTCAGTATTTTGCAACTTATCTCGTGCTACAACTTTTTATTTCTTAGATTAGCCTCTATTTTTGATGAAAGATACACCCGCTGACCCTACTCATTAATAGAGTGCTAACGTGAAAAATTCACAAAGGGGTTAAACAAATTTCATAGTAAGTGGGCGGTTTAAGTGGTTTTCCCCTCCATTAAACGCAGACAGATATTAGCTTCACCTGCAAACTGTTAAAAAAATATAAAAACTATAAAATTTTTACTTGTTTTGACATTTTCTTTTATTTTTTATTCTGCAGCAAGATGGTCAAAGATTCGATACGGAGAAGACAATTAAGATGAAAGTGCAGACACCCTATAAATTTGTACTAACATTTAAACCACCACAGACGATAAAGTACGTATAAATTTTAACTCCTTAAAAATGTTTATTTGCACGCTATCACTAACTATATCAATTCAGTTGTTTAAACATATTTCATCTCATTTTTCTGTTTCAATACTTATGTTCACACTCAAACAAATTTGTTCAACGTTGAATCATAATATCAGTACCTTGAGCCCTAATGTGGAGTCAATTTGCTAAAACCAAGTCAGGTATTAAATTGAATTATAACTCCAGTCAAGTTGAGCCAGAGTATCATGTAATCAAGTTTAAGAAATATCAGTTCCTTGAACTGTAATGTGGAGAAAATTTGCCTCGACCAAAGATGGAGTTAAATTGAACTATATTTCTCTTCAAGTTGAACCAGGGTATAATATAATCAAGTTTAACATATATCGATACTTAGAAACAACCTAATAATGTGTAAAATTAAATTACGTTTCCCTTTAAGTTGAACCAGAGTACCCTACACAGTGAACCAGAAAGAGGAGTAAATTTGCTACAAGGTCCCATTCGCACAACGCGAACGAGATGGTGCCTATTAACTATTTACGTTTGAATGTTCATATTTCCATCATAAGTTAGGTGATCTCCGAAGCAAGGAAAGAGGTTCAACCAGGGACCGATCAAGACAAATTAAGGCCCAAGGCCCACAAAATTTTTCGGGCCCCTAACATAATATTTTAATATTAAATTTCTGAAGGGTAGCCCTAACAATAAAAAGAATCTAGTGAACTGCATGATTCATGAGAAACATTCTAAAAAAATTTGAAAGCTAACAATTGAAGAATATTTTTCTAAGATCTAAATATTAAACAATATCGTATGAAAATCAAAATAGCTTGGTGACCACAAACAATTGAAATCAGTGATTTTTGCTAAAAGTAGTAAAGATTGTAGCCTTCCATCTACAGCTTTACATATTTGTTAAGAATAAGCTTTTAGTTCTAGTTGACACTAATCATTTATAAGAGACTTTGCGAATATGCATTCTCGCTGCATTTGCTTAAGCCGTTGGAGTAAAAATGGCACCCATTAAAATTCAGCTGTACTTTCGATTTTGATTAGTGCAATGTTTACACAAGTTTGATTTATCACAATATAAAGAAAATTTGAAATAAAAAATTCTTCTTTTGAGATAAACTGTTTCTTTCAGTATTTTTTTAAAGTAATATTGTGGACTTTTTACTAATTTTTGAGGGCCCCAGAAAGTGTGGGCCCTAGGCCCGTGTCTATTGGGCCTAGGCGATAATCAGTCCCTGGGTTCAACCGTAACCTTTCTCGGAGGTTACGGTTCAACCGATTCTATTACGTAACAAGCTTTAGCTACGTCACGAAATAAAAATTTGACTAGTTGTCCAGTGAACAATGTTTGACTTCAAGTTGAACCAGAACACATCCTGTAATCAAGTTATGGTACCAATGATAACACATTTAAACTTCAAACCATCTTAAGTTTATTGAAAATTTGCATGATATGGTTCAATTCGCTAGCAAGGCTCAAACTTTCTATCAAGGGAAAAATACTTTATTTCCTAAAATAGCATTATTATTTTGTATAAACTATGGGTTCTAAAATAATTAATTGTAAAAATTAAATCTAAATGTTGTAATTATGACAGAAATAAAGAGAATTAATCTAGCGTAACAATTAGGCTAGAAACCGCTGTAATTGATCTGCAACATCGTGAAAAAATTCTAGAATTTATCGGCAGAGCGTGTGTTAAAATATTTCTATTCAAAAGTCGCACTTTGCAAGTCCATAAGTTTTAAAAGGCAAAATATCTAATAATACTACAATGCATGATGAAATAGTTTCAGAAATAAAAGAAAGTACTAAATATTAATTAATACATTACTAGTTTGAAATTTATTAATTGAAAACAGAAAGATTCTCTAACAGTAAAATTAAAATAATAAATATTCTTGGTTTCAAATATTTTTGTTTTAATTATTGTTGGCATTAAAAACTTAACACAAAAAAATAAGGAACTAAGCATCGGAATTAAAGCTTAGTAAATAAAAATTTAAAACATTATAAAGCTTGAGAGATTTAAACCTGATATAAAAAAATTGATATTGATTGATATCTGATATTAAAAAAAAATTGCATTTCAAACGATGTTTTAAAAACTAAAACAGAATATTAACGTTCGAAATGGCCTGCAGATGACGTGGAACAGAACTCTCTATCTATGGCAACACTTCGCATGTTTTCCCCATAAACGTGTGGAGAGTCATATGAGAAGGAAGTACGTTTAGTTTCTGTCTTGATTTTCAAAAACTTTTAAGTTAGGAAACTATATGGAACGGAAAACTACATTGAACATAGTTCCAAAAGAAAGCGTCGTGGAAGTTAAAAAAAATAAAAAATAATTGTGACAATCAAATACGAAAAATATTAAGAAAGGGGAAAATATCGTAGTCATTCCTATACAATTGAGAAGAGGAGGAGAAGTAAAGGTCAAGCCATGGTACTGGTCTTCGCCCCAGATGGCGTATTTGAGCGTTGCGATCGCGAAAGTCTACGAAATGTCTCTGGATGTCTCGAAAGTTTTGTCAAATTTTCGTAAAAAACCACCCTCTGAAGAACGTTGATGTGAATTCTGCGCGATGAAAGAACGGGAATAATTGGGAAGAGATTGTTGTTTTTAGGGCCATTTTTTTCTAGTGATGTTGTGTCAAAACATTTTTGGGATTAAGACTGATTCATAAAAAGAAATTAGTATAGGTACCGAAAATTAATTTGATTTTTAGACTTTCATTTATTTATTATTATTATTATTATTATTTTTTGATGGAAGGTTTTTTTATCTACTATAAAGAATTCGCCATAAACTTGAACTTTCGCGCTAATAACTAACTAAGTTTATAAATTCTGTGTTAATTAATTCGTTGAGAAATGATCAAATGAACATAAAAAAAACTCCCCAGAGTGGGCCTCTCTTTTTGACCCCACGCTAACCTTAACTATTATCCGAATAGTAATAACAATTGGTTGCTATGTTTTTCGTATTTTCTGGAGTTAAGAGCAGATGCGCACTCAAATCATAAATAGGAAAATGACTTCCCACCGACATATAAAAATTAATGAAGTTGGTGGAAAAAATACTTTTTATAAAAGGTTAACTTAATTTTGTCTGCATTTTCGTTGTATTTATTTTATCTGCAAGGCTGACATAAATCTGCATTCTATTTCTGACACTGGAGAAACTTGCAGGGCCAATGGAACACGCATTTGTATCATGAATGATGTTCGTCTGAATCTTTTCATAGGTCAGCTTCATTGAAGGGTGAAGATCTGGAGATGACGGGGGAGGAGTCGACATCTCTGCACTCACGGTACTCCCTGAAGTGGGTGAGCACAAACATTCCTGTCACCAAGAAAAATCGTCGTCTCAACTTTACCCTCATCATGGAAGTGAGTAATACTGCCCTCTTTTTATTTTATTTTATAACCATCAATGTTGTTGTTGTAGTTCATTTACGTCGCACTAGAACTTCACAATGGGCTATTGGCGGCGGTATGGGAAGCATCCCTGAGGATGATCCGAAGATCACAATTTTGATTCTCTGCGGAGGGGATGGCACCCCCGCTTCGGTAGCCCGACGACCTGCACGCGCAGTCGAGCACTTTACGGTAGAACAGTTTAACGAGGACCCATACAGATTGATCCAAGTGGTCAACCACCCGCACTATGACCGTCACTGAACAGTCGACTGAATTTTCGGGTTTACGACTAGTAATGTTCTATTCCGTCACTAAACAATTTTGAACCCAATCCAGAGGACAAGGGAACTCCTGATTAAAGTTTTGGGAGAAATTTTGCCCTCGTGGAGGACTTTTTTTGATGGAACTATCCCGCATTTGCGTTACATGGAGAGGAAAGACCACGTGAACCTCCCAAGGTTGGCTTAACGGCAAAGGGACTCTAATCCATGAAGATCCGTCTACCACTGAGGATATTTCACGTCAGCACTGTGGTCGGTGCAAACCGGATGCCGGCTAGCATGATGCCATCGCTGGGATTTGAACCCGGTTCACCTCATTAAAAAACGAACGCTTTATCCCCTGACGTATCGCGACTCGCCCTCTTTTATTGAGTTATTTTATTTTCAAAACTCAGCGAATGTCACAAGATCTTATCATGAGCCGAGGTGAGTCGGGGGATAAAGCGTTCACCCCCTAATCAGGTAATCCAGGTTAAAATTCTACTCCTAGTTCGCACCGATCACAGTGTTGGCGTAAAATATCCTCAGTGGTAGACGGATCATGAGTTGGAATCCCCTTGCTGTTGGGCTAAGCGTGAGAGGTTTTCCTTTTCCTTTCATTGGCAAATGTGGGTTAGCGCCATTTAAAAAACCTCAACGAAAACTAGTTTGTCCCAATGCTTGATCCAGGAGTTCTTTTGTCTTCTGGGTTGGGTTCAAAACTACAAGGCTACAGAGATGAACACTGAAAGTTCTTAACCCTAAAATAGATCGTCTGTTGAAAATTGTAATGGTATATTTACGGATCATCCTCGAAGATGTTTCCCAGATCGTATCCCGCTCATTGTGCGACGTAAATAAAGTACCAGTACTACTATTTAACAGCCATGGTAGGAACACCACTTAATTTTGAGCCCGGTCAGACAACATGGATAGTGCCCCTCTCTCCAACACTCCACACCACAACCAATGAAAGGACTTTCAGCCACGGCAGATTTAGAGTGAGCTTTATTGCTGCTACACAACCCACTTTTTAGTCGACTGCCAGGATCGAACTCACAACCTCCAGCTCTCCGCAAGCAGTGTGAGCTAAGCCATAACAAACAGTCACACTTTCTTTTATACTAAATTGAAGTACAGTGCCTTTTAGGTAAGGTAAAAAATTATCAAGATGCTTTTCATCAATTAGTAAATATAAAGTAGGTTAATGACGTAAACAGGGCATAAAATGACGCGGTGAGCTTAACACATTTAAATTTTACACTAGTAGTACATTATTTAAGTCGCAGTACAGCTGCGCAAATGGGCTATTGTCTGGGAAACATCTCTGAGGATGATCTAAGAACACCATCACAATTTTGATTCTCTGCAGAGGTGATTTGGTAGCCCGACCTGCCTGCGAAGTCGATCGAGCACCTTACGGTTGGACGAGAACCGAAACAGCACACCCTCGGTCACTTTATGGATGGGTGATCGTGTAAAGCTAAGGGTGGTGACGCTAGTGGTAAAATTGCTCTTTCAAGACTCCCGGGTTACTGCTTCCGATATATTTTTACAATAACAAAACTGCATAGAATATTAGGCTTGCTCTCACATCGCCTCGTAGTCATAACATAAGAGGAGGGATACACCGGAAATTTTCTAAATTTCTTCCGGTTTAAGGACGATTGTTATTGTTTACATTCACCCATCCATAGGCCGATGAAAGTTATCATCCACCCCTCTCACTGATGCTCGACTTGGGTGTTTTACTGGGAACCGAGTCGAACAATCAGTTCACTGTGGGACTCATTGCTGTTAAAAGACGGAGCCTTAAAATGAGCAAAATGCTTTGCCATGGTTGGATGATGAGTTATCAAAGAACCTGCTATTTACATCAATGTAAATTATATTAAGAAACCTGTAGTTCATGGTGTGAACAAAAACAGGGCTGATTGTCATAAATGCTCAGTGGCGTGCCAGCCGGGGGGGCAGAGGGGGCAATCGCCCCCTCTGAAATTTTAGTGAGGGGGCAAACAATATATTTCGCCCCTCCTGAAATTTAAACATTCGAGAAAATAAAATCAAGTAAAATTCCGAGTAAAAAATAGTCAAAAAGTAAAATTTTAGAAAAAAGTAACTTTTTAGTTGAACTTTGTAGCTATNAAAAAAAGTTGGCACGCCACTGTAAATGCTGTATTCAAATTCCTTTACTGCTTAACACAAGGAATAAATATTGAATATGTTTTCAGGTGCAAAACATGGGAGTCATACAATTACCGTTTCAGTTCAAATTTTACCGAGCTGAAGACACAACTCATTCAACATGGGGGAGGAGTCTCAATTACATTGATTACGACTGTGTCTACAAAGACGGACAATCATTTATAGAAATCACAAAAGAACTCTTTCGATGACTCAAGAAATGATCCACATTGAAAACAGTTATCTAAAAATGTGCAGAAAAAACTCAAAACATCTGGATCGTCGTTTCTCAATGAAGAAAAATTAAAAAGTGTTCCAGAATAATCCTATTTCGTAACCACTTTTACTTTGAAATCTACATAAAATTTTGAATTAAAAAAAAAACATGAAATTGAAATAATATATCTGCCGTACTGAAATGTATTGCAACAAAAAACCCTTTTCTATTAAATAAAATTGAATGCGATTTAATTTCGTAAATTAAACGTATGATGTTGTGCTTTTTTTTTTAAATGTCATGCATTATTTTATGTCATTTTTTTCTCCCATTGTAATCTTAAGACTGTTTTTCGATCAAAGGATTTTTCGTCAGATGTTACAGAAGTGTCAACTTTTCCAAATTAGTTACAGACGAATCTCGTTAAAGCGAAAATGGCTGGCTTATCAGAATTATTTCGTGTTAACCGGATTTCATCTTATCAGACACATCATGAAAACAATTTATTACATACTATTAATACATATTATGTCCTAGGAGCCGGGATAGCCTGGTTATTGGAGAGGTGAACTAGCGTTTGTAAGAAAGAGAGTACGAATGTAGCTGGTCGAAGAATTAAATAGTGACTGGTGCACGTTAAATCTGACGGGGTCACAAGTCCTCCAATTTCCCATAACAAATCAATACCTCAGGGGGTACTGATCCTGGATCTCCTTTGTCTTCTGGATTGGGATCAAAATTACAAGGATACCTCAGTAATTGTAAACTACTAATTGGGTTGGCTGTTCAACGACGGTTATAAAATATTATGTACTACTTTATTCATTTGCCAATCATCTAACTATAAAAAAAAAATAATAAAAATGGCATTCCTCAAAATGAATAATTGGCACTTTATTCACATGTTTACTATCTGCATCCAGTTTCCTTCCATGTTAAGCGATAATCAACTTGAATATTTCATGCTTAACATATAAAATACAATAACAATTGCTTGCTGACTCGCGGGACCAAACATGTGTTTCATGTAAAGTCATATTTCACGTTAAGCGATTTCATGTTAATCAGGAGCACAATAACACAGAAATATATACAATTATAAAATGCCTGTGAGGAAGTACTTTGATTTCAATTTTAACAATTTTCAAGAGTGATATTATCAAAATTCTATTTTTATTGAATTTTAATAAAAATTTAAAATCTGCACAGTAACCATTAAATCACACAAAACACCTTAATAAGAGTTGGGGGACTTTCAACATAGTAGACAGTATAAATATTTAAATTATTTCCATCTCTGTTGCGAGATAAGATAGAAAAATCATCCCAATGCTCCATTACATGCTGTTCTACTTCTGCATGAGCCATATCTTTAGTATCGCATAATATATGTACTATAACTTGAAAAAGGCAAGCTCCAATATCTATAATTGGCATGACAGTATGCAGCACCAATTATGTTTCAAATTTCCACAGTCATTTTAGAAAAGATCAAAAATAAATCAAAACAGTTACTTCATAACTGAGTTTTAATTTTTATAAAAATGCATATTTTAAATAAATTGAATATAACTCATTATACATATATAACTTATTATATATAACACTACTTAAATCATTACTTTAGAAAACTTAATAAGATGAATTTAACTAATAACTTAACGATAACTTATTATTTAACAGTACTTAAATAATCCTTAAGACAAACTAATAAAATAAATTAGAATAGACGACAATAGTGTTGCCAATTTAGATAAAGAAATACCCACGTTTTTGATGCCACATAAGAGAAATAAATATATATAGATTAGCATTTACAGAATTCAAATAAGAGCAATTTTAAGGAATACAGGGAGTTCCAAAATTCTTGGTAGATTAGGGGTGACAGAACACAACTAGACCAGCACAACTCACGATACAATACATGGTTCTAACGCAAGCCATATCAAGCTAGAGGATGCCTTCCAGCAAGCGCCATAAAAAGGCTGTTCACAACAACTGTCGTCATTCATTCTGTGGGTCACCAATGAAATTGACTACAAAAAAAAAAAATATTTTTTNAAAAAAAAAAAAAAAAAAAAACGATTTTTTAGTTGAGTAAGCTTTTTTCAGCCAGATAATTGTTGGTAACATACTAAAACCACAAATCTACCAATTTAACATATTGTGCTTTTGGTGTATTTTTTTATTAGTGTTTTCCTTGCCAAATATTTAACATTTGTTATTATGTATCACACATTACCAATGAATAACAGTCATTTAAAGTCTCAAAAAAGCTGAAAATAGCAATTATTTATAAGAGTTAGTCGTCCCCACTTAATTGCATATTGGATGATCGCATAACCCGCTTCTACGAATAAACTTTAATTGAACCAAATTATTTTATATTAAACTAATGTTAAATTGCTGCGTTTAAATTGATATTTTTTGTTTCCAGTCCTCGCTTAATTGCATAAAGTAGAGGTACTAAAATAAAAAATATTTGTTTATTTTTAAGAAATGTTTCACCTGCTAGAATCAAATTTTCAGTTAAAAAGACAAGAATACAATAGGTGGTTACTTCAATAGGGACTTCCTGTTCATTTTTTGCTCTGAACAGGTGTTAGGAGTATAGTTTAAGAATGAATGAAATCTAACATTGGAGTGAATGAAGGGGGTTTTATCCCTTTTTACTTACTTCACTGGTACATCATTTAGAATGTAAAAAAGTACAGACTGATTTGTTTTGCAGTGAAGACTTATGGTCCCCTCCTGGTGCGCTATTAGCTTTGATAAGAAAAAGTTTCAAAAACCTAACACACTAGTGTACAGTGAGACTTCCTCTAAAATAAAATAATTATTGCTTACTCAAGTAAATAAAAGATGAGCATGAAAAGAAATGATTTGAAATAATCGAAAAATAGAAGTTTGGGAAAAAATAAATTTAAAAAATCCTAAACTGAAATAACAAATTAATTTGGAACTTCTCAAAATTCGAGGGGTGAAAATATTCTGCAAGTATTCGAAAAGAATACGCAAGTCATGAAAATCTTAGTAAAAAAAAGAAAGGGAAAATCGAATTGTGATAAATTGAGGAATTAAAGGGGCATAAAAACAGTCTTCAAATACAGATTTAATTTTTAAATGAACAAAATAATATTAAAGTACCAGTAATATTCTTTTTCATTAGCATAGATTTATTTTTATATAACTTTAAATGAAATTTATATTACTAACACAGACAAATTAAATTATAATTGTTTATTCATCATAAAATTGAGTTTATTTATAAAACAAAACACTATTCTAGATACAATTAAAAAGTAAAATTTAGTAAAAATTAAGCATTTTAAATTGAAGAATGCACTCCCCTTTTAATTGAGTAACCTGCTTAATTGAATGGTATTGGCTGGAACCAAATTCTTTTAGGCGCGGTTCACTGCAGCAATTATATTATTTAACCCCTGCAAAATTCATCTAATTTATGGTTTAGTAAACACACATTTAAAAAAAAATAATGCAATTGCTTAAATAAATGAAACATATTTTTCATAAATTACTGAGTTGCACTTGTGTTCTTAAAAAACTATGCATACACATAGCTTATAGGAATAAAAAAGGTTAAGAAGTATTGCATCAGATGGGGAAGACTTGGAGAAACTGGCCTAGTATGTGGCAAGCTGTAGGGCAGCAGCAGAAAAAATACATGTTTAAACAACAAGTTAAATTCTTAGGCTGATTATGGAAAATCTTGACTAAAACATAAAAAATACTAAAAGGTATCTAAATCGGTTGGCACAATTTTTTTAATGCTTCTATTTTTTGCACTATCAAACAGACTAATGGTGTATTTCTTTCCTTGGCGTTAACTATTTTGAACAATAATAATAAACGAAAATAATTAGAGTGATATAAAAATAAATGTTAATGAAATACCATAAAATGTTTATTTTGTACAAAATACACTATTTACATGTAAATATTACAACTATTTGATTATTTCCTTATAATTAAATACAAAAATATTTATATGAACAAAATATTTTTCAGCTTCATATTGTTATCATGTGATCTAATTTTGAGGGCAAACCATGTGCAACTTGTAGTGGATGAGTTGGGTAAACATCAATAGGAAGATCCCAGACCATAGTTTGGACGTCCATGCTGGCCGGACCTTGCCACGTCGACGAGTCGAAAGAATTTTCCGGTTCAGGCATGGAGAATGTCACATTAGTTGTGACAAACTCAAAATGGAGCTTCCATTTAAGCGACACTAGAAAACGAACAATATAATAGAAAATTATAAACAATGTTTGACCTTCAATAGGTAGAAAAATATTTTCCTTAAAAAAATTATTTAAAAATATGTTATTTATGCGACACGTTTATGGATAAAAATAAAAATTAAGAAGAAATTTGATCCACGTTTTGTTTGAATACAAATATTTAAATGTACATTTAAAGTGGTAAAGTTAAGTGGTAAATTTTGACTATCCGAAATGTGACGGAATCGGTAAATTCTGGATACTTGAGCATCAAAAATTTAGAACATTGAAACCTCCAGTAAAGACCACCTCTATTTACGACAACATTTGAAAGGCACAGAATTTTTCTCATAGACTTTGTGTTGAAGAAAACCTTTACGAGAAACCATTAAAACCTCCCTCAGCGACCGGGCAAATATCTGGTGCGTAAGTCTTTTACCATCTTTTTTACAAAATAAAGTCTTTTACTGTTTATTTATGGTTTTAATAAACAGTAAAAGACTGGTTGTAATAAACAGTAAAAGACTAAGGCAGAATAGATTAAAGTTAATTTTACAAATTTAATATAGCACAAAAAGTATTAACAAATAATGGAAGAGAGTTAAGTATTAAATTCAGACCGAAATGACAGTTCATGTGCTCAAGTCTCATGAAAAGATATTTGGACAAGGGAAAAGTTCTGACACCACCACATCTTGCTGTAAGTGGTTCATCGTTTCTTTATAATAGACTTGTTACACATTGCAGTTGTCTTGCATATATTAATTAGTACTCATATGTACTCATTATAAACATGACTTCGAAGGTTAACTTTTAAAAAATCAACTTTTAACAAAAACGATTGGGCATTTTGTTTACAATATTTTCCACTTTTTTGCCCTAAGCAGAAATGCACTAACTTTTTTTTGAAAGTAGGCAGCCAAAAATTTAAAAAAGAGTTTGGGGGCCAACGTGAGTACGATAAAACTGTAGGTACAATTACGCACACACTAACGCTAAAAATTTGTAAGAAATTATATTTTCTTGCAAATATTGAACTTGTAAACATAAATAAAACTTAGGAAACAAAATGCTTCCAATAAAGTTCAGGCTTGTCTTAAAACATAATAAAACCTGTTTTTTTTTTTTTTTTTTTTTGATTATCTAATACATTTTCTCCCAAGGCTTAAAAATAAAAAAAAACTTTTTTTCAGCTCATATTTTTTTTTTTGTTTAATCCTTTTTTATTAAAATGCATATTTTAAAATTGTTCAGGAGAAAAGTTATACACTGGGGGACAATCTCGGCCTTCGGGCCATGAGTTAAGTATCCTTGCTCTACAGCATAGATTCTCAACCTTTTTAGCTTTGTCGCCCCCTTAAGGAGCAAAAAACACTTCAACGCCCCCTTTGTGAAAACCCAGTTATTTAGAGCATGGTGAAGGAGCGAAGTGTTCTGAATTTTAAGAGACAACATTAAGCAATTTATTATGAGTTAAATCTGTTTGGTTTTTTAAAAAAATAATGTGTACATTAACTCGATACTTTCCTCTTGTAATCGCAGTCTATTTGTTATAATTAAAATAAATACGGTAATGAAAAAATACAACAAAAAAACCTATGCCTAAAACGAATAATTTATTCTTAATTAGATAATTAAAAAAACATCCAAAACAATTTTTAACGCTAAAAAGTAGTATCAACGAAACATTAGTTTCTTAACGTTCGATTCAATACTCTTAGTGAGGTGAAGACGCAAGTCACCTCGTTGCGCAATTTCGAGTTGAATTATCTTCTTTTTTTTTGCGATACGATCCGTAACAGCACTGAATCTACGTTCGACAAGGTAGGAGGAAGGGAAGGCACTTAAAAAATTTTTAAACGATAGTTCGATGTCTAGGGTAGAGTCGACTGATGTTACCTTGAATCCAAAATTCCGTGCGACGATCATCCCTTCAAAGTTTCATTAGTTGAAAGTTCGATCAATTCCTCATAAATCTGAACCTCTGCTGTTTCAATATTCACAAAAGGGTTCATAACCCACAGGGAACAAAACATCTTCAAAACGGTCAGAAAAGTCCGCGTGCAAAGAGTCAAAGGTGTTGATAGTATTTTTGTGCATCATCAGAGCGAATTTCACCAGCTTGGCCGAACTCATTCCAACCAAATTTCTTCTTCCACAAAATGAGTTTTTTCAGGATGGCAGAAGTGAATCTCGTTGTAAATTAATGTCATTGAATTTCACAAATAAATCAGCCAAAGTCTTTCTTAAATTCTAGCAATCTGTCTCTCAGAGCTACATCTCGGTTTTAAAGGAACTCAAGCACAGAGTAGAAGAGATTCCAAAACCTATTGAGACTGGCGCCTTTGGAAAGTCAGCGAATCTCAGTGTGTAGTAGCAAGCGATTGAATTCTTCATCACGCACAGCTGTCTGAATAATCAATCGATGAGAGCATAACTGTGAATTTTGTTCACAGCTAATATGACATATTGCAATAAACCCATGATGTCGACCCACCATTGCAGGAGCTCCAACAGTGGCAATCTACATAATATTTTTGTCTTTCTCTGTAAAATAATCTTGGACAGTATTAAAAATAAATTTACCTTGGGTATCTGCAATCAAGCCTCTTGCAAAAAGCATCTCTTGAATACTTTTTCCTACCTTTACAAATCGGACCTACGCCTACAGTAAAGCCTACATTGCATGGCAAGGTTGATTCATCAATTTGAAGAGAAAATTCGTTGGATATCTAAAGTTTGCATAAAGAAACTTCAACGTCTTCAGCCATCTCACCATTTCGTCCCCGCACTGTATCGTTGATTAATGGGATATTTTTTATTGCATTGGATGTGGCTAGATGGTCTAAAACTGCTTCTGAAACTTCCTTGACAACCGGCAGTATCAACTCTGCGCCGATGGTATTAGCTTTCCCAGAATAACAATATACTTTGATATATTATAAGTAGGGCCCTATAAATTATGCCGAAATTTTTAAAAAATTATGCGGCTTGGATGCGGCGATTTTTAAAAATTATGCGGCAAGGATGCGGTGTCTTTTAAAAATTTTGCATGCAGGTTGCGAATGACCCAGAAAACGATTGAAACTGAAAAAAAAATCTCTTAAAAAAGTTCAACTTTCCTGCTTTAATAAAAAAATTTTTCAATGAATACAGCAAAGATTTCAACTAAATTACCTTCTTACGTATTGTACATCCATTTTCTACATCAGAACAATTATTAAAGTTTATTAAAATGGAGAGAAGTTAGTCCAGAAGCTGCTCTTTCTTTCAAACTCTGTCTTTGTTTTGTGAAAATTTGACCGTAGCAGGATACAGCTCTTTCACAATCTACTGAATTGTTAAGCACTGAGAGCACTTGTCGTGCTTTTTTTGTAAGTTCTGGAAATCTCTCTGAGACTACCTCTGAATTTCAGAATCTAATTAAGTCCTGGTTTGAACATTCTTTTACATATTCTTTGTAAGCAGCATACTTGAGTTTTATATCTTGACCACTCATTCCTGGAATATTCTTGAATACATCGTCGTCTTCAATATTGAGGTTGACTATTTGTTCTGGATCGAAAACTCGAGCAGCTTTCATGAAGTTTAATGCAGGTTGACTAAACTTGGGCCCGCGTTTTTTGAATACGTCTAGTTCTGGAGAGTAGTAAGTATTCAACTTTGCAATTGTTTTGTGAAACACTTCTTGAAGAAATACGTTGCGTGAATCTTTTCGTGAGTATGATGCCTGAGAATTACATCGAAGTTTAGACCGCAGATCAAAAATCTTATTGTAAGCTTTGTGAATAGATACACCACATGTTTCGAAAAAGAGAAGAGTATCCATTAATATCTGAGCGTGTTCTGCAATGAACTGAAAGTCTTTGCAAACGTACTTGCTTTCCACCAAAACTTTGCACTGATTGAGACAAGCAGTGTCAGGAGTAAGGTTTATTTCACTGCTAAAAAATTCTATGTAAACATTACAATATTCAGCATGATATTGCACTGATTTAAACCAGGAATTCCACCGTGTCTTTATTGGTGCTGGACAAAGTTTAGCTTTCTTATTGTCATCTGTTAAAAACTTTAAATAGCGGCGCTTTCTTGCAGGACAATGCTTGAACAATTTCTTAAAGTTTCCTGTGAATTTGTCCACCTCTGTCAGATTCTTGGAAAGATCTGACCACCTGACCAAAAAGATTCTTGGAATTGAAAAAGAAGATATATTTCAATTGAAAAAAAAACCCTTAAGGAGAAATTTATCTGGTAAACGAATACATTTTGCTGAAAAATAAAAATTATACAGATATGCTGCGATTACGCGGAAAATTGTAAATTATGCGGATAATTCTGAATCATGCGGGTTTCCGCATATTCGCATAACTTATAGGGCCCTAATTATAAGAAGCTCTTAAACCATCATCACATTTTCGTGATGAGGTTGCTAGCAATCCTGAGACAGATGGTGCCTTCAGAAACTTGTTTTTGATGTTCGTGAAAAACTACAAATCTTTATTTTGTTTGTTAGGATGAGTTTTTTGCAAATGCTCCTGCTAACGGAAAGATTTCTTTGTCTCATTAGATAAAACTTCGTTAAAAAGTAAACACATGGGCTGTTGAGAGTTCAACAGCAATTGAACAAATCCAAACTTCGAGTACGTGGCATGGTATTGATGACACTTCTTTTTGTTAACCGACATTGTTGGTGGCAGCAAAATACAAACGATGAAGGAAAATCAACTTTTTCTCCAAATTAATAAATAATTTATGGTAAAGAACTAATCCTTGCATATATCTGGCCAAATAAACAATGAGATCGAACCGGAGCTGGAGAAAAAACTGAAAGGAAGGTGACGTAAATCATAAGAAACGCGAGTCAATTCAAACATTCATACCGAAAGCTCATGCACTTCAATTTCCGCCAAATGGCTTTAATGAGTCAGAGCCATTCGCGAAATAGTTTGAATGAATCAGAGGCAAAAAACTACTGACTCAAGCGCTGCGCTGTGTTGGTTCGGATCGGAGAATAGGTGTATAAGTTCGTTTTATTGGTGGTACAAAAGGTGTATCGGATAATCTTAATTTATTATATTAATTTAATCTTTTTTCTTTAATATTAATTTTAGATTAATTTTATTTATTAAATAAATTTAATTTAATAATTTTATTTATAAGTTTTAAAATTAAATTTGAATGACAAAACATGCTATCGCCCCCCTACCACCCAAAACATAGCCAACGCCCCCCTACCGCCCAAAACAAGTTCACCGCCCCTCACCATACTCTCAACGCCCCCATTGAGAAACACAGCTCTACAGTCTAGAAAAACTTTAATTGAAATTTTAGATTTATAAAAATTATCTTTAGGGAAATATTTTCGAAATTGCTGACACTTAGAAACAGAAAATGTTACAAAACTCTTCCCTAAAAGCGATTTATGCATAAAACTTTTACAATGTTTAATATTTTAGACTCATGTATGTTAATAATTTTTTTACGTATAAAAATAAATATAAATAAAAAAAGCCACATTTTCAACTGTCTTTCTTGTGATTTTAAAGTTTGGTAATGAGAGCTAAAATATTTTTTTACGATTTAAAAGGCACCATACAAGATTTAAAATCTAAGTGATCAAAATTACTTATAATTTTGAAATTTGTAACATACAATTTTTCAAATTTACATAATTTGGCAGTCAGATAATTGTTATAGAGTTCAGATTAACCTATGTTAGTAAACAAACTTTTTCAGTGTAATAAAATAAAATACCAATCAAGATTAACTAATATGCACTTGAAACAATTTAATTTTGTTAAGAAGCTAAAACAATTCAATATTTAATCATAATATTTCAGATATCATATTACTTTTTAAATTTTAATAATTTTGAAGGATAGAAGGTGCTCTGTTACTATTCATTTTTTTAAACACTTTTTAAATTGAACCAACCAATGAAAGGTTATGTCAATGAAGTCAAATTATCAGATAATAACAGTGCATGGCTATTAATATTGTGAATTATTTAAAGAATACTCGCTTAGCTTGATTGAATTATGAAAAAGTACAGACTATTTATTTGGAATTAAACATTCAAATTAATAATTTTTATTATAATTGCATTTTGTTTTATTTATCGTATTTATTTTCACAACTCAGCTCCAAAATAATGCGTTATTTGCATGAAAAATCCTATAATCAACTAAGAAATAAAATTTTTTTGGAATATAGGGAAAATTGATATACATAACTATTTTAGATAGTGTAATTCTCATAAAAATAGTTATCCCCGACATAACATAAATTGCAATAACAAGATCTACATTGAGCAAACATAATAATTTTGATTATGCTTGTATTTTGTTTTATTCATTTATCGTATTTATTTTCACAACTCAGCTCCAAAATAATGCGTTATTTGCATGAAAAATCTTATAATCAACTAAGAAATAAATTTTTTTTGGAATATAGGGAAAATTTATACTAATAATTATTTTAGATAGTGTAATTTTCATAAAAATAGTTGTCTGAAACAAACATTCTCAATCAACAAATAAGATAACTAACATACCAATGTCAGTGCTAAAGGCTGGAGTGACGGTCAAAGGTATGGGCAGGATCACTTGAGTTAAATTTAAGTGCAAAGAAAATTCATGATGCTTGTTGTAGGCTACAGTAGTGATGTTCTGCTTTCCTTTGCAATTATCTTGCAATTCTTCTTCACTTACAAGAGTCACTGAAAACTAACATTACAGAAAATATTATTAAATAAACACATGCAACCATAGCTGCAAACATCAATAGGAAAAAATCCAGTAGATTTTACCAAATAATATAAATTTCAAGATATTTATTGCATAATGTACTAATATTTTACACATAGGGAATTTTAGGAGTTTTTATAGTCGTCAAAATAGAAAAACTGCAATGTTTTGCAGTTATGACTGACATTAAATGAATTCGAAATTTTATGTATTATTTTTACTCAAAATTTTGAATCGTAATACGCATTTTATTCATACATAGTTTAAAGATCTATTAATTAATTTAAAAAGGGAGTTCTGGTGAAAAATAAACTGAATAGTTTAGAATAAAAAAGTTTGAAACAGATTTCTATAAATGAGACTCACTTTATTATGTATTAGGATGACATATTTAAATATTCAAGCAAGTAAAATTCTAGCAGAAATATAGATTTTTCAATAGGGATTTTTTCAGAAAAGTTATTCAATTTTAGGGAATTTTCTAAAATGTACAAAAAACCCAAGAGAATTTTTATTAAAGCAGCTGACAAGGAGTAACTGGCAAAATCCAGTAGAGTTGGAAGCTATACATACAACATAAAGAAAGAGAAATATCTATCATTTTATTACTTACTTGTACACACTTAACACTCCCCTGAGAAAAGTCAAAAACACCAATTATATCTTCACCCTGTCTATATGAAGATTTCAGCAAACAAAATCGCACCACTTTCCCATTTTGATTAGTTATGTTGTAATAGCCTAAACAAAATGCAAAAACTTAAATTAATATTATATTAAATTATACTACTGCAATTTTTCTCATAAGCATTAATACACATTTCTTTGGAAAACATAATATCATAATTTAAAGGAAGACTGGTATTTTATTCTAGCCTGCATTCCAGGCAGAAAAATTTCCTAAGCAAATTTTCATAAATCCAAATTTGTGTGTGATGCCACTTAAGAGGACGCCATACCCAGAGAAAAAATCCGAATTGGCAAAATCAGTGGTAAGTCTCGCACTTAGGGAGTGTCGCCTTCAGGGAGGGGATAATAAGTACAGTGACAGTGATTTATAATAGAAGGTCACTTAGACTGTTCCAGGGTCATTCACATAGTGATGAACAATGTGAGCATTAGTTTCTTAAAGTTATTCTGCTTCAAGGTTTGCAGTCTTCAGATTTTTCACGAAAACTTTTTTTTAGCAGTGTTCAACNGAGAGAGAGAGGGAGAGAGAGAGACAAAAATTTAACAAAAAAGTTTTTAAACTTGAATACCATGTGATTATAAATCCCGATATGAGGCTTTTAAATCACGTGAACATAAAACTCTACATCGAATTTAAAAAATGCGAAAATACAAATCATGATGCGTAATTTTCAGATCACGTAAATACAAATTACGATGCATAATTTTTAAATCGCGAGATACTTCAACTGCAAAAACGAATCACGACATTGGATTTTAAACTGGTGAGAATAAGAATTGCTACATAGGGTTTTAAAAGCGGGTAAATACAAATCGTGATATTGGATTTTTAAATCTCGTAAATAAGAATCGGAATGTATGATCTTTAAATTGCCTGAATAAGAATCGCAACGTTAAACTTTTAAATCAGGTTAATACGAAAATCGATGTTTGATAATAAAATCGCGATTTTGAAAATGCATAAATACAAAACGCGAAACTCGATTTTTAAGTCTCGTAAATAAGAATCCTAATGTATTAAATAGTGTAAATAAGAATCGCAATGCGCAACTTTTAAATCAGGTAAATACGAAAATCGATGATTGATCTTGACTTGGGATTTCTAAAAGGCTTTGTTTGTATTGTTTTTGTTTAGACATGATAAAAAAAAAATTATAAGATTAATTGAATGAGCAAATAAATATTTTCACCACAAATCCACCTCCATTTTCTATTTATTTATTTTTTTGTTTGCTTTCACGCCAGAAAACAGGAAGCAGCGACGTCAGAGTTACGAAAATACGAGCTATGCGTCAGACGGATAAAAATCTTATTTTCTGTGCGTGAAAACGGTGAAAATAGCTAAAATAAGTAAAAGTGAGGAAGGGTTAGCAGCTAGGATGTAGTTTGAATTTTCTGTTTATCTTTGAAAATCGTAAATAAATATAATGATTTTATTTCAACNCAAGAAAAAAAAAAGAAAAAAAAAAAAAAAAAAAAAAACAAATAACGAAACTTTTAGAGAATAGGAGTTTTTGATTAAAAGGCTGAAATTCGAGAGACAAAAGCGAAACAAGCGGGAATCCGTTAAAAAGCGGAAAAATCTGATCCCTGTATAAAGGTCAACCAGTTTTATCCCAAGGAAATGATTTTTAGAAGAAGTTCAGAGGGAAGAATGAGGACTTCAATAATTTCGCTCCACGGAAAATTAAATTCCTCATAAAATATTTTAACTTGTGCACAAAAATAATTTCTAGGAAATTAGCGGGAAAAATAGAAAAATCTGAAAAAGCGAAAATCCGTGAATCCGCGGAAGAATCTCATCCCTGTAAACAGTAAAAGACTAAGGCAGAATAGATTAAAGCTAATTCTATAAATTTAATATAGCACAAAAAGTATTAATAAATAATGGAAGAGAGTTAAGTATTAAATTCAGACAGGAATGATAGTTCATGTGCTCAATTCTCATGAAAAGATGCTTGAACAAGGACAAAGGAAAAGTTCTGACACCTCCACACATCTCGCTGTAAGTGATTAATCGTTTCTTTATAATAGAGTTGTTACACATTGCAGTTGTCTTGCATAGATTAATTAGTACTCATATGTACTCGTTAAAAGCATGACTTTGAAAGTTAATTTTTAAAAAATCAACTTATAACAAAAACGATTGGGCATTTTGTTTACAATATTTTTTCCACTTTTTTACCCAAAGCAGCAATGCACTAACTTTTCTTGAAAGCGGGCAGCCATAAATTAAAAAAAAGAATTTGGGGGCCAACATGAGTATGATAAAACTGTAGGTACAATTACGTACACACTAACGCTTAAAATTTGTAAACAATTACATTTTCTTGCAAGTATTGAACTTGTAAGCATGAATAAAGCTTAGAAAACAAAATGCTTGCAATCAAGTTCAGGCTTGTCTTAAAACATAATAAAACATTTTTTTTTTTTTTGTAAATCTAAGGCATTTTTTCCCATAAGTAAAAAAACTTTTTTTCAGCTTATATTTGTTTTTGTTTAATCCTTTTTTTCTTTTTAAATACATATTTTAATGATATTTCAAAATTGTTCAGGAGCAAAGTTATACTCTGGGGGACAATCTTGGCCTTCGAGCCATGAGTCAAGTATCCTTGCTCTACAGTCTAGAAAAACTTTAATTGAAATTTCAGATTCATAAAAATTTTCTTTAGGGAAATATTTTCGAAATTACAGAAACTTAAAAACAGAAAACATTACAAAACTCCTCCCTAAAAGCTATTTATGCATAAAGCTTTTACAATGTTTAATATTTCAGACTGATGAATGTTAATCATTTTTTAAATATAAAAATAAATATAAATAAAAAACCTCACATTTTCAGCTGAGTCTTTTTTTTATGGAAACTCCTTGTGATTTTAAAGTTTGGTAATGAGAGCTAAAACATATTTTTACAATTTAAAAGGCACCATACAAGATTTAAAATCTAAGTGATCAAAATTACTTATATTTTTAAAATTTGTAACACGCAATTTTCCAAATTTACATAATTTGGCAGTCAGATAATTGTTATAGAGTTCAGATCAACATATGTTAGTAAACAAACTTTTTCAGTGTAATAAAATCAAAATATCAATCAAGATTAACTGATATGCACTTGAAACAATTTAATTTTGTAAAGAAGCTAAAATAATTCAATATTTAATAATAATATTTCAGATATCATACATATTACTTTTTAAATTTTAATAATTTTGAAGGACAGAAGGTGCTCTGTACTATTCATTTTTTTTAAACACTTTTTAAATGGAACCAACCAATGAAAGGTTATGCAAGCATGTCAATGAAGTCAAATTACGAGATAATAAAAGTGTATGGCTATTAATATTGTGAATAATTTAAAGAATCCTCGCTTAGCTAGATTGAATTATGAAAAAGTACAGACTGTTTATTTGGAATTAAACGTTCAAATTAATAATTTTTATTATAGCATTTTGTTTTATTTATCATATTTATTTTCACAACTCAGCTCCAAAATAATGTGTTATTTGCATGAAAAATCCTATACTCAACTAAGAAATAACATTTTTTTGGAATATAGGGAAAATTTATACACATAATTATTTTAGATAGTGTAATTTTCATAAAAATAGTTGTCTGAAAGAAACATTCTCAATCAACAAATAAGATAACTAACATACCAATGTCAGTGCTAAAGGCTGGAGTGACGGTCAAAGGTATGGGCAGGATCACTTGAGTTAAATTTAAGTGCAAAGAAAATTCATGATGCTTGTTGTAGGCTACAGTAGTGATGTTCTGCTTTCCTTTGCAATTATCTTGCAATTCTTCTTCACTTACAAGTGTCACTGAAAACTAACATTACAGAAAATATCATTAAATAAACACATGCAACCATAGCTGCAAACATCAATAGGAAAAAATCCAGTAGATTTTACTAAATAATATAAATTTCAAGATATTTATTGCATAATGTACTAATATTTTACACATAGGGAATTTTAGGAGTTTTTATAGTCGTCAAAATAGAAAAACTGCAATGTTTTGCAGTTATGATTGACATTAAATGAATTCGAAATTTTATGTATTATTTTTACTCAAAATTTTGAATCGTAATACGCATTTTATTCATACATAGTTTAAAGATCTATTAATTAATTTAAAAAGGGAGTTCTGGTGAAAAATAAACTGAATAGTTTAGAATAAAAAAGTTTGAAACAGATTTCTATAAATGAGACTCACTTTATTATGTATTAGGATGACGTATTTAAATATTCAAGCAAGTAAAATTCTAGCAGAAATATAGATTTTTCAATAGGGATTTTTTCAGAAAAGTTATTCAATTTTAGGGAATTTTCTAAAATGTACAAAAAACCCAAGAGAATTTTTATTAAAGCAGCTGACAAGGAGTAACTGGCAAAATCCAGTAGAGTTGGAAGCTATACATACAACATAAAGAAAGAGAAATATCTATCATTTTATTACTTACTTGTACACACTTAACACTCCCCTGAGAAAAGTCAAAAACACCAATTATATCTTCACCCTGTCTATATGAAGATTTCAGCAAACAAAATCGCACCACTTTCCCATTTTGATTAGTTATGTTGTAATAGCCTAAACAAAATGCAAAAACTTAAATTAATATTATATTAAATTATACTACTGCAATTTTTCTCATAAGCATTAATACACATTTCTTTGGAAAACATAATATCATAATTTAAAGGAAGACTGGTATTTTATTCTAGCCTGCATTCCAGGCAGAAAAATTTCCTAAGCAAATTTTCATAAATCCAAATTTGTGTGTGATGCCACTTAAGAGGACGCCATACCCAGAGAAAAAATCCGAATTGGCAAAATCAGTGGTAAGTCTCGCACTTAGGGAGTGTCGCCTTCAGGGAGGGGATAATAAGTACAGTGACAGTGATTTATAATAGAAGGTCACTTAGACTGTTCCAGGGTCATTCACATAGTGATGAACAATGTGAGCATTAGTTTCTTAAAGTTATTCTGCTTCAAGGTTTGCAGTCTTCAGATTTTTCACGAAAACTTTTTTTTAGCAGTGTTCAACTCTTTGTGGCCCGATAACTTTTAACTCTGCTGTGAGATTTTTATTTTACATTAAAAGTGGCAGAATTATTTAGACAGTGAAATGTTAATTTTTCTTAAATCTTATTTTTAACATCTTTGACCACTACTATATAAAATAAAATTAAGCAATATCCAATATAAAGCTTAATAATCGTCATTTTAAATTAATTTCCAATCAATGATTTTAAATTAAAACAGTTGCTAACTTTCACCTCAATATCTTCTGATAGATAGTTACTATTACATAGACATACTATTACATAGATAGATAGACAGTTTTAGTCACTTTGACTGTTTTATTTAACCAACCAAACTTTAAAAATTCAATTTTCAAAAATTTTTTCAGCATCATCGATTGTACGAACTTTGTGTTCGCCTATCATATTGACTATTGACATCCATCGTTAAAATACATTCACGATCAATCTTACGATAGACAAAGTGAAAAGGACACATAAACAAAAAACAAATATGTGGATGGACAAATGCAGGAACGGCCAAAAATAAGAACAAGCAAAGTTGAGAGAACTAAACTGTATGAATGCGCACATTCAATATGCGTCACACCAAGGAGTTTTGCGTTGGATAAAAGCTGTATTTTCAACTTTAGACTAAGAATTCTTAAGAACTGTTTAGCACTATTTCAAATATCAGTAATTTTGAATATTTTGAAAAAAATGAGTGAATTCTGGTGATATAGGATGTTTTATATGGTTTTAAAAAATACATAGGAAATATAAGATATATATGCGGACCTTTGAGCCTTTTTTTAATAAATATAATACACACACACAAAAAAAAATTAAAAGAAAGTTATATAATGTATAATCAGAGCTTGTAAAGCAGCTTTAATAACTTTCCTGCAGTTTTCAGCAGTTAATTAAGAAATTAATATTGCGGTTATTCTCTTCTTTCATTAATGAATGATAATTTGTTTCTATCCTTAAAAAAACACATTGGTCAGAATAATAGTTCATTGCAAATTTTTTTTTGAAGGAATGCATACTAAATATCTCTGAAGATGATGTGCATTGCTATAAATTCAGCTCCCAGAAACATAGTTGTTCTACCTTCAGTTCTGAAGAAACAGAGTTGCTTTAAATTTGGTCAATAAAAACTGGACCACCTTAGATTAGAACTAGATCACCTTCAATTTAGTATTCCTTCAAGAAAAAAAAAAGGTCATCATAAATTTAATTCCCAAAAACACAATCACCTTAAATTTAGTTCCGAGAAATTAGGTCCCCTTAAATTTGGATTCCTAAGTTGTCTAGATTTAGTTTCCAAAAACTGAAGTACCCTTCATGGGGTCACCTTAAATTTGATTTCCAAAATCTTATCTTGTATTTAGTGTTCTGGATCCAACATATTTGTGTCCCAAAAACGGAGTTACATTAGTGAAACATTAGAAATCTGCTAATTTAAATGTCTCCGAACCGATAGTCTCAGGCTGCATAGAACCAACTAATTTGAAAATCTTGGATTACTTACTCGGACTCCTGCGAGCTGTAACAGCTTCTAGTAATTGAAGTGTTGAGGAAAGAGTTGGCTGTTTTCTTTGGCTCTGAAGAAAAGGGTTAGATGGTGCCACCTGTAATTCCTCACTTTCAAGAAAGCAATGTGTATCGGGAAGTCCTTGAAAAATGAAAATAGAAATGCATTCAAAAAGTGTGACAGGTTAAAAAACATACTCTCAAGTGTAGAAATTTTTCTTTTTTCATTAAAACATTAATAAATACTTTAAATGTTAACCTTTGATATGATTTCATCTATTATTAATTAGAATAAAATACAATGCAAATGTTGCCTTTGGACTCTGAGAAATTTTCTAAGTCCCAAGGTAGAACACTCCCTCCTAGAACACCCTCATAAAAAAATTTCAGAATAGAAATAAAAAAAAAAAATAGTAAGAGTGAAATTCAACCAGACAATGAATAGGGGTTTTACAAGCTTTTTCAAAAGACAACAGTAGAAATAATATTTTAGCTTTTGGAGGCCACAATGAACTCAGTTTTTATACCACTTAATAACTTTCTATCTTAGAGTAATAAGGCCAATACTAATAAACTTTAAAATAAAAAGACTAAGTACAATAATTCAGAAATATTAAAAGTTTTAAAAATCTTGTTTTCTTTAGTAAAATTTGTTTGCAGTAGATTTTCAAGAATCTGTTTGAGGAAAAAATTAATTTGATTACATCTTTACAATACATAAATTACTTGCATCTTTAATTTTTAAAAAAATCTTTAAAGTACATTTTTGAACATGTTTTGGTAGAGGAAAATTTCATTAGTGGGGGGGGGGGATAAAAATGTCAAAAAATTTAAATCTTATTTGTTAGAAAGGCAGTTATAATATTTTTAATATTGAAGTGTTTTCCAGTTAGGCTTTGGCTGCACAGTGATAATTGGAAAGTTCCACTTCGCCCTCAGACTGCAATTAGTAAAACCTTATCTTATGGGAATTTTTAACAACCTAATTTCACCAGGATACCCATATAAATACCAAGATCACCAGGACAAAATAAAATTCCCTGACTTTTTCAGGAAATGCTCAACAAATTCCATATTATATTTTTGCTATACACAGAAAGATTTCAAGGGAAAAGTAATTTTTTTTTATTCGAAATGGAATAAACTTTGACATAGAAAATTAGTCAAATATTACATATTGCAAAAAATAAAATATCACTATGTGAAAGTTTAACAAGTATATTTCATACACAAATGTATAAATTAAGGGTAAAAACAATGTTTTGAATGAAAAAATTAGAGCCTGATTGGTGATAGAAAAAAAGAGCATTATTTAACTGTTAATATACTCATTTAAAAGTTACAATATAATAGATAAAATTTAAGAAAAACTTGAAACAAAAAATAACTAAGCAAAGGGTTATTTTCTCAAATGAGATATGAATATCCTTGCTTAATTAACTGAAAGAATTGTACAATGTTGCAGCAAAATTTTTACAAGAAATAACAGAAATAGATATCATACTTATTCGATTTGAACTTCATTGGCTACTTAACATTAACGTGAATTTTGAAACTAGTTATTTTCTAAGTTTGTTTCAAGACTTTTGAAGATTTGGCTAAAATTTCTTTATTTTCCCAAACTTAAACAATATAGGAAGGAAAAGAAGTCTAGCTTTCTGAATGCCTAATTAATGTGAGGAAGTGCCCCGTATGGGATACTATACCAGAAAAACAACTTACAGGAAGAGCAACATACTTATTATATGTACAAAGATTCAGTGCATGCACATGAGAAATCGAGTGACAGTCGAATGCTATGCTACCTGAACCAATTTTTGGTAGGGTCTCCCACCATTTTATTCAATTTCAAAATATGCAAGCAGATATCATTGACATGGAGAATATAAATGAATTCACAAAATATGTAGTAATCTCTAAATAGTAGAGAATTTTAATAAATAGTACAAAAATGCAGCGACATGCAAACTATAATTAAAAAGAAAAAACATTCCTTTTCCTTCCCAACCCCAGCAAAGGTTGGAGAGAAAAGGAGCAAGCCTGTTTCTAATGTTGCTTTTTTTTTCCTACACACAGGGCCCGTACCAGCCCTTGGGAGACCAGTTCACATTATATCTATGGAAGCTAGCCTTCTCTTCCTACATATATTCTATACTCAAATTCTCTGACAATTCCAGGTTTTACCTGACTTTGAAGGAACCCTATGTTACAAATGAAAAACTTCTAATAATTTGAAAATTCTACACTGATAAAGACAGAACTCTTAAGGGAAAATAAATTTAATACGAAAATTCTAACCTGATAACACGAGTACTCTTATAGGAATTTTCAACAATTTAATTGCGGTATTGACTCTCTGAGTACCCACAGTGATTTTGTATGCATATTTCACACACTGGCCTCTGTAGGATGGGGGAGCATTGTTTGGTATGGTTTCCCTGTAAATAACTATAAATATAAATCAATTAGTATTTGCTTAGACTAAAAGTTAAATAAGCATAAAAAAGCTGTAAAATGATTTTATTCAATTACCAAATTACTCCTCAAAAATAGCTTAGAATTTAGAAACGAAACATTTTACAAAAGCTCCATTTTATTAAAAAAAACTAATTAGAATAATGAAATGCTTATAAAATCATTTGCACAAATAATGTTTAATATGTAATGTATATGCTTGTCACCATGAAACCAACAATGATATAAATATTTATGCATTATAAAAACAATGATTTTTAAAATACATTTTCAGAGTTTTTTTGTAAAAACTCACATATTTTGACAATAGAAAGAATTTTATTGACGGAATTCAACAATACAATAAAAAAGAAACACATATTTTTAGTAAATAAAAATAATTAAACATAAAAATAGAATGGAGTAATCACAAATCTACATAGATAAGTAGATTTAAGACATTAATAAGCAAAAAATAAACTTACATGTTTTACTTTCACCAGGCAGTAATTTCAAATCACAAAATAAAATTTTTGGTTTAGTAGATAGTACAACATGGCCACTTTCACCTATAAAAAGAATCATATTTTCAATGACATTTCTTTCTTGGAAGAAAAATAGAAGAAAAGTATATAACCATTTCAATCAAACAAAATTTATTGCGTCTAAAATAAACAGTAATACATTTTAATTTACATGTTATAGTAACTGTGGTTCAATTGATATGGATACTCCAAAATAAAATTATTTGCGAAACAGAAAAACACATAACTAACCATCTTAGGCCAGACAACCTCGCTCATTGCAGGTCGGAACAAAACTAACCCCTTTTAGGAAATAGGAAACACCCAAAAGTTATCCAATAGCAGCGCCATCTTTTAATTAACACAAATAATAGACAAATGACATATTCTGATATTACACATGTATTTAGTATAAATAAAACAATTTCCATCAATTTTATTAACAAAAAATATACACAATGCTCATATTCAATTTCTTTTCTTTTTTAACATTTTCATGATCATTTGCCTCTTTTTACTAAGCTAACTTTCCTTTAAAATAACTCAATGACATAAAAATATGTATTGAGGAGCACACTTTTTTTCTGCATAGTATAATGAAACAGGAAAAATTTATTCCCTTTACTCACCAATGTGTGGCTAAAAAGTTCAACAAGTTCTTTCTAAGATAAAGGTAATTTTTTTCTATGCTGACCACGGTTGATTAGTTTTTAACATTTATTAATTTTTGATAACTTTAGATATGTAAAAAATAGTCACGTCAAAAACCTTGTATAAAATCCCGTGCCAAGAAACATTACTTCAAAAATACAAAATGCACGCCTTTTTAACAGTGTTTTTCAAATCTATGCAATAATTTTAAAATTTTAATGAGGCCATGGACACACTCATGGCCCAGATATTATGATTTTTTTTAGGCAATTGACTTTTATTCAACAAAATTTTAAAATGCAGAAAAATTTTCAAATATTATTTAACAAATTAGGTAAATTTGCATTTGTCTCACAAAAAAAAAAAAAAAAAAAAAAAAAAAAAAAAAAAAAAAAAAAAAAAANAAAAAAAAAAAAAAAAAAAAAAAAAAAACCAGAATCGTCTGTAAAGCTAACATTTGTAGAGTTTCAAGCAGGCATATATAGGTCATTCTCTGTAAAGTCCTAATTTCGAACCTTTGATTTATCATTTGTTTCATCCTTTAAATTTACTCCCCAAGAAGAAGCATTTTCCTGCAATAGAAGGAACACAAAAGGTGGCACATTTCTGGTTAAGGAATATGGAGCAAGATTCCTTTCAAAAGGCCATGAATGATTTAGAACTATGATGGAGTAAATTTTAAAACCAGTATAAAACTCTTAAACATAATAAATATTTATGCATTTTTTTGTACACTTTTGAATGCTAATCAAAAATTCATCATACTTTTTAATATGACTCGAAACTAACAGGTGGTATATTAGTTTGAGACTGCTACAAAATAATTGTCAGTGGTCCCTTGGTTCAGCAATCAATGTAAAGGAATGGTACGCTGTTTAGGATTTCTTTCCTTAAATATTTGGTTCCATGTCTTGGTCTGCATTTTTCACAAAATAGCATATTTCATCCTATTTGTGGCATTTCACATTCTCTGTATAGCTTTCACATTAAACACACTTTTTTTAACTGTTCTTCCTTAAATATTTTTTTTTTTAAAAAATCTAATAGCGACACCTAAATGTACCAATGAAAATGTAGCATATAGACCAGTAATATTTTTTAGTTACTGACTTTTCGGACCTGTTATTAGAGCTGAATTTCTTCCCTAGCTTTTTGATATATCTGTGTAGATTTATTTGAAAACTAATATTGATTTAAATGCATGATGCAGTTAGAAAAGAGATTTTAAAAAATGCATTTCATATGACTGTTAAAAGTATAATAAAAAATAATAGTTTTTCTCAAACAGTTTACCTCTGCAAGGAATAAATGATGTATCATGTGATGCTGTAGCCAATTCTTCTTGCGATGCTGTAATCGGAAATTTTACTAAAGTATTATCAACAGTGCATTGGCAATGAATTTGTGCACTTGCCCAGGCAAGTACCTCTTCAATGTCACTGGAAAAAATAAATTACAAATAAAAAAATTGTACAAAAATGCCTATACTATTCACGACAAGAAGGCAAAATAATAAATATTTTATGTAACAAACTATTGCTGAATTTACCTTAATTAATAATAAAAAATAAAATACAAAAACAAAATTAAACTAATAACAGCAAATTTAAATTGTCATCAATATTCTGTATTTTCAATTGACTGTTAAACATACTTGAATAAATATTCAAAAATTCAAAACAGGAAAATGCAATTTTTTTATTAATAAAATAAAATATAAAAATTATATTACACTAATAATAAAAATTTTAAATTATCTGCTATAATCAGTGTTCTCCTCAGGCATTTTAAGAAGGGCTGTTTGCCTTTGATGTCTATAAACATGCCTTCTTTGCCCTTTTTGTAAAAATAAGACACCATCCCTTAAAAACTCGGCCCTTTTATTCATATTCCTTCCTTAAAAAATTATTTCACTGCTTAAATAATAATTACACACTAGTAAAATTATCTACGTTTATAGGTTTAATTCTCATTACTACTACAAATATTTACCTACTTTGTTTGGATTGCTCTCAGCTGGTTAATTTTTTATAAGTAATCTCTTTTAGCTCGGGGAAAAAACTTTCAACAAATTTTTCAATGATTTTAAATTTTAGAATTATTTTTAAATAAATACCTATAAAAAAATGAGCTTTTAAATGTTTGTTTTCTCATAATTTTCAGTTTAAGTTATGGAAAAATGCTCTAAGTTGTGTATCAATTAATAATTTTTTCATTTTATACTTTTTTTGAAAAAAATTTATGCACAGAGATTGTCTTTAACATACCTTAATTATTTACATAAAAAGCGTTTCCGTTATTTTAAGAATGAGAAAAGATAATTGTTAAAATTATACACATAAAATAGTTTAAGAGGGTAATTTAAAAATTGTTGAGGATCAAATTCAGGTATTATAAAATATTTCACACTTTGATCGATTTTTACTGTGGTAAGTGAAAGAGTGGCAATGCCCTGCCCTTTTTTTTTTCTATGGAGAACTTTGCATAATCTCGATTTTAAATTGGCTATTAATCCAAACTTAAATCAATATTCAAAATATAAAGAATATATATATATAAAAAAAGGGAATCGTATTCAATTTTTTATTAATAAAAGGGAACAAAATATAAAAACTATATTACGTTTTAAAAACTACAAATTTAGACTAACTGCTATATTCTCGATTAATTATTAAATAAATATCTGCTAGATTATCTATTGACTATTAAGTATACTAAAATAAATATTTAAATTAAGAAATTTAAAAAGAAAATAAATAAAAGAGGTAACAGAGGAAAAAAAATTCAAAAACTTTTTTTAATACTTCTGTTAAAAGTTAGTTAGTTAGTTTCGTTCATATAAATTCATTCATTTTTTTATACATTAATCAACTATATTATGAAAATAATAAATACTAGTTTAATAACTAGTCTAAATACTAGTCTAAATATACATATTATTTAAGATCAAGCAATATAATCTATCCAATTACAACTATATGTTTGTAAAATTGAAAAAAATGAAATGATATACGGGATTTCAATTGACATTGAACTTTTATTTTACACTAAAAGTTTTTTTTTATAAATATTTGGAATTTAATATTAAAAAATTTGAGTGAGGTGTTTATTTTATTGTGAATATTAGTTACATTTGCAGTTTTAGGCGTTTTGTTTAATAATTATCAACTATAACTATAAATATATGAAAGAAGATAATGAGCATGTAAAAATATTCTGATTCTTACTTATTTGATTGGCTTTGTTTCTGTGAGTAAGTGAATGGACTTCGAAATGACACATGGCATTCAACAGCCTCACCTGAAAGAAAAACTGATCCATGTGGCAGTCGAGCATGCACTTCTATCATCTAAAAATAAATAAAACTGTTGTGATACTAACAAATTATAATTATTATATTTATTGGCATTACTTCATTTAAAAATATAATTTAAACTTAAGTTAACTTTTGACAATTCTAACTTAAAATATCAAAACTTTCATTATAAACAAACTATTATACACCTGGAAAAGAAATTGTTCTTCACATTTTAATATCAATAGAATCCCCCACCAGAAATTTTCAGTTAGGGACCAGGATAATTTTTAAACTTCCAATAACAAAAATAGTGAGAAGATTTCATTAGTGGTATCTTTAGCAAAATGGTTATCAAGTTTTAGCAACAACTAGGCTGTTGTCCACAAGACACGCACAAAAAAAAAAAAAAAAAAAATCACAGAACTCAAAAAGTAAAATTGCTAGCCATCATTATATTTCTTATAATTTATTGCAAGGGAGCCAAGGTGGTTCAGGGAATAGAGCATTCAATTTCCAATGAGGTGACCTAGGTTCGAATCACAGAGGTGGCTGGTCGATAAGAAATTTTTCTCTGGCTCGCACCAACCACAGTGCTGATGTAAAATATTCTCAATGGTAGACGGATCTTGGATTAGAATCTCCTTACTGCTAGTGGGAGGTTTTCTTGCCTTTTTTCTCTCCATTTAACGTAGCTATGATAGCTAGCTTGTCCTAATGCTTGACCCAGAAGTTCATTGTCTTCAAGGTTAGGTTTAAAACTACTAAGTCACATAAGTAACCATTGTTAGTTGTAAACTGTCAGGTCGAACAAACATTGTCGGCTGTTCAATGTCTATTATAAAATAAAATTTATTGCTAAGGTAAGAGCACTTGGCAATTTCAATTGATCAAGTACAAATTTAGAAATATTTCCAAAATATCATATTATAACTTTTTACAATTCATAAATCTATAAAGAAATATATACCTATAAGCGTATAACAATGCTTTTACTATTTTAAAAGAAATGCTTTTTTTTTTTTATAAGACTCCTAATAATATACAAAAAGTAATCATCAAAAGACAAAATTTTTTTCAGATTAAATCAAATTTCAAGTAAAATAAATTTTTAAACAGAGATCTGTTAGTTTTTTTTTAAGAGGTACTTATTTTGTGAAAATTTAAAAAATCAACACAAAAATATAGTAAAGTAAGAAAACCTTTTCAAAATATGTCACTACAAATAAAAATATTTTATGACTTAAGTTTTTGTATATTTTCCCCCATATAAAGAAGATAATATTTGTTATTGTAAAATTCTGGGCTTAAAATTGCATCCAAGTTTAAAAATCCATAAAATTCATAGTCCATAGTTAAATTTCAACTCGAATTTAATAAAAACTTGCATTAACAGTACTTATTTTCATTAGTAGAACATTTTTGACTAGGTCATAGAGAAAAAAGTTTCACATAGAAATAAATGTTACATAAAACATAAAGGTCTGTTGGAATAAATTTACAATAGTGTTTACGATAATGTTCGAATTTTGATTTCCTGTAAAGTTTATAGATAGAAACCTCATTGTTTCATTTAAAAAAACTCAGAGAAAAAAAAAAGAAACTTGCTTTGATATGGCGCAAGCGACCGGTTAGGATTACCACATTGCACTATCTGACCAAACACATGCTACCTTTTTGTAAAAGACAGCTGGCAAAAAAGCTCCTATTTTTTCTTGATTGCAACGAGAATGGGGTTTGCATGAGAACTTGCTTTATTAACTCCTTCCTTCTCGCTCCCGTGAAAATGATGGGGTGAAGTTTCACCCTCTATTTCTCGCTCCCGTGATATTTCCGGGATGGAGTGTTCAGTTGTAATGCGCCAAAAGAATAACACTAATTCATTTCATTTGGCCGGAAAGCATTTTATTTCTCATTTTACACACCAGATGGCAGTACCAGGATACTTTTAAGATAATTGTAGATAGTTAGTTTATTTTAGACTGGATGTCAGCACTAATCAAGGATAAAAAAAATAGGCACTTTTATGACTGTTTTCTTGGAAATTAACCGATTGTTAAGGGGTAAAAAGTATTTTGCGAAACTACCGTTTTTCCTAAAGTTGAATTTGTGAAGGTACTGCTACAAGGTAGTAAATATACCCTGGACAGACCCCTGCTTTATCTTTAAAAAAAGCAATGCTAAAAGAAAATCATAAATTTAACATTATTTATACTCTCTGTGTTTTTCAGCACAATCACTTATCAAAACATTTAGTCCAAGACAGATGCACTAAGTCCCATTTGCTATTCCAAGAAGGCAATGTTATTTTAATATTCATTAGAATGTCAGCAAAGAACTGTTTAATTGAATATAGTGACCGAAATTTAGTAATTTGATTTAGAAGAATTTTCAGGGAAATTATTAAAACCATTATTTACTTTAATATTAATAAAATAACTTATCTTTTATCTTAACTTATTCTTGTATTTTTTATTATTATTTTTTTTTTTTTTTGAATAAAGGTAGAGTCATAAATTCTTTCCTTACACTTAGGTGGTCATAAATTATGATAATTTATAATCTGTTCAAAATTCTTTAAAAGTTACAATAAATTTCTTAATAATACTTCTCTTGTTTGAAAACTGTATTCCTTTTTTTAAGAAATGACTGCCCCCCTTTTTTACCTTATTTTTTTAGTAAAGACATATGGTTTTCATAATTATCTAGATGTGTTATGCATAAAAATGTTATGTAAAAAGGCAGCCCCAAATTATTATGTTTATGAAATTTTAACCTATGAAGTATAATTTCAAAGGGTTCATTTACATGAATATAAATATTAAAAAAAATTTCACAATTAACAATTTTTCTGTTAGTTACAGACTGCTTTTTAGAATTGGTCAAGTATTCTTTTTTAGGGATAATTTCTGTATTGTGATCTACAACAGCGTCTACCAGAAACTAAAAATAAATAAGGGGAGTATAACTTGTAGTGACCTCAGGCAAACCTCTGCTGTTTTTAAATTTTGCAAGTGTAAAATCCTTTTAGTGCCTCAGCGTTTGTAGTTAGTCATAAAATTATACTTATTAGTAATTGTTTGATGCTTAGACATTGATTTGAAAAGTTCAATTTCATGCAAAAAACTATATTTGTATTTTAAATTCAGAAAAATTGCGGTATGTAAAAATTGAGCTTAATTATGACAATTTACAGGTAATGATTAAGTGATGAAACCAACAGAATTCAATCAATGGCATCTACAGTTTTGCTGATATGAAATTTAATGAAAACTAACCATTGAAATACTCTGGAATCCAAAACTGCATTTAAATTAATGGTTGAAATAATTTTAAAATGACTAAAATTAAAAATCTCTAATGGAATATTTGTAGTTTATTAAGGTTTTTTTCGATAAGAAAGAAATATGCAATTAAACCATACTAATTTAACAGCGGAGACACTTGTAAATAAACACAAACTGACATTTGACGACTCAACATTACAAATACCGTCACAGTTACATTAAAATTTGATAAGTAAACACTTTGTAAGCTGTAAGCAAAATATATTTTTAATCACAAAGCACTAAACTGATTTCCATTATCATCACTACGTAAGTCTGTGCTAGACATTTGGACACTTTGAAATTAATATATTTTACTGTGTTTTCGGATTTTATACTTCGTAAGTAATTTAACATAATACAGTTTTACTTATCTCCTTTTTAATTTAAAAAATATTCATTAAAAGCTATTTTATTTCGTTTATTTCATGAACGAAAATAAGTAGTACCTTTAGCATTAGTAGTAGTAGCATTAATCTTTTAGTTTTTATCATATTTAGAAAAACGTATATTTTTACTGTTAAATTTTTTAGTTAAACGCAAAGCTGCTGACATTGTCTTTATTGCAATTTCTCAGTTTCAAAAAATTTACATAGCTTTTTAACAGTATCAGCTCTCAACTTTAATAACAAAAAAGGTATTAAATGTTTTAAACTTATTTTGACCCTGTGCAACAATTTTAAAATTTGGAGACAGTGCCATTTCGGTAGCTTAAATCCACCATTCATGTCATTAATTTGAGATAACCCTCATTATAACACATTCTCCTAAATCAAGAACATATCGCTGGTTTAAAACCAAAACGACACACCTGCAGGCATAAGACGTTTGCAGATGTGTCGTTTTAATTTTGAACCAGCGATATGTATCCATGCATCAATCTAGTTCTTAATTCACAATGTAGATGTAAAACATTCACCTAGTTATAGATGCGGTATAGCCTCAACAGAGTCATGCGTCAAAAACTCCCAACAAACAAACAGATATTTCAAACGTTGTTCAATTTTTCAATTATATTCTTAAGTACTTTTTTTATACAAATATAGTACTTTTTTGCTTAATTACTTTTTTTTACTTTTAGTTAAGTAACCTCGGTTTAGTGTTCTTTCATCCTTCTCTTAGCATATCTGTTATAATAATTTTAAAAAAAAATCAAATCTGCTTTTTTGTCAAAGAATATTTGGGGTTGAAAACATTTAACATAATATTAAGTTAGCTAATGTAATACAACTTTTTATGCACTGCATTTATTATTAATTGATTGAATAATATTTCTTGTTTAAAGTCTCATACTCATTTGTTAAAATTTAATATAATACAGTTTTTAATTCATTCCTAAGTGCAGGAGAAATAGGTTAGTATGTTTTACTGTGCATTAAATAGAAATATAAAAAAATTTACGATATTTTTTTGTTTGCTGCAGTTAGGGTCATTAAAGTTAAGAAATTTTCAACTATATATATGGGAGAAAAATGGGCTGATATCAAAATGGATGAAGAACGTACCACAAATAATGTTTTTAATGCTAGACCAGCTGCATATGAGATGGCCTAGAAAAAGACCTTTTGGTTTTAAAAGCTGGAAAACACTAGCAAGAAAAAGGTTAGGCTAGAAGAAATTCATGAAAGGCCCACCTTGGGCTGTCGAGCCAATGATGATGGGAGGAGAAAGGGTTAGAGTAGGGAATTTTTATAAATCTACCAGGAAGTTATACATATCTGGTACTTTTTATTATTATTAAAGATTGAACTTCTATAAGGTCAGGTGGGGTAAGGCAGTTATAAAGTCAAACTTTTTTTAAAGAAGAAAATCAAACTTAAATTTATTTTACCAATCATTTTGATTCATTTCATATACATTGGGTTCATATAGATGAAATATGAAGCGTGTATCAATTATGTTTAATTATTTTCTTACAGTAATGCTTTTAAAAGAACATATTTCAATACATCCACTTTACCCCAGAATAGAGTAAAGTGGGTATAGTTCTAAAATTACTATTCAAACATATGTGAATATTGTTTTATAAATGAAAATGGTCTTAAATAACTGTATCTTGATTATATTTAAAGGAATAATTGCTAAAATGAACTTTTTCTTATTATTAAGTTAAAGAGTTTATGTTCATGATTATCGAAATTAGGTTTCACTTAGGATGCAGTACATTTTACTGAACTTTACAGAATTTCTTCAAAAAGCAAGGAAAGAGAAATAGTTTTCGGTTTATTTGATATATAAACGAGAGTGTAAAAATTAATATCTATGATAGATAGTAGTATAAAATGTTTTTACTATTTGTAGCAGGCATGCAATTTTATTTAATTTTGTTATTTTAAGGAAATTGTTTTGTTTTCCCTGAAAAAACTGTCACATGAAGGTAGAAACTTGTGTTAAAACTCATTCATGTCTTTTAAGTATGCTCACTAAATTGCTATTTGGGTAAATTTTTTTAAATTGTTTGATATGTCTTATATTATTATATTATCCCTCCCCCTTTATCACTGTTTTCTTTAAGAAATAAAATTTAAAAGAAATTTTGTTTTCATCCTTAAAATTGGTATGTAGGACTATAATCAGACAAGCAAATTATTTTTTACCTGTTTCATTATAAAATATAGAGCATTAGATACTTACTAAAGCTAACACAGAGGAAGAAAAAATACCCCTAATTATACCATAATTTACTGAAGCTTAACCATATGAATGGTGCTTTTAATATAAATGTAAACAACAACAATCTCAAGCTCTTGACCTGCTCTACTTCCAGTAAGAAAGTATACAGCTGCTTACTGCAACTCATTCTGTGAGGCAATATTTTCAAACAGATAATTTTGTTTTTGATAATAGAAATAAATTATATAATTTCTGAGCTCAAATCTGTTTAAAAATCTGTTCAAATCTGCTGTCAAATTTCGTAAGATATTAATGACGTTAAGTAATTCTGGTGAGTTTGAAGTGAAAATTTGTTTTAGTTATTTAGAGATGTATTGTTAAAAAATGGTTGCTAGGTTTAAAAAGAACTCGCTTTTTCGGCAGTTCTGATTCAGCCTCTTTTTACTTGTTTATTACTGTTTGTTCTTGATGCAAGCCGTGCACCATCATACGTTAATGTTAGCATATTGTTCGAGCAGCGAAATTAAGTTCATTTTACAAATTGTGATTCAGGTTTAAATTTCTTAGTTGATATATTGTTAACAAGATAAGAAGTGTTTTATAATGATTCTTTTTCAAATGACAATTCTTATGTCTTGTAATGACAGGTCTTCAAATGACAATTCTTCTTTTAAACACAAATAATAAATCAGGTACCTAACAAATACAAGAAATACTGTTCAAATGAGGCTCTCAACACAATGATCATGTTGTGGCTTCAAAATGCACCAAAAAATATAGGCATTCAAGAGCGCTTGCAGTGCTCCCTAGTGTAGGAAACATCGTCAACCCACTTTACCTGAATTCATAATAAAAAGGATTTTGAAATTTATTCTTAAATTTGTATTCAAATCTGTTCTTTTTAGATGTTCCTCTAGCAGTTTGAACTAAAATTAATAGTTTTTGCTGGTTTTTAAGAGTATTAAAAAAAAGTTTATCAACAGCTTAAACTAGCATGTATAAGTCGATTATAAACAGATAGTTTGTAAACATTGAACTTTTATCAGCTTCTAAAACTAAATTAAAAGTGCTTGCCACTGTTCCAGTAAATGTCTATATAAATATTAAATGAATTATCTCGATTTAAAATAAGAAAATGGATGTTTTTTAATATAATTTCACTCTCTTCCACCTATGTATATAGATGTAAAATATGCATGTATAAAAATGTTTTATAACCCCCTTCCCCCCANCCCCCCCCCCCCCATGTTGTAAGGTAAATACCTGGGTAAACACCCAAAATGCATAAATATCTGGGTATTTAAAAATTTTATTGATAATTCAATGGTTATTTTTTGTTATTCAAAATTATTTGTAATTTCGACACAATTAAGTTTTGCTTACATTGTCAATACTTAATTCATCATTTACTATAATAAAGAAAAAGTCATTCAATTGAACATATAAATTATTATTATTTTTTTTAATATTCTTTTCTTGAGCATGTTATGATTTAATTCTCATTAAATTCACATTTCTAATCATAATTCCCAGTATTTAAAATAGGGGTGCCATCCCCTTTGCAGAGGATCAAAATTGTGATGTCATGTCTTCGGATCATCCTCAGAGACCATCCAAAGTCCTGATCCCAGGTATGACGGTCTGTTAATGAAACTCTGTTAATAACAGGTCGATGTAAATAAGCTATAGCAACAATTTCCAATATTTGTTTTAAACGTAACATCTGAACGAGTAAATATTTGGCAGAAATATATTTTTTAAATGCAGAAATTTATACAAGTTCTACATAATTTACTATGAAAAATTTAACATACAAAGCTTTTCCTGCATATGAATAGTACATAATTCCTATTAGATCCTTAATTATGATGGGATAATATCTTTCTGAACAATAATAATGTCCAATATGTTAAATTGGCTGTAATTTTTTTTAATATTTTTATTTCATTATTACTAATTAATTAAGAAGTATAGCTTAATATTAGTATGCATTTTCAAAGGGGTATAAAATGTATGCTAGCTTGAATGTTTTGATATTTTTTTTATGCAAAGTTGAAATTAGATCGGGAAGCTTCTTTCTCCATGGAAAAAATACCTGGGTTAATATCCTTTTATAAATACCCTACGCACTGGGTATTTACTTGTTACATAAGCTGATTTTAATGTGTATTTTTTTAAATTTATTTTTCATCTATTTATTTTTGTCGATGCCAGCCTTTTGGTGTGAGGCTAGTGTGTGCCGATCATAAAATTGATCATTTTATCTAACTTTCCCAACTTTTTTTTCTTCAAACCAATAACTCGTTATCATGTAAACTGTAAGTATTCATACAAAAGCTGTGTTGATAAGTTTTCTTATTTTTTGGGAAAGCGATTTTAAAATTATTTTTAAAGGCAATAGATAACCCATCTGTTCGTGTATTTCAATTACCTAAGAACTGTTCTTCATGTTTTATATCAATATCATACTATTATCAGAATCACCTATCGCAACATACGAAAAAGAAAAGGATTCTTTTTCCTAAAACAATCAATGAATCTCCATTTCCTGGCGAAGTTTGATTTACTTTCTGAGGTTACTTAAATGTTCTAAGGTTATACTAATTACAAAAAACACTGAAATTTTTAAGTAGTTATTTAAAAGCAAATTAAGAATTAACTTTTTCTATTATACTAACTTTATTACTACTAAACTTATAATTTCAGGGGTGATTGTAGTTCGGGTGTACTCCGGAATTCCGGATTTTTCACATCCTTCTTCCGGATCTAGAAATTGATTTGCCATTCTCAGAATTTTTAGAATGTGATTTGTCCGCGAATTTTCAGGACCATCGATTTGCGGACTTTCGCTCATCAAAACTTATAATTCGACGAAATTTTCACTGCAACCTAAAATTTAAAGCAAGAGTGAAGATTTAAAGTAAGAAACTAAAATGTAATTTTTGAAAATTTTGCTAAATCACAAACGAGACGTTTACATACATATGATTCTCCCACCAATTTGATTTTTTTAAAAATATGTTTCTTGGCTTTTCGCTGTTTTTAATATTTGAAACTACGTCAGAATCCGCTAATGTTGGATTCCGATGTAGTTTCACGCTATTTTATATCAAACGAATCACTCCTATCCTATCCTACACTATCCTATTCACTCGATTTTTATATCAAACATCGATTTTCGGATTTACCTGATTTAAAAGTTACACATTGTGAATCGTATTCACGAGATTTAAAAATCAAATATCGCTATTTCTATTGACGCGTTTTTAAAATGCAATATCGCGATTCTTGTAAGAATTAAGTTTTTTCTTTAATTAGAGTTACTGTAAAGATGTGATATACTTCATTGGTAGGTCATTAAATTATAAATTTCAGTTCAAAAAATTATAAACATGTATAGCATATAAATTGATATGGAGTTTTTGTTCATAAAATCTTTAGGATTTTTCACTTCAGTGTCACAATTATCCCTGTAATTTGCTTGTTAGCGATCAAAATCTGCAGTCATACAACTGCATATGAAAGTGTTTGTGAATCTGCCAACATTTTTAGCCAAGTTTATTCGCAAATAATATAAATTCTTTAGCCTTTTACTTGTTTGCAGGTAAGAAGAGATGTCTTACATGCTGGAACATCTTCACAATGGGTGGCAAGTGGACAGAGCCATTCTCTCAGAGGAGGACAGGTTGGTAGTGATTCGATTTGGACACGACTGGGACCCCACGTGCATGAAAATGGATGAAACACTGTATAAAATAGCACAGAGGATAAAAAATTTTGCAGTCATCTACCTGGTGGATACTACTGAAGTTCCAGATTTCAATAAGATGTACGAATTGTACGATCCCTGTACTTTGATGTTTTTCTTCAGGAACAAGCATATACAGATTGATTTGGGTACTGGTAATAACAATAAAATAAACTGGGCCATTGAAGATAAAAATGAAATGATCGATATTCTGGAAGTGCTCTACAGAGGTGCAAGAAAAGGCAGAGGTTTGGTGATATCTCCCAAAGACTATTCTACAAAATACAGATATTAACGCATCATCGCATTTTCTATTATCATTTCTTGTTGGTGACTTGTCTATTTTACATTTGTCTATTAAAAATAAATCAATAAATAGATCCTTCATGTTTTATAAAATCTTGGTCATTTTAAAGAAAAATTATGTTTGCATTATGATGTGTTAGTGATGCTTGACTGAACCTTAGCAAATATCATTGTGTGTGTGTTCCATTTATATGTGTGAATTATGATGTAAAATAAATTCATGTTTAAATTTTAGATATTATTTCGATATCTATATATATATTTCTCTTACACGGCGACAAAAAAAGCCTCATTACAACTCNAGCCTCCTAGTTTGATTTAAAACATGACTTAGGACACAATAGCAATAATAACACTAACTCTTTTTCTGTTTGTTGGCTGTCTATGAAAAATTTCACAAGTTTTCTTATCTGAGTTATTTAAATTTTTTAGCTGTTTTTATTTGATGATTATTGTTTCATTATGCTTCCTTCCATTGAATAATAATTTTATTATGATACTCATAGTTTATGAATCACATTTGAGCTGGTGATTTTTTGGTGGTAGTAGTTTATTTCTGGTTAAATAAACTACTACCACATAAATGAATTTTTTGCATAGTTTAAATGTCCTAAGTTGAGAAAATTGGTAACATTCTCCATGATGCGTAGAGTTTTTAAAAAGTGCTTAAAGGTGCTTATTTTCGTTTTTTTTCTTTCTTTTTTTTGAAGCCCTTAAAGGTAGTTTTTTTCACTGGGTGTTTTTAAAAACTGCTTAATTTTCCTTTTTCGAAAATAAATTTTTTTTCGCTCCACACATATTATGCGAAGCGTGCTTTTCACATTGTTTTATTCAACGTTTTCACAATTCATTCAACCACAATCTATTTCGGCGTCCCGTCGACCCATAGCGTATGAAAGCGCCTATCATTTTATATGTTTGATGAAATATTTGCGAGGCCACATGTGCGTCTACTGAGCTGGGTGCAATGAGATTCTTGCACTCTCATGTGCAACTCTGCTGCATTTTGCAAGATATTCTCAATTTCAGGCTTCATTTCCACCCTCTGATATCGAACCGAAAAACCTCTTGATCTTTTTATAATGGCTAATATAATCAAGAAAAGAGTTCTTTGTCAAAAACTAGTTATATTATCATGATCATGTGAAGTCTTTGAAAATTGAACCGAAAAACCTCTTGATCTTTTTATAATGGCTAATATAAATCAAGAAAAGAGTTCTTTGTCAAAAACTAGCTGTATTATCATGATCATGTAAAGTCTTAGAAAATTTTTTGCATTTTGTTGATGTATAAAGTGCTAAAAAAATACTTAAAAGACGCTTATTTTTTGTTGAAAGATTTGGCTACGCACCCTATTCTCTAGTTAACTCCTGAATATACAATTGGGTATTTTATGCAGCAAATATTTATTACAAAGTTTTCATTTCTATTGAACAAAAAGAGGATAACCTCACGATATGTGCACAAAAAAAGTTTATTAATTGTAGAAATTTTAATATTAGCTATAATAATAAAAGTTCTAAATAATCTGCCAAATATAAAAATTTGAATTATTTTTTTATCAATTATTTGTGGATTTCAAATTTTTTTCTTCTTGGTATTATAAAATTCTTATTTTAGTATTGTAAAATTATCGGCTAATAATTAAATATATCAATAAACATTTTCAATAAGATGTCGATTTATAACAATTTACTTTGTTTTTTTATAGTTGGATCCTCCAACCCTTACCTTTTTTAAAAAAAAATTAGAAGCCCCTGTCCCCTGTTCATTCTGCTCACCAACTTCTAGGGTTACTTTTTATTTATAATTTCTTTTTTTTTTTCTATCTTAGAAGTTGATAAAAAAGATTCATTTAAATCTATAAATTATAATTCTTAGTAAGCACCTTTCATAGTTTGTCAATCATTACGAAATAAAATTATATCTGGATTTGAAATTATTCAACTGTACTTTATTGAAGATAGGACAAATTTATATATATATGATGAATTTATATTGATGAAGGTTGGCATTGTCGATAACTCCTCACTTCGCATATGGGTGACCTTCAGACAAAATATGTTCACGCTTACATCGATATGTAACGCCTATTTCGATAAACGACATGGATGATTTCTATTTGAGACTTCATCATCGTACCCCAGCACTATCGCATCTGGAATCTCAATTAACCAGCACACACTCGACTGCTAATAGCAACACAGAACAAATCATACATACTACAGTGAACTTAAAACAATTACAACGACAAACGCTCAAAACTGGGTGAACTTATTACCGCTCAATATCCACTGAACTTAATACAGTTCTTCCGGTACTTTCGCAAGTACAGCTACTAGTGGTCATCTGATCCCATCCCTACAATATAATTATCACACTCCACAATATATTTATTACACATCTAAATACTACACTGGTGTGCAAAACTTTTATTAAGCAACAAGTGCGTTTTTTGTCATAACTCTACAAGAAATCATCCGATTGACATGAAATTTGAATATGATGTACATTATTTTGTACATAAACGATAGTAAAAGAATAAAGGCGCAGAAATGAATATAAAGCTTAAAGTAGGGTATGGAACAAAAAAAGGCTTTATTTGACATATAATGGCGTTCGCGTTACACATGATTGCCTGAAGAAGCGTAAGTACAACTGGCAGATGTTCCCTAGTATGTGATATGCCCTCCCCTCACTGTAATTGTTGCTTGGCATCGTCTCTCCATGCTAAGCACCAGATTATCCAGGAGTTCTTGGGGTAAACGTCTACCCCTAGCGAACTTGAAGGAATCAAGGAGCATTCTCACTGTCTACGATTTTTTCGCATGCATTTTTTATTCGCGGAAAACTCGCTTATCAAGCACGCGCTTTTGTTCATGCGCTTCTAATCGCCATCTAGGAAATATGAGAACCTGATTTATGAATTATGTCTTCCCTTTAAAATAAAAGCCAAAACCACCAGATTTTCTTTTTCACTTGACGCCGATCGGTAGTGTGACAACAATATGCAGACATGCACAAAGAACTACATGATATATTTTGCATGATATATATCTACATATATTATTTATTACATGATATATATAATATGTATTACTTGATATATTTTGATCATGAAACACATACGTGTGCTTAAAAACATACGTACTCAACGCGTACAAGGGATTGTGTCAATTCCGTAAAAATAAAGACAGTAAAAATAACACTTTAGGGCATGTGGCATTCAAGGAAAAATATGGCGAAATGAACCCAATCAAAAATTTAACCTTAACTGAAACGTATATTCAATTCATAGAGACGCCACGCCCACTTGTTGATAATCTTGACTTGATATTGTTTACAAACATTCAGATTTACTCTGCAAGAAGAAAGTGACAACCAGCCTTAGTATGGGAGCTATTGGTTCAAAGAAACGTGAATATAAAATTGGGGAGAAATCTTCTGATTCCATAACAGATAAAAAAGTTATAGAAACAGTTGTTTGTCGCGATGATGATTTGGAAGATGGAAAAATGGCCGAATTTGAAATCAACGATACAAATAAAGTTTTACTGGTAAAGGAAAATGGAATTTATTCTGCTTTTGGAACTAAATGCCCTCATTACGGTGCCCCTTTAAAAAATGGCGTCCTTATTAATGGAAAAATTAGATGTCCTTGGCACGGTGCATGTTTTAACAGCAAAACTGGAGATATTGAAGATTTTCCAGGCTTAGACAGCTTACCTTGCTATCAAGTCAGCGTTGAAAATGGTGATGTTAAAGTTAAAGCAGAAGTTTCGGCTCTTAAAAATCATAAGCGGGTGAAAGAAATGAGTAAATATTCGCACATCAATCCTTCCACATTTGTTATTATTGGCGGAGGAGCCGCTGCGCAGGTTTGCACCGAAACACTGCGCCAAGAAGGTTTTAATGGCAAAATTATTTTAATTACTAAAGAAAAGCATTTGCCTTATGATCGCCCTAAGTTGAGTAAAGCTCTTGACACGAAAGCCTCTGATCTTTATTTGAGAAATGCCGATTTCTTTAAGAAAGCCGATGTGTCTGTGATGTTGGAAACAGAGGTAACTTCGATTGACACGAGCGAAAAATGGGTTGCTTGCAATAATGGCAAATTAAAAGTGAAGTATGAAAGCTTAATGATTGCCACTGGTGGTCAGCCTATTAGGATGCAGATTCCAGGCTCAGATTTAAAAAATATTTACTACTTGCGAACACCAGAAGATGGTAAATCAATAGTAAAAGCCTCAGCTGGTAAATCGGTCGTTATCATTGGTACATCTTTTATTGGTATGGAAGTGGCATCCTACTTAATGAATAAAGCCACTTCCATCCATGTAATTGGTCGCAGTCCCGTGCCTTTTGCTAAAGTGTTTGGATTGGATATTTGCAACCGCATTAAACAGTTATTTGAAGAAAAAGGTGTAGTTTTCCACTTTGAAAAAGATGTCGTCGAATTTGCAGGAGAGGATGGTTTACTTACAGGTATTAAATTTTCAAGTGGGGAATGCATACGAGCTGACGTATGCGTAATCGGTATCGGAGTAAAACCGGCCACCGATTATCTCAAAAGTTCTGGAATATCTATGAATGAGAAAGGTTTAGTGATGGTGGATGAGTTTCTGAAGACAAACATTGATGGAATTTATGCTTGTGGTGATATTGTAGAATTTCCATTGGCTACTTATGGTAATGTAAGAGTGAATATCAGCCATTGGCAAATAGCACAAGCACATGGAAGGGTTGCTGCTTTGAATATGGTAGGAAAAGTTACAGCTTTACAGTCTGTTCCATTTTTCTGGTGTGCAATGTTTGGCAAGAACTTTCGCTACGCCGGGTATGCCGAGAATTACGATGAAGTTATTATCGATGGAGATGTGGAGAAGTTGGAATTTGTTGCCTACTTTATTTCCAACTCAGAAGTGGTTGCAGTGTGCACTGCAAACAGAGATCCAGAAGCTGCAAAATTCGCTTCTCGCATTTGCCAAGGAGAGAAAATATTGAGAAATGAAATACATACATAACTGAGATTCAATATTTGATAATTAATCTATGTTTGTTATATAAGCTTTGGGTAATTGTTTTAGGGGGACCACAGAACATTGAATTTTTAAAATTTAGAAATTTCAGGGACTTTAAATGTCTGGAAAAATGAATTAACTTGGGATAGAGGTACCATTATTATTTTCAAAAAATTTCCTTCTAATATTTTTTTTTTAAATTAAACATTTATTTTTAAATGTTTTGTAAGTAAATTTTGTGTATTACAATTAGGCATAGCGAGGAAAAAATTTAAAAATTGTTAATCATTGCAACATCAAAGAAATTTGATAAAATCTGAGAAAAATTAAAGTAAATTTTTTTCCTTAGTGTTTGTGGCCATCCTGTTATTGCAAATAGAGTTTGTAATAATAAATTGCTTGCAATAATTTTTTAATGTGGTGTTTTCTAATAAAACAGGTCTTTTTCGAGCCTATGCATTTTTTGAAGATGTCATTTTAATATGGCATGATCAAAATGACTCCTGATGGAAGAAATCTTTAAATTAAAAACCCAAAAATAATGGATACACGATTTCCTTTTGGAAACTATGATTTGTGCTGATTGAAGAAACCAACAAAGTCTCTAATTTTTTTATCTGCTAATTTCCACAAGTTATAAAAATTGGTTCATTCTGTGATATTCGTATAGCAAAAGCAGACATGTGTTTGCTAGAAATAAGAAAAAAATTGTGTTGTGTTTATATGCTTGGGCCTGCGTTAGGGATTTCAAATTATTAACCGAATATCAAAAGTATTTGCTAATTTTCAAAAGTCTTTCCAAATCTTAACAATTTTTTATGACTGATTTTTTTCTCCATACGAAACAATTTTATGGTAGTTTGTTTCGGGCTTATATTATTTGGACTTGATTCTAATTGGTTATGTGGCCCGTCTACCAAAAATTACTGCAATTGAATTAAAAATACTACATTGTTTAGAAAAATTCATTTTGTTGTAATTTTGAGGATCGAGTTAAATATGTATATTTTTTTCAGTGGAAAGGATCATTAGCAAAAACATAGTTTTATTCGCCAAATTTAGGATTTTATCGCATTTGATGAGTTGGCAAATGCTTAACACTGGCCCTGTCTTGTGTTTACATAATATGCAGTATGTTTTAAAAAATAGAAATATTCTTCTATAGATTTTTTTTTTTTTGCTGTCACATTTTATGCATAAGCATACATTTGTTGATTTTTTTTCACTTTTACTCCATTTCTAATGCAGATTAATAGAAATATACTTCAATATATATATTTTTTTCTACCATGTTTTATGTACACATTTGTGCATAAAACTTATGAATTTTTTTTAAACATTTATTCCATTTCTAATGTAGATTGTTAAAAGGAATTAAACAATTAGAAGATTTATTTTAATATTTTTCAGAAACATTATATGAGTTTCTAAAATATTGTAAGGATTTAGTTAGTAATACTTTATTATTTAAAGAATCATACCAGTTAAAAAAGGATTTTAATGTGTTTAATAAATATGTAATTCTTTTTATAATTTTTAGCTTTAATTGACATTTTTTTCAATTTAAAATTTTTTTTCTGAATAAAACATTCTCTGTTTCTGCTATATTTTTCATCAGGAACAAAAAGCTTCATTTTTTTTAATGTTAATAATTTGCCTCAAAACATTCCATTTCTAGTGAATTAAAATTTCATTCTTAAAAGGGCCATAGACTTTTCTATGAGGAGGATATCCTTTTTGGTACCTGAAATGGTCACAAAATTTTCAATGTTAATATACTAATGGTTAACAGGCAAATTGAAAGGGTGAATTTTGTCACCACATGCAAAGTTTATTTTTTAAAAGAAGTGGAATAAGTGAACTGTACAGTGCCACAGCATGTTCTATTAGTGCCATTTGTGACAATAACAATTTGCTGGAATAGGTATGACTATGGGAATGTCACCTTTTTGTTGATAAATTATCAATGGGTTGAGTTTAAAAACTACTTAGTTTTTTATTGTTGATCAGAGCAGGATTGATAAAAATTTGTTTTTAATGATATTCACGTGTTTTTGATGGATTGTTTTTGATAGATGTAGATTTTATTGTGGTTAGATGGGTAATTCATTTGTTATTTTTTTTAGTTGTAAGGTGAAGATTCACTATTATTTTGAAGTATTATTGTTGATGAGTGAATGAATTTAAATTATACTTAGATCATTTATTTTTTCTTTGTTTAAAGCTGATTAATAAGAAATTGCATGTAATAGTATTCATACATTTTATATCTTTTGCTAGATTCTATTGTGGGTTAGATGGACATTTTAATTGTTAATTTTTGGCTGCAATGTGAATATTTGGAGATTGTAGCATTCAATCAAATGTTTTACCTGTTACTTTATTTTTCTTTTTTTTAAATTTCTAATAGCACATGTTGTTTGAAGAATTTTATTCTGAAATTGTTACTGTTTGTGCAGGATATTTAAGTCTCGGTTATTTCTGACAGCATTAAGCACTCCAGCTAATAACAATAATAATAAAAAAAAAAGTTAGAAATGAAGCAACTTATAATATGTATCAAATAATATCTAAAGCATAATTTACTTGTAATTTGAGCAGATCAATAATTAAGATCCATTTGAGGAGTAAAATTATATAAGTTATCTGAAAATAGCAGGTGATTGTTGCTTATCAAAAATCAACTTAGATCGAACATAATGATGGGTTTCGAAATATCTGTTCAAGAGAAATGTAAAAAATAGTATTTCTATATTTTAAAACAATTGTTAAATATAAACATTTTTTGACATAAACATTTTCACAAGCTATTCTACAAGTTTTTTTATTATAATTTAAATTTTTTAAAGTATTTTCTACTGATTATTTTTTTATATTTGTAACGTAATATTTTGTATTTGTAAAAAATTAAAGTTTATTGATGTAGAATTTAACAGTACAATATCTTTGCCAATTGTTATTTTTAAAGTGACAACTATATAAATTGTTATTAGAAAATAAACAAACATGTTATTAGCACTGCTTTATACAAATTAATAAATATTATGTAAATAAATTACTGCGCACATAAGTGTTTTGCTTCTAATCTTGATTGTTATATTATGTAAGGTTAGTTGCTATTTAATGTTGTATATCAGATTGATATTCTGAAACATCTTTTAAAATTACAGACAGAGCCGGATTAAGCATACGTTGGGGCCCTAGGCCATTCAAAATTTTGGGGCCCTTAGATAAAAAAATTTTCCTCATATATTTTTTATTTATTCATATATAAAAGTATTTATATATCTTTTCATTCAAGAAAGCATATTTAAAAAAAAATAAATAATGAAAAATTAAAATTTAATAAGTAATAAATAAATATGATTAACATTATATTAAAAAAATTATCGTATTTTATTAATATATATTTGAAATTGATTTTTTTTAAAAATATTATTTTTCTTAATTTTGTAAAATTTATTTAAAAAAAATCTATTTCAAGGGAGCCCCTAATCATTGGAGGCCCCAGGCCATGGCCTTGTCTAGACTAATGGGTAATCCGGCACTGATTACAGATTATAATTAGTCCTAGCAACCAATTTACCTTGGCCTCGATTTGGTTATAAATTGGCTCAATATGAGTTCGATAAGAAGATTCACCGAGGAACCGATATTGGGTTGTCTAGATTTTTCAATATTGGTCGCAGGAGGGACCTATATTGGCCAATATATTGCCTATTCTGACTTAATGAGTTTAAAATGTCGGGTGAATCTGACAATTTTATATAGAGCCGATATTGGTTGTGAACTGTAATATATTGGGTGTATTCGACAGTTCTATATATGACTAATATCGGATAAATAACGGCCTTTTGTACTCTTATTTAGCCAAGATTCCTGAATGTTGGTTGAATGAGGGCTCAAGTTATTTTCTTGCTAGGGAGAGAATTTTCTCATTTTCAACTTTATTTAAATTATAGTTATTATTTTATTTCCCATTATTATATACATATTGACCGTTATTATTTTTTTTTATTTAGTTTTAATATCTAGAACTAATTTTTATTTATTTTTCAATATTTTATTCAATTTATAATACTATTTAGAAAAAGTAAATTGTAAACTTTATAATTTAAAACCTTCCTAAGAATTTTAAGTTAAGATTTAAAAATTTATTTTGAACTTAACTTTTAAGTTAAAAATTATCTTCTGACGTTTGATGATGTTTAATTATTTTCTTGTTTTAAGTATTATTTGCCCTCTGGTGTTTCTGAAAATTGAGATTAATGTATGAGATTTTTCTCACAGAACCTTGCATCTCTATTTGATAGCAAAAGGAATCCCCGTTTTGTTATTCTGATAACAACTAGTTCTATTCACTAACTAAATTTGAGATGGTCAGTAAAAAGTACTTTAATATAAAAATAATAATAAAATCAAACAAAGGTGTAGGGTTATTATTTGTTATTAGCCAATTAATAAAGGTTAAACTTTAGGAAATAACTATTCACTAAAGGATAAATAACTATTCACTAACTAAATTTGAGATGGTCAGTAAAAAGTACTTTAATATAAAAATAATAATAAAATCAAACAAAGGTGTAGGGTTATTATTTGTTATTAGCCAATTAATAAAGGTTTTACAGAATTAAGATAATTTTAAATGTGTGTTCTTTTTTATCACTGACATTATTTTATTTAACAACTTATTATTCGGAACTTGTTAAAAGTTTTGTAATTAGAATTTTTATGACAAATTTGCCAAAACTAAGTGAACTGTGTGATATATTTTAGGAATCTCTTTATATTGTTATACCTGTTAATAACTTACAATGAATGTAATAAAGAAAAGCTACTTATATTGAATTGTTGCTGTTTCAACTGTGACTATGGAGCTTGATAATATTGGTATACAGGAGTCAGAATTTCTATAAAAACCTCAACTACAACCAGTGAAAGAAATTCAAAATATAATGAATTGCTTATAGTTAAATAAGTGCTTCTTACAAATATTTATATTTATTTAGTTGGTGCTGCAATTTTTTTTGCCATTTCAAGTAAGTCAACAATAAGATATGAAAATTGAGTCCGCTGTGATAAAATTATTTCAATAATAATGCATAATATGTAAAATGCAATGGTATAAAAGATTACAAATTTGTATAAAATTAATGGACAGTTCTTTTTTATTTTTAGAAAGCTTAATTTTTATAAAACTGAATTCTTCATTTGAGTGAATATTACTAGGTAAATCAAGTGTGAACAAGAATAAAACTTCTAAGAGGCGGTGCCGATTTAAAAGAGTTGATTTATTATCTTATTGCTACTTTTACTAATAAGACAGGAGAAAACTGAAATTGTTTGTTAGGCTATTGTTCCCCCAATTGCCTAAAACTAACATTTTCCATTTTTATACCTCCTTTCAAATTTATGAACAGCTTTCTTAATATTTGCTCCATGCATATGATATTTAAATTTGCAGTTGAAAGTTTTTTTTTTTTAAGAATGGATTCTGTGGACTACCTTTGCAGGTGTGAAAATAATAGAGAGATTTTACATTCTCACTTAGCATCTTGCGTGGTACACAAGCACTGTAGTTGAGATGGTTCTGTAGTAGCTGCACAGAATCTATTTAAAAGTGCAAAATCTCTCTGACATTCATGAGTATTGTTTTTGTTTCTGTCTGTGTCAATGGTCTGGTGTGTAATAATACAGAGTGATATTTTGAATTTTCTCTGTTATTAGATCTAAATACTTATTCTGTGATGTTATTTTGAAAGTTTTTTTCTAATTATTTTTTTTTTTCGAATCATATTTGTCTAAAATTATCGAACAAAGTTCTGATTCTGACAAATATTGTTGAAACATAATAAAATAACATGTTAAACGTCTTGTTGAAAACACTCAAATTACTTCGTTCAAGAACATGTTAAGAATAAGATGCAAATATGAAGCATTAATTTTTTCTGAAAATTCTTTCAGTGGATTGTAATTGAATGTAATATGCTCTGCATGTGCTTTAGAATTGATTTTTTGAAATTCGCTATTTAAAAGGGAACTGCTGTGTTTAGAAAAAATATTCTGTAACACTTCTCTGTTCCCGGGAAAGTTTATGAAATTCCTCTCTGTTGCTATGCAACTGAAAAAAAGGACAAAATTTTTGATTATTGCTAACCAGCTTGGATTATCACAGAAGAAAACCATTTTTTGGTTTGACATGCATCTCTACAAAGATTTTTTATTTTTATTAATTAGTTATAAGTACAAAGCTGCTACGATGTACTTTTTTGCTTAAAAAACAATTATAAAACAGTATTCCTCTATTTATCTAAGTGATATTGGTTTATTATTATTGATAATTTATTTTCTATTTTAATATGAGGAGTGACAGTCATAAGGTACAAACCAATTAAAATCTGGTATGTTTACAATAGTTTCAGAGTTTAATGAAAATTTATTTGTCGAAAAGTTAAAGTAATGCTTTTTTTTTAATGTTTCTACAATTTCAATATTTTTGAGTTAAAAACTTTAATTTTAAGAGCTGGTGTATTAATCCAGTGTTATGATTATTTATGTTTTAATTTATAATTTAAGTACGATAGTTTTTAATTCATACTATTCAGGAATCAGTGTCCTTAATGTTGTTGCAGGTTGGTAAAAAAAAGAAAGAATTATTGAAATTTAAAAATTTACTTTTTTACTTAAAAGTTGAGGTAGTGATTTTTTAAAATACTTTTAAAATTTAAATATTTTTGAGATTTAAAACTCCATGATTATATATTTTTTTAAATAGTATTTCCTTTTCAAAAGAATGGAAGGCACTAGTACTGGATTGTGGATAGTGATATATTTTTATGCTAAAGTGAGATTGCATTATTTATTTTCGTGCTTGATTATACACTTTGTTAATAAAATGGGCGTCTCAAGGTTACGTAATTTCCACACTCCATTACCATGGCTTTGGTAAATCTTGCTTTCTATGCTAGTACATTTTAGTACAAAGTACAAACTTGGAAAATACTCGCCTGTGGGAAAAGTAAGATTTACCAAAACCATGGTGACGGAGAGGGAGAAAGTGTGGAGAATGAGGAAATAGTGTAACTTTGAGATGCCTATTTTAGTTACAAAAAGTATAGTGTTCCTAACTACTTGTAAAGTGATATCCCACTTACTGTAACTTGTAGTTTAATTTATTATTAGTGATATTTTTTTTTAAAAAAGGAAGTTTTATTCTAATTTTTTATGATTTAATTTTTTTTCTTTTACTTTGTGTTGATTATTTATGTATGCTTAATTTTATTGAACGAAAATTGCCAAAAGAGTTATGCCATTTCTTTATGAATACAAATTGTTAAATAAGATGTATTTAAAAAAACCAATATTTTCCATCTTGTCATTCATAGTTTAACAGAATATATTTTAATTGTTAAGTCACAAATTAGAGTTGTGGAGTTGATAGTTGGTCAGAAGGTGGCTTTAGATTCCAAAATTAAACTCTATTAAAATTTTAACTGAACCCCAGTAAAAGTAATTGATATAATTACTAAATAAATGTTTATTTCAAGTAACATATTACTACTATTTTTATGTTAGATTATAGTAAATGTTTTTTTCTTCTAAATAATATTTGATATAACAAACATTTATTTAAAAAAGTTAAAAAGTTGTTAATCTATTTGATAATCAACTCCCTGCGAAATGGTCTTCAACTTTTGACTCCACAGCCCTGGTTATAAAACAATGTGATGAGAACTTTTGTTGCTAATTGTGCTCACAAAGTGCTTTGGAAAATAATACATATCTTCTTTGCAATTGTTGCTTTTGTTTAATTATTTGAAAAGCATGTTTTATATATGTAATAATCAGAATTTAGCTTATTTTTACTCTACTTAACCGACTGTAATAAAACACGTTTTATTAATTGTGTGTATTCATTTCATATTTTACCTTGCTTAACTTTTAAGCAGTTTCGTGATTTTTCTTTTTTCAACTGTTCAACTGGCTAAGAATTGGCAATTTCGGCGAAAATTTCCAATTTTTTTTTTTTTTGTTTTTTTAAATTTGTAAGATTTGAACCTTTGTTTCTTCGCTTGCATCTCTTTAAATTTTATCTCCGATGTTTAGATTCTTGATTTTTTTAAAGTGTTCAAACTGGGTAAAAATTGGCAATTTTGGCGAAAATTTCGATTTTTTTATGAACTTTCGTTGAAAAATTATACAATTTTAATACTGTTTTGCGTAAATGTCTGAATAATAAAAATTTACTGTTTAATAATAAAAATGAACTGTTACTGTTCTAAATTTTACTGTTTAATAGAATAAGCGAGATATAAGTAAAATTTTTGGTCGGGGGAAAAAATTTAATTTTCGCAAAGTACCTGGACCCGGTAAAAATTTAGAACCTGGTACAGCTCTACTAAAAAGTATACGCATTTTGGATCCCAATTGAATATCTAAAGAACGAGAAAAATAAAATGTCATCAAAATTCCCCAAATGCAACCGAAGATAGTGAAAGGGACTAAAACATGAAACCTGTTCGGTTGCGAAGAAAACAGAAGTTTAAATTCAGAAATACCTCTAAGTTTTTTTTAAGGTAATCGAGTGTTTTTCAACGTAATGCAACCAAGTGTTAGTCTTTTTCATTACATTTAACTGATTAGTAATTTGACAGCTTTCTTACGACCCATGATTCCTATACATTTTTTTTAAAAGTAATTGTAAGAATATGAATAAAATTGTGGTTATTCTGTAGCACATCAAACTATACCGTTAGAACCGTGGTGGCTTGGCGGATAGAACGTTCGCCTTCCAATGAGGTGAACCGGGTTCGAATCCCACCGATGGCTGGTCGATACGAATTCCGCACCCGTCTCGCACCGACCACAGTGCTGACGAAAAATATCCTCAGTGGTAAACGGATCATAGGTTAGAGTCGCCTTGGTGTAAGACTAACCTTGGGAATTTTTCGTGGTTTTCCTCTTATGCGGATTAGTTCCATCATAAAATTTCACCCAATACTTGACCCAGGTTCTCTAGATTGGGATTACAAGTTTGCGGAGTTGAACATTAGTAGCCCGAAATTGTGTCGGCTGTTCAAGGTCGGTTATAAAATTAAGTAAAACGATACCGTTACTGATTTCATTATGAATAATGGGTTCATAATTGTATGTGGCTGAGTTCGTCAAAAGGGGAAAGCATGAACCAACTTTGAAAAACATTTTTAAAAAATCATAAATTTTAAAAGCGTAATTTTCCTGAGAACATTTAATGCATAAAAATTAATCTAATCGTTAGTGTTATAAAAAAGTAAAAAACGCTGCAATTTGCATTGCTTTTAATAGGTTCTATCAATATCAATAGTTTTCTTAAAATAATCAATTGTAAGATAAAATTTAATGAAATGTATAATATTTGAGTATTAAAAAATAAAATTTGAGCAAAATCTATTTATCAATTCCTGAAAGGTGTTTTTTTTTTTTAATATAAAAGTAATTTTGATTTTTTTTAAAAATCGAATTTATTCCTCCGTTGAAGTAATACAGAACAACAATAATAAAAATCGTCAAAATTGGATGAAATCGCCATTTTGGTATGGAGTACTTTAACATAGAAGAAAAAATATATTATTTTTACTTCACAAGATGCGTGAGAGAAAACACGTGACACATCAAAAACCCCTTTTTAAAAATTTTTGTTAAGATAGGGGAAGCGTCAAGTATTTCTGGAAACACGGTCTTGAAGTAGTCCGTGTCTATTTTTAACTAACTGAACGACACACTTGAATATGTAGTTATGTGGCTTTGTCTCTCTCACTTTCCCTCAGTAAACACTCCTCAGCTGGAATAATGTCCATTTTCCACACAAAAATGAAATGTTTTTCTGCACTTGTGTTTGTTTTGTTAATGAGTAAGTTTTCATTTGTATTCTTTCTATTTTTAAAGGAATTTAAATTCTCATTAGAAGCTTATTATTAGAAAATGAGTCTCATTAGCCTGTTTATCTAACTATTTGCATACCTTCAGTTTTTGAGCAACTCTTTTGTGTTTCCACTTGCATATTCGTTAATAAAAAATATAATTCTACGAAGAGGGTAGGTTGGGGGGGGGGGGAATTCTGGCTGACATTGTAGTATGAACCTAATACTACGTAAACATCAACAAGCACGCTTTTTCTATAGTGCTACCAGAATTCTCGATTGCTGCTATATTTTACGCAGCACGAACGTTTTTTTTTTACCCCGGGAAGAGGTGAGTTTTAAATTAAAAACCATTCCAACCATATACCTTCAAGATAAATAATATATTCGAGTTTAGTTCTTCAAAATTCATAAAAAAGAGGTTTTGCTTCTTGCTCTTATCAAGAATTTATGCTGTCCAGGTGCTATTAACTTACAAAGTGACATTTTAACAAAGTGACATTTTTTCGCGAACAACAATAAATAGTTACTAAAGAAGTACATTACTTTATGTCAGAAAAAAAAACATGTTCTGTACAGGATGTAAACTATTTATAGATATGTTTTACCAATCATATTCAAATAGATTCCGATGCGTTCATTACCGCCTTCCTCAGTAGTGATTCGTTAGATTTGAAGAGTTTGTTTCCTTGTTTAAATATTACATTGAAACGACGATTGAACAGACGTCATATTTAACTAGGAATCCTAAAGATATAAATAATAAAGACGGTCAATGCCGAACACTATACGTTTGTCGGTCTATGCTGACCATAATGTTTTTTTAATGTTGAACTCAAAATTTCGTTTGCAAAATGTTCATTAACACACGACATCCTTGAAGAATTAACATCTAAGCATTTCATGGAATTAAGATAAAACAAATAATCAAACGATTATAAAGAACTTCATAAATTCAATTGAAAATAATAAAAGAGAGTGATAAACTCATCAATCTAACTAGTAGTTATGTTTTTGTGCCGTGGCGTGGTGCTAAAACAGTTATGGCCAGTGTGTTGCCATTTTGGCCCGCATTAATAAAAGAACGCATTGTCTTTATATATTCTCTAGCAATAGAGTATTATCGTGGAAAGTCTGTATAGATTTCTCTGTGGTTAATAGATTTTTTTTAAAAAAAAAAACATTTTTTTTTATCTTTCAGACTGCATAAGTCTTAAGTCTATGGAACTTTAAAATGATTGACATTTTCTAATTCCGATAGATTTCCTCACTCTCAGATTTATAGTTCACAATTGGGGAGGTATCAGATCAGTTTTTTAACTAACTCGTATTAGCGCAGTTAAAATAAAACTTAATCCCGATACAAAAACGAAGAAAAAAAAAATCTGCTGCTCTAAGCATTTTTTCTTTTCTTTTCTAAGTGAGGGGAGAAAAGTTGAACGACTTCGGGTTTTGGCAGAGGGGGAAGAATCTATGATCTTTATTGGCATTGTTTTAAACGGAATCGCAAAAGATCAATCTCTAGACCAGGAGTTTCCAACTTACATGGGATCGGGGGCCCGCAATTAAAAACACCAGTCAAATGGCGGGCCACATCTTTATCAAAATTTTATATGGGACTCTTTTATGTTTGAAGGAACATTAAACATTGCTGTACATTAACAATTAAAAATTTTTTCGACTCATTAGGAATTATAGCAGAAAAAAGAGAAGAAAAAAAATTCTCGAGCATCTGAAATTAAATTTTTTTTTCTTTTCCGCTCATGTGATATTCAATTCAAGGAATTTAAATAAAACATGATATTCATTTCCCTCATTTATGCGTTTTAAAATTTACAGATATAAATAATAACTTCCAAAATGAGTGGTTTCAAAAAGTTAAATGGGGGAATTTCTTCGAGAAAATTTCTGAAACGCACATACTAAATTATATGCACAAAATACAGTAGAACTCGTTTATAACGAGCTCGGATTTAACGAGAAGTCGGATTCACCGAGGGAAACGAGAATATTTGATTGGATCAATGTTAACTCTATGGAACAGAAGTCGCTTTTAACGAGCAAGACCCGGTTTTAGCGAGCAATATTTTTCTGTCTTGCAATCTTTTTTCTCATCTTTCTAGTCTTTCTGTCTTATCTTTTTTTCAAAATGATAAGAAATGTGCGCGAAATAAAAAAAAACGCGATTAAATTAATTAATGTAATTAGAGTAAGTAAGTATTANAGCATTTTATACAAAAAAAAAAAAAAAAAAAATGACAGCTAATATATTTTAGTTTGCGGGCCACAAAAAAAGGCTTCGAGGTCAGGATGAGGCCCGCGGACTGCTCTAGTCAATGGCATTATAATTTAAAAGTTTCAAAGGTTTTATGCACAAGAAGTACAATTTTGCACTTTAAGCAGTTAGAGAGGTAAGGTATTGTTACATACATATTTTTTTTGCGATGAATTGAAGGAAAGTTTACGCTCAACAATAGGATTAATAAATAGAAAAGTTGACAGATTTTTGAATTTAAAAAATACTGTTTTTTGTCTTGCACTTTTGTACACTTTTTACACTGTTATAAGAAAGCTATTTAGGCAAATGAGGCATTGTTTCTGATGTATTTTTTACGCTGCAATGAAAAAGAATAACTCGAGTTTATCGGATAAATAGTTTAGAAGTATATTAGTCAACGCGTAAATGAGTACCACCTCAAAATTGTAAAAACCGCTGCAACTTTTGAACTATTTGTTCCATCGTCCCGTATTGGGTCTCACTTGATTTGCACAAAAAATAACCGATAAAACAATAATACTTAACTTTTCAATATAACAATTTTACCTCGCGTAAATGGAAGCCAATCATTGCTCATTTTGTAAATAATTTCAGTGTAGTATTCGGGGAAAGCTAACTATGGCAAGCTGATATCCTCCTCTTGGTTGGCAAAGGATCATGGGATATAAATTTCTCGCTGTCAAGTTACTGTGAGACAACATTTTCATGGGGCAGAATTTTAGATTTTAAAATGATGTTAGGAAGTATTTCAGACGGACAAAAGCATTGAGAGATAGAGCCTATAAGACAGCAAAAAATTCGCGGGGAAAAAATTTAGTCGAACATAAATTTGTTTAGACAGAATTTTAAAAGGACATAAATATCAAGTTATCAATAAAGATCTTCCGATGGACAGAAGTGTAAAAGTATTTATAGAGTACTTATCATAGTATTTCGCAGTATCAAAAACTAGTTGGAAAAATCGTAAAGCGTATAATTCACCTCCATTTAATCAGGAGCTTAATGCAAATCAGAAAAAAAAAGTTTATATTTTCAGGTAGTGTGTCTAAATCGACAATCGGATAATTCACCCCAGATAATCGGGGTCCACTGTAAATTTCACCATATTTTCAGATAGTGTATCATTATCGGATAAAGTACAAGATGGATATTTTATAATCGTCGTTGAACGGCCGACCCAAATTTTGAGTTTACGGCTACTAATGTTCAACACAGTAGCTTTGTGATTTTGAATACAACCTAGAAGGCAAAGGAACTCCTGTATCAAGTATTGGGTGAAATATGCCTCCGTGGAGGACTTTTTGATGGAACTATTCCGCATTTGAATTACATGGAAAGGAAAACTACGAAAACCTCCCACGGTTAGCCTGACGGCAAGGGAACTCTAATCCACTATCTGTCTGCCACTGAGGATCACCACTGTCATTTACGTCACCACTGTGGTCGGTGCAAGCCGGGTGCGGAATTCGTATTCTAGTCATCGCTGGGATTCGAACCCGGTGCACCTCATGTACGAGGTGGATAATTCAGCCCCGGATAATCCGGAGTCTACTGTAACAAATATATTCCTATATTTTTAGGTAGTGTGTCATTCGGACTCCGCCACAGTGTCCACTACGAGGGAGAGAGTGAGGTGTTGGAAGGGGAAAAGTTCCGGATAGTGTGCGTGATGAGCCGGCAAGACGTACCAGGTTGGACATTAAACAGTTCTGTCGTTATCACGGAAGATAACGACCTCGGATATAACGTTCAGGAGAGAGAGAAAGATGCTTTCCACTGGGAACTCAGTCTGAGTGCGGAAGAGGCGCAACTGCATCACAGCGGAGAGTACCGATGCAACAAGTACAGCAGGGATTTCCACTCTCTGTACATCAAACCGAGATTTGGTAAGAATAACCCTTTTGAATTCACAAAACAATACCCAGTGCTCCCCCCCCTACAATATTTATAAATGCACCCTATCTTAGACTTTATAAATTATATTATGAAAAAAAAAAGCTATGAAGATACATTTGGGTATTTATAATCATTCATTATGTTTTAATTTAAATTATTTTTATTTTAATCAATAAGGAATTAATAATTGCGATGGAAAAGCGGAATTTAGGAAAGTACTAAATTGGAACATGGTATACATTTACCACATTAAAATGAAATTCATCTTAACAATACGGGAAAATAACTCACTATCGTATAATAATTTTATTCAAAGTTTAATTAAGGGTTATCATTATTTGTAAAGCGAATTAAAATACATCTTACAAAAGAAAAAAACAAACATATTGCGATTCAAGTAGTTGGGGTCCCTTTCTTGAATGAAGGGTTGCACGCCCAAAGACATAGTATGATAATATTGACACAAATATGATAATATTAATACAAAAAAGCACGTCAAAAGTGATTACTATTTGCAGAAATCTGAGCTCTCGAGTCATTATTTTGTATGTATTAAAAAGATCGAGATTTACCTATGTCACGAAAACATGATCAAAAAGCTACTTAGAGTACTTAGATAAACTATAAAATGAACACAAATAAAGAGTTACAAAAGTGATTACTAAAATTCTAAATTCACGCATCATAATTTTGTCAAATTAAAGATATTAAAATTTTAAACTTTGTAGATTTATAACGATAACCACCGAAAAAAGTTATTCGTAAACTAAATTGATTTAGATTTGGCTTGTTCTAAACATAAATGCGCCATTCAAAATTTCTGATATTCTTTATTTTCCAAAACAAAAAAAAATTATTATAGTTTTTTTTATATTTTTATTATTATTGTGTTCAGATGCTTGCGCGGACCGCATATTAGAAGCAGATTGTGCACCTCTATCATAGTGTAATATTTCAGGATCGTGCACCCTCTAACCTCGTGTACTGCCGGGGTTGCGGGTGGAGGGTGGTATTTCTAACCAAAGCATTCTTTTCGCCAAAATTCAATGGCTGTCTGGTAATACGGAAACAAGTAAAAGCGCATTGCCACTTTTCTCGCCCATTTAAGTGAAATCTGGTCTTATAGGAATAGTGAATGGATGCTCACTTTTTTTTCCTATTGCTTTATTGAAATTACATTTGCAGGCTTGTTTGCTCAATTTAGGTTTATAAACCTATGTGAAGTAGAAGGACAGAATTTAGAGAAGGACATCAGCCACGGGTAGGGAGGGATTCAATCGCATACCGTTTGGTGGCGATACCGCTCGGCCAAGGAAAAAAATATTGTGTTAAAATATTTTGGGATTGAGATTCAGTTATAAAAAGATTTAGCTTAATAACTAGAAAAGATTTGATCATTAAGCACTGATTTTAGCTGGAAAGTGAGTGGGGATTTTCAAAATTTTACTTAATGTTAAGAAATGGCCATAAGCTTGTAATTTCAGCATTTAAATAACCGATATTATAAATTCCGCATTTATAAATACAAATAAATTCCAGGAGAAATGATCTAATGAACGAACGTTTAGCGTACAAAACAAAATAGCTCCCGAGTGTCTTCTCCCCTTCTTGGCCACACACAACCTTTACTGTTACCCACATTTATCAAAACAAGCCTCTTTCCATTTTTTCTCTGTATTTTCTGAAGTTATAAGAATATGGCTTCATGAATCACGGGTGAGTAACTAGCGTACCATCGACGTTTAGAAATTAATACATTTGGTGGGAAGTATACTGACCACGACTTTTATAAAGGGTTAAGTATTTACTCACACCCCTATTTGAAATAGTTAACCCGACCTCGGTCGTAAGCCTAATCACCGACAGACAAATTGGCGGCGTGAGTTCTGTAGTCCGACATTAGTCTCCTAGAATCTGTTGGAGTTAATAAGTTGTTGTGAATTTGGCAAAAATGGAAAATCACATAGCACGACATTAAAGAGCAATATTCCACTATGTCAAAAACTAAAAGTTTTCAATCTGTGTGTGTTACTCACCGAACAAAATCGCACTCACGTAACTCACCGAACAAAGTTGAAGATCATATTTCTCATCATCCAGGAAAAAGTTACTACTGCTATTTTAAATTAATTCTCTGGATGACAACGAAATCTTTTATTTGTTTTTATATTCTTCGCTTTTGGTTGTTTTCTCCTTTTTATCGAATAAACATATTTTCTTACTTTGTGTTGCTCTAAATTTTTGAATGGATCTGTCAAAGAAAATTAAAAAACAAAAACAAAGCTTGACTGCCTTAGACTCTAGACCAGAGGTCGCCAAAGTGGTCTATATAGACCCCCATTGGTCTATTTAACATAAGCGGGGGTCGATCTGAGCCAGGGGGTCGAATGGGGGTCGATCCGAAGAGGAAGGGTCAATTGGTCGAAGGATTATCAGTATTTTTCAGATATGTGACAATTAGAAATAAAAGAAGAAGATTTGGAAATATATACAGGTAATCTTCAAAAATTGAGCGACGATTTTAAACTGCGTTTTGTTGATTTGGAAAACATTGACATCCCTGATTGGATTATTGTGCCATTTTCTGCTCAAATTGAAAACGTGG